CCCCCCCCCCCCCCCCCCCCCCCCCCCCCCCCCCCCCCCCCCCCCCCCCCCCCCCCCCCCCCCCCCCCCCCCCCCGAATTTCATCATTCACCGCAACTTCCCTCGAGTGGAGAAGTGGTGGAGAAAGGAGGAGGCAAAAAGGAAAAACGAAAGAAGCCCCAAGAACAAAGGAAAACTCATGTGGAAAAAAAAATTAAACACTAAAAAAATAAGCGATTCTAACGGTGAAGAACAAGGCCATTTTAGCGTGCCAACATGCTAATGGCTAAAGCATACGCCTTCTCTTTGGCTTCCCCTTGGGCGGTCCCCGGCGCCGCCCTCTTATCCCAACCGTGGTTACACCCTCGCATCCTTTGACACACCACATGGCGACCGGATTCTTTTTCTATTTTGGCCGCCAACTCTTCGGCTTCTCCCGCTAGACTGTCGCCGCCCGCCGTGATGACTAGGACGCGATCCGGGAACCGCTCTGGCTGCGCGTAGGACGGTGAAAGGCGCGGATCCCTGGCATCCACCGAGGAGGGGATGTAGCAGCTGTTGAATAGTCGAGCCGCAAAGGGGGGGATCGGTTTCCCTTCAGCGTCCGGAAACGTCTTCTGGGACGGCTCAGTGTACAAGTCCAGGACAGGATAGAAGGCGAGAACGGATCGGAACGTATCTCGCGGGAAAAGAGTCGACGATGCCCCCAGTGCCAGGTTTCCACCCGCGCTAAACCCAGAGATGGCGACTCGAGATAGATCAAATTCCCCCGGTCGCTGCAGCACCCAGTTGACAACGTCCTCGACGTCATTGACTGCCGCGGGGAACGGATTCTCGGGCGCCAGCCGGTACTGGATGTCGAGCACCGTGTACGGCGTTTCGCGACTCACTTGGCAACAGAATTCATCGTCGCTACCGTGCTGCGGAAGAATAAAACCGGACCCATGGAAATTGAGGAGTACAGGCGACGGCGTTGGCGCTGATGTCGATCTATAGACGTGCGCTTTGATCGTTCTCTCGGCGTCGCGAGACTGGATTTGAAAGACGTCATTAGAATTGATCAACATCCGCCGCCGAAAGAGAGCTCTGATAAGCACGGCAAATAGTTTCTGCCAGAGGTAGGAAAACGAGAACATGATAGGCTAGTTCGCTTCACAGATCCTGCGGCAGTTAGGACTCAGGAATTGATAATGCCAACTGCGCACGGGTCTCGAGAAAAGGGGGGAGGTGAGGAATGTTAAAGCCGTGATTCATAATGATTGATTGTCAACGGCTTTTCTGGAATCCTCCGGGATTTCGTGAAGAGTGCAGAAAACCGAGTTTCATATCGGCCGATCTACGGAGTCAAGCGATGACGCTCCAATCGAGCGATTTATTCTCCGGCGCGGTGGATTGTCGCCTGGTTAGGGTGAGACTAGGCGTCGTAGTCAATCCGAAACTCCTCCGTACTCGGTCGGGCTCCACTCAACGCGTGGAAAATAAGGTCCGCAATTGCCCATGGCAGGCTGAACCACTGAACCACTGAACCACCAACCCGTGGTCATCATCGTGGAGATAGGAGAATGATAGTCATTGTTAGCCTCTGGTGGCTCCGCATTGCGTGCATGTCATTTCGGCAGTCGGACGGCGATTTTACGGCTCGATGTGCCGAGACTCGAGAGCAGAGTGCAGTATTGCTGTTCTCAAGCACTACTACTCCAGTCAGCGACTGAACTCACAATTGGTTTTGCTGTGCTGCCCCTTTTTTCTAGCCCGGCATCACAGTACTTTGTACAAACTGCTTTCGTCATGGATGGACATCGCCCAGCTCCACCAACTCATTCTCGGCAAAACTGTTGGTCGCATGTGGCTCCCGTGCGATCCCCGAGCGCAGTTTTGGCTGACGTATTTTCCTGGTTCAACGGTGTACGTCGTCCCACGGAGTACGGAGTACGGACTAGGACTACATACAAACCATATTTTGAGTTGAAAGTGCAACTCCTTTGCCCAGCTGTCAACCTACCGAGGAAGCTTGTCTCAGTCGACCAGGACTGGAGCCTTTGAGTTTGCGGGCCGTCGAATCTTCACATGTTTATTCGCGCCCGAGCCATACTATGTGAGCGTTGCTGAATGGTATTATGCGATATTCACCCGAGATTTGGTACCTATTACAAACCACTAGGCAATTCTAGACGGGACTGGGATCATGTTAATCGACCCTGGTCATGCGCGTTGGATATGGGCTGCCAACTGACTGGCTCTCAGACCCGGCCCCCAGCGCCGTAAAGACTGATTTGCTAGTAGCTCTGAAGCTCCCCAGATTAGCATGATGAGCTTTTAGCAGTATGTGTATGACCGTTCCGCGTGACTAACACAGCTCTATCGCCCACTTTCATTCCGGGTGGTTCTTTCAGGCATGGAAACTGTCTCAAGCAAAGCTCCATATCGGTAAGCTCGATCGGGACGTGATAGAGTTTCATGGCGACGGATTAGAGTTGAACGCGTCCAATGTAATCCAACGGAATGTTATGGCTGCCGTTCAGGCCATGAGCTGGTACACGATACACTAGCTGATATGAGGGATCCAGACGGGCCTTTTTCAATCACATTGTATTGGACTCAACAGACACATTACGGCCATCTTGCATATGACTCCGGCTTGTTGGCCGTGTCATTCCAATATTATACAGCATCGATTTGACATCTCTTTCAACACCTGTTTGTCAGCTTTAATTCATGCTAATAGTTAGCCTGGGGCTGAACAAAAAGACACAGCAAAAGCAACGTTAAATGACGACATACAGATCCATTGATAATGTGATATATCAGATAGTCTCGTCTCGTCTCTTCGTCGTCACCCGAAATGTCTCAAATCGAACCAATAACCTCGGATGGATGTTTCTTTTCTTCTTTGTGATTATTCAGCTCTCTCGTTCAAATATAAATCCCACTCTCGTGATTTGCTGTACCTCGAGTCCCCCCGGCTCCTCCGTACAGCGTAGATTCTTCCTATCATGATTAACCGAGTAAATACGGTGTTATTGAGCATGGATCTCGCCTATCACGTTAGTCCAATGAGCCCCCCGACAATCTTTATCACTCTTCATCACTCTGCGTGATGGCACTGGCACGAGAACGAATTGACGCGCAGGGATTCATGTTTTATTGAAATCACTTCTTTTGTTGGAACTGGACTCAAGGGTATCCATAGCTGGTTGGATGATAGATCTTTCTGCAGGAACTGTCGATCTATTTATGAGGTGTTATTTGTACTGCTTGCGATATGTTCTAATTATTAACCCCAGGAGTGCCTCGAACCTGACTCAATTTCTAGCAGAAATTCAACCTCTCGCGTGGTTGACAAGTTCATCGCATCTGAACAACCAATTTTGTCATCCTCATAAACGTGAATGCCTCGAGCTGGGAGTAAAATGGGGATGCTGTGCTCCAATCCATCTTAGCTTTCCCCAGCAAGCTCGCTGTGCTACTCATTGGATTGTTAATTCCATTGGTGACCATGTCATTACCCCAGGATGGTTACATGAGCCAAGGCCTAGACACAGGGCAAGTTTAGTCTACCGGCTATAGAGTCGGCAGCTGGTATACAAGAATGGCTGTACTTATAAACCTCAACCCAACTACATATGGGAAAGAATGCGACCATCTGAATAGCTCCCGCCGCGAACAGAGTTGAGAGAAAAAATGACCAAAAGGATATACCGATCCCCATACCCCGATCTTGAGATCGAGTCCACAGACTTAGTCTCAAAGATCTTCTCGAATCCATTCAGGACCCCTCTATCCCGGCCGATGTACATCGACGCAGTTACTGGAGAGCAGTATACATACGGCGATGTCCTCCAGCGCACGAAGTCCTTGGCCAGTGGTCTGAAAGACGAATTCTATCTCCAGCCGGACGATGTGGTCGCTCTGTGCAGCCCCAATATCATCGAATACCCCATCGCCTGCCATGCCATCATCGGGTGCCAGACTATTGTTGCGCCAACCAGTGCGGCATTGACCTCCTCTGAACTGCACGCGCAGCTCCAGACCAGTCATGCTAGGTTCATCATCGCCCACTCCTCCCTTCTTTCCACTGCCAAAGCAGCAGCACAGGGGACCTCGATCGAGAAAGTCATCATCCTCGACGGCCAATCCCCTCCAACCGAACAACGAACCTGCCAGCAGCTCGCGAGCACCCACCCGGCAACCGAATTTCGCCCGACCCCAGCCCACGAAGCGCATCGCCGCATCATATTCATCTGCTTCTCCTCCGGTACATCGGGCCCCGCAAAAAGCATCATCACCACGCACCGCAACATCACCGCGAACCTCCAGCAATGGCGCGCCCAGCTCCTAGACTCCGGCTCCCCAGCGCAGCATATAGACCGACATACCGCAATCGCCTTCCTCCCTTTTAGCCACATCTACGGGCTGAATCTGTACGTGTGTCAGTGTCTAATGGGCGGCACGCCCGTGGTGATCCTCCCGCGCTTCGACCTGGAGCTATATCTCTCTGCCGTGTAGAAATACCAGCCGCAGGAACTCGCGCTGGTGCCGCCAATTGCATTAATGCTAGTCAAGGACGACCGGATCAGAGGGTATGATCTCCGGAGCGTGAAGCGGATTCTCTCGGCCGCGGCGCCGCTGACGAACTCGCGTCTGCGCTCGAGGCCCGATTCCAGGCACTTTTGGGGACAAACGTCTTCTGTACGCAGTCGTGGGGTCTGACGGAGACATCCCCTATAGCAACTGGGATCCCGAATAATCGCTTGGATAAGCGGGGCGCCGGGGTGGGCTGTATCGTGCCGAATATGGAGTTTCGCTTCGTCGATCCGGAGACCATGATCGATGTGGAACTGGGCAAAAATAGCACAAATCTCCCAGGCGAGATTGTCGAGGACCGAATGTGACCCCGGGGTATTATAATAACCCCGAGGCGACGAAGGATGTGTTCCATGTGGATGATGACGATGATGGGGGGCCGTGGTTCCGCACGGGGGATATTGGGGTTATTGATGCCGAGGGGTACATTACGATTCAGGATCGGATTAAGGAGATGGTCAAGTACAAAGGATTACAGGTGATTCCTAGTGAATTGGAAGGGAAGCTTATTGATCATCCGGATGTCGTGGATGCTGCTGTTATTGGGGCTTGGGTGGAGGAGAGGGCGACGGAGTTACCGACCGCGTTTGTTACCTTGAGAAGCGGCGTGAATGGGAATGGGAACAGGGAGACTGACAAGGTCGTTGAGGGCATCCAGACGTGGTTGAATGGCCAGGTTGCGAATCATAAGCAGTTGCCGGGGGGATGGGGGGAATGTATGTGGTTGACAGCATCCCGAAGAGTCCAAGTGGGAAGATTCTCAGGCGTGAGTTGAAACAGTGGGTGAAGTCTGTTGCGGAGAAGGCTCGATTGTAGTGTAAGTAGAGTGCAAGTTGCCTAGATATGATATGGAAACTGCCTGCGAGATTCCCGATTACGCCATGTAGTAAGCGCCTTGTCGATTGCGCGCAATAGACCCGGTACCTTTTTCTGATCGAAATCGGACACCGGATTGAAAATGCCATCGGGATTTAGATCGAGCCTTGGTTCGGCATGAGTGACTGGCACAATCTGGCCTCGGCCCCTTTAAACAAGCTCCTCATATCGTATATCGCAACGCATTCTGACATCAAAAGACCGGCAAAGGAAGAAATCAGAGATAATAGGATTCCGCTATAGAATGCAACTATCAGGATACGTCATGTTGCTGGGAAATAATTGCCGATATCTCAGATTAAAGAAGTCCAAGCTAAATAACAAAATAGAGTGAACACACCCCACAAAACTTATTGAAACACAGTAATATCATTCAATGTGGCGTCTATTTGGGCGATTATTGGTAGTATTTAGATATGACGGAAGCGAGGAGAAGGCCTAGATAAGAAACCTACTAAGAACAGTGTGCTGTGTGCATTATCAGGCCATTTATAAGATGTACTATCGCGAGTCAGGTAAGCAGGCAAGTAGAGGCGCATCCGCGGTGGAGACATTACGGGAATCCACCAACCAAACCAGTCTTTGTGGATAAACATGATAAACACTCCGAAAAAATGGCAGGTATGTCCCGACTGGACTAGACTGAATAATTTTAGTGGTAACAAAGAGTGAAGGTCTAGACTGCCAGGAACGAGACCGAGTTCGGGATTGCCGTTCATCCGATTTGGAGTTCATGGAATGCTTTAATTATCACCTAAAGAGCGTGCAAGCTTCCTATACATGTCATGAGGAGCAAGAGCAAGCAATGTTCCTGTAGCCTACATGGAGAAGGACCAAAGGGGTGAATGTAGTTATCAAATATAGTATTTTTCAAAGTTAAAAAAGGCTGTGATTGATGAGTTGCGTTATTATCTTCTATCATCGCGCTGTTCTATGTCTATTTGCATATCTATTTACAACCACGCAGCATTAACCTGTTCACTCTTACTGCGCAAGCTTCGCCTCTAGCTTCAGCAAAGACTCAGCCGTATCCTTGATACTCTCCTCCAGAGGGCGGAACTGCACCCCCAGCACGGTCTTAGCCTTCTCATTCGAAACAGCATATCCGCCCGATTGCGCCTCCTTCGCAGCCGGAACCTTCTCCGCACTCACTCCCGGCACACGCGTGCGCAGAATGTCGCACATCTGCTCGTAAGAGAACTTACCCGCAGTAGTGAAGAAGCGCTGGTTAGCGGCCGCCTCGGACTCAAAGGCACGCAGATGCGCGTCGGCCACGTCCCGAACATCCACCCAAGTCGGGAACCCAGTGGGAGGGATCTCAGTCGTGCTGCCATTCATGAAGCGGTACACGTCGGCCGCGCTCTCGTTGAGACGGTCCATGCTGGCGACGTGGTGCTCAACGGGCCCGTAGACCATGGGCGGGCAGATAGTGGCGACGGAGAAAGCGGGCTTCTCGCGCTCGAGGAAGTCCCACGCCGCCTTCTCGGCGAGCACCTTGGATGCGCAGTATGCCGTGGCCCCGTCGGCCGTCTTGGCCTGCTCGTAGGTCACAGGGTTCCAGTCCGCCTCGGTGTAGGTGTGTTCGGGCCACGCGCCCTTGGCGAGATTGATCATGGCAGCGAAGGAGGAGGTGATGACGATGCGGCGGACCTCGGGGGCGTGGCGCTGGACCGCTTCGAGGAGCTCGCTGGTGCCGCGGATGGCTGGGCGGAGAAGGTCTCGCTCTTGGTCCTCGATGGCGAATTGGAAGGGGGAGGCCGTGTGGATGATCTGGGTCGTTGGTGAGTTTCACGGGCCGTTAGAGTGTTTTAGTTCAGGTGGGGGGATAACTCACGCCTTGAACGCCCTTCACGGCCTCATCGAAGGCACTAGGCTCAGCAATGTCCTTGACGATCGCGAAGGACAATTTCTCGGTATACTGAGGAAAGATCGCGCGCACGTTGTTGGCGGTTTGCTCGGAGCGGACGGTTCCCCGGACCTGATAGCCACGCTGCAAAAAGGAGCGGACAACGTGCGTGGCCACGAACCCGGAGGCTCCGGTAATCAGGATGGTTTGGTTCTCAACGCCGGACATCTTGGTAAATTTTTTTTAGGGGAGCGTTTCTTCGTGACTGGCTTTTTGGTGTGAAAATAAGGGTACGTTTGGCCCTCAAACCGGCGGGGGGGGGGGGGTTAGGTGATATTTAAGGATTTGCACCTCACCACCACCCCTATTCCAATCCAGGTCCACAGGGCTATCATTCGATGGACGGATATTCATGTCATTGAAGCCGCTTCAGCCGTTAGGAGATGCTAGTTGTTACCGTTGTGGGGGCCGCCCCGTCCGAATGCCCCTCTATTAGGCGCAAATTTTAGAGAAGTTGGAGTAGGTTATTAAATACAGGTTTATAAGAACTTTGGAATGTTACTGGAACTTGACCTTGGTGGTAAATAGCTGTGATATATTATTTTATCCCTCCATATTTAGTTACAGTGGACTGAGTGTTATTGTTGGAACAATATTGTCAACCAGACCAGAGAGGTGGAGGATCCTGACCTGATCCACATACCGCACAGCACCTTGCTTGGCCTAGACTTGGCCTACCATTCCAAATGACATACCAATGGATCAGGAATGCATAGGTGTAAACAAGTGGAACTATAAATGGCTAGGCAGATTGTAGTTTAGAAATGGGACTTCACTTTTACCCACCAAGCATATACCTATATTCTATTGAATCGATAGGTTATCTGCTATAGGTAATGACCAAGTCAACCGATAGTTATTTTTATATGCGAGTCAATTAACCCACCTTCGCACGTGTACAGTACTTCCTACGTTGCTTGCCCAGACAGATCCGTGATCCAACACTCACAACTCAGAACCGCAGGATGATTTACTCCATAAGAAGGACGATAGCGAGAACTCAGCACTCAGCCCTTATGATCTAGATATGTACGTAGTAGTGAGTGTGCATCCCGTGTTCGGGATTTTCTTGATTTTCTCGGGAGTGCCGGGATATGATTGAAAGCCACTCGGGATCGGCGTACCGCGTGTGGGACTGGCCAGGATCGTCGAGACTATCCGTTCGGAGACTTTTGCCCTGTGTTTTTTGTGAGGAATTAATAGTCTCCAAGGTCATCTAAGCGCTGTTCCAGTTCCTCCTGGTGGGTTACGGAGTATGACTGTACTTAGTATGAGTGATTGATTATTGACTACATGGAGATAGGAGATAAGAGGTTCACTGCTGATGATGGGCTCCATACGGGAATTCATGGGCCCACTGCAGTGGGATAAATAAAACTTATGAACTTCGTCGATTGGGCGGTGTTAGTAATTTCCCCATGACTAACTTTCCCACTTGCGGCCACGAGACATCGTGGCTGTTATAGATTATTGTGGAACTATGATGAGTAAAAGAAGATTCCATACCAGTAGTAAGGGTATAATCGGCCTAGGCTATACTAGAGTACAATGTAAGAAGGTATATAGGTAATTGCTCGCAGAAAAAACAACAACTTCGGCGCGAATCTAATTTTTGAAATTATTCAACCACCACGATGGCTACGTCCTCAAGAATCGACCAGTTTGTCAATAACTCCAGCCGCTACCGAATGATTCTATCTCTATAGGGGGGTTCGAGATGGTTGGGGCGAAAACCCCGTGGCCGGCCCTTTCATGGGTTCCCGAGGCGGCAAACTCACCAAATCAGAATTTTCTCACCTGCGTACTGAACCTCCACGCCGACGCAGGACCGAGTAGCCAGCGAGCTACTCGACGAGAACAGGGAGGTTTGGAGCCAGAAACCCGATATCAAGCGCGTGGCCTGGCTTACCCATCCTTCCAATTACAAGAACCAGAAATACTCCGCCCTCATTGTCGAATTCTCTGACCCGAGACATGTAAACGAGACAATCATGAAAGGGAGTATTTGAGCTAGCGATAGCCGGATGACTGTTCTATACGATAGGAACGCGCGGATTCGGCGATACTTCAAATGTCAGCAATATAGACATATAGGAATCGTTTGTTCGAATAAAACAACCTGCGGCCTCTGTGCCGACCCGGTCCTGCGTACAGAGGTCCGCCACCGGTGGCCAGGGGCGCAAATGCGCTGGATGCGGCGAAACGCACGCCGCCCGATCGAGAGCTTGTACGAGGTACGTAGCGGAGCAGGAGCGGGATCGGCAGTCCCTGTACCGCATCCCGCCCTATCTACAGGATCATCCCTCCGTGGGTAGCGACACGGAGACCTCTGGCCCGCCCAACAGCGAGGGGCGGGCTGCGGGATCTGAGGGAGGGAGGGAGAGATTGACCCGGTCACGCAGCCGGCCAACGGAGCGGAATCGCTCTACAGTAAGGTTTCAAGAAGGATCTATACTGCCATACAGCTCGCAGGAGCTTGTCTCTGTGCAGCAAGAAGAGGCCCTGATAGACCTAAACCCGGAAATGGACGTAGACCCTATCCCGTCCGAGTCAGAACCGTCGATTGCCCAGCAAATCGACATGATCAGCGAACCGGAGACGCCCGCACCTGTGACCCCTGCCCCCAGGGGTCGCACTCTGAGCAAGAGGCGCCCCCGCAGCGTCACCTCGGAGATAACGAGGCAGAGCGCTAGACACCATGTAGCGCAAGAAGCCGTTTGCCTTGCCAGTTCGCCTGCTACAGGGGACATCCTTCCAGCGAAGAGGACCTGAAGCAAGCAGCCAGCCTACCGAGAACGATCAGTATCGACTGGCGATATTACTAGTGATAGTGCAGTGACTGCCCTCCCGAAATTGCTGGAGGCACCTCTTATCCCTGCACCTACCCCCTCAGGGCATTCGACCACGATAGTCCTGGCCGAGGACAACACGTCTGCCCGCTCAGTATCAAGGAAACGTACCAGGGACCGTCGCCATGAATAGGCCCCTACAAGTGCTTCAATACAATGTAAATCGATCAGAGGACTGGGTGATGGCCCAGTTCCTCCGGGACCCTGCGGTCCTGGAGGCTGATATCATCTTCGTACAAGAACCGTAGGATAACCCCTTTCAGGATTCAACGTATTATCCAGCTAAAGCAATATACCAGCTTATATACCCGACACAGACGGATATAGGGGATGAGCGGGCACGCATGTGCCTCTTTATTTCGCGGCAAATCGATTCTAACACCTAGAAACACACAACCCATTCGAGGGACATTCAAGAGCTTGATCTGACCGATGCCGATGGCAAGCGTCTTCGCGTCTTCAATATATATAATCGACCTGCCGAGGTTGGCACAGGCACCTTAGGCCAGGTCCTCGGCTCGCAGGACCTGACCCCTAGGTTCGTTGCCTGTGAGGTCACTGAAAAGATCCATGTAGATTCCGATTACCTACCTATACGGACCCTTATCGACATCCAAATCAAGACCCCGGAGGCGCAGCGGCGCCGCAACTAGAAAACGTGCAAAGTGAAAGATCTACAGGCTTTTGTAGACCTGAACCTATACAGTAAGGCCTTTCCACTTGAGAATAAGCAGCACATTGAACTCGCAATAGAGTTCCTTATTGAAACGGTAAATCAAGGAATAGCAACGTCTACCCCGTGGGTACGACCAAGCAGGTGGCGAACCCGTCTTTCACCCCGGAATGCTGAGAGATGATCAAGATCACCCATAAATTCAGGCGTACATATACCGAGACCTGCATGGCTATGGGCCCTACCGATCCCACTACGGGGCTGGCCTGGGACCGCTATGCGAAGGTCAGAAACCGCAAAGGAAAAGTGCTGGCGAGGGCCCTACGGCAGGGACACCGGACCTGGGTCAGAAAGGCTACCGAGGCAGGCCCCCGAGGCATGTGGCGCGTGGCCAGATTCGTGTACATGAAACACCGAAAAGTCAGCGTGTATCGTTAACAAGGGTTTAAGGGTTTGAGATTCCGTTAGACAAAAGTGCTGTTGAGCGAGTTGTTACGGGCGGTAAAGTGGGTGCGTCTCCACTAAATACTAATTAGAGATGGAGTTTCGATCTAAGAAAGACTTTTTTGACAACACCTAGTATCAATAATATTATAACTATATATTAACTACCCGGGAGGAGTCCCATAAGGGAGCAGATATTCGGTTATATTACAGTCATCATTGTTATCATCATCATCTTCTTCATCAACTATATATCAACTTTACGAAAGTCTCCAGCAAGTAGAGATAATAACTAGATAATATTAGTAATAATTATAGTAAGCTTCATATCACTTAACATCCCAAGCAGATATACAAATTCAGTACTGGGCTCGGATTTCCATCGCGCTACAATTATCGGCGCCTGATGTTGGCTGGTTTTCCCCTCAGCGAAGATTATTGAAAACAAAACAGCATATGAACCCTCACAACACCAGTCGTAGACAGGAAACCAGCCATTGACAAAGCCTACCGTTCACTTAACGGACCTAGCAAGATACCTGTTCAGTTCGCTCTCCGTCCATTCCCACAGTTCTTGCGCCAGCTTCCTATCCTTTCCGTCTTCACTGGTCCGGCCTCTCACACCAACGGGCTCATAGTACTCTCCACTATGGACGTCTCGTGCAACAGAGGCCCAAAGCTGGTTTCGGACCCCCTCCTCCACCGGTTTAAATAGCCTGTATGCGACCTTCGCGAACGCCCGTAGCATGATGGGAGAGGCTGTCGCTCCAGCCGCCAGGTGGGTCTGCACAACGCCCGGGTGAACAGCCGCAACCCGCAACTGCGGATACAGTTCCGCCATTTGTTTCACCCACAGTACATTCGCCAGCTTGCTTTGATAGTATCGTTCGTAGGCGCCCAAGTCATCCCTCGTGGTGGTGAGCGAGTCGAAGCGGAAGCCTCCCCGCCGGGAGTAACGGTGCCCATTCGAGGAAACTGAGACGATGCGGACGTCTGCTCTGGGGACAGTGTTGATGGTCTTGTCGAGGATCGATAACAACAGCTTGGTCAGAAGCGCATGGCCCATGTGGTTGGTGCCAAACTGGATCTCGTAGCCTTCGTTGGTTGTTCCGGGCGGCACGGCCATGATGCCGGCGTTGAGCATGAGGATGTCCAGCCGGTCACAGGCCGATAGGAATGTCTTCGCTGCCTTCTCGACCGATGAAAATGAAGTGAGATCTAATTCGAGGATGCGAATAGTCGCCCCGGGAACAGTCTGCGCGATCTCGTCGGCAACAGTTCTAGCCTGGACCATGTTACGGGCTGCGAGCCAGATCTCGCGGGGATTGTGTCGAGCAAACTCGAGAACAGACTGTTTGCCTAGACCATTGGTGCCTCCTGTAACAAAAATCACTCTGCCATCCAGCGAAGGAATGTCAGTTTCGGGGTTGAAGTTGGCAGGACTGCTGTTGCAAGGCATTGTGGTGTCAAGTCTGCACAGAGTAATGGATATGGGAAAGAACAAGGAAACTCAGTTTGACAGAATGGCACAAGACGTGCGTGGCGAGAGTATTTATATCCTAGCTTTACTTGTGCAAAGCGACGGTCATCTCTGAACCCGGTTCTCATCCTGCTAACATCTCTAAAATTTACTGATATCCTCTGTTGTAAGCATCTGGATTGTTTTCCTAATAGGGTAAAGGTTGATCCTGCCCGCCAGCAACCATGCCGAGAACGTAATACAATATCTGCTTGGCAATGTCTGTCAGCATGCATCGCCCCTCCTCAGGCGGCAAACGTCAAACGCGGCTTATATTGAGACCAGGTCTCGTGGGGCCCCTGTTTGACTTGAGGCTATCCATCACATACGGTACGTGACAGATGCACCCGTTTATCGTCACCACGTCGCTCGACAAGCCAGACCGGCAGACCCGGAAGTTGATCCGCAGCCATGTCATGCGTGGGAAGAACACACGTAAGATCAAACACGCCACAGAGGCCAAGTCGAGCGCGGCGGCAGCAGTTCCGCCATCTGAACAATGGTCTTCTGCAGATGGGAAGGAATGGGTGCTTACAACACCTCGGAAGGTGGCATCGGAACTGTCTCTTTTCAACTATATGACCGAAATGAAGCCTTACATGCTTAATCTCCTTTTTCAGGGTAACTATCGAGCCCACTCGTTACTTTTGGGAACGACCGGATTACTGACGTCCCTAGCGTTGACCGCCATCAAACCAGCAATGCACGCTTTAGACACCGTCACAGACCAAAGCCAACCAGACAGAATGTTTTGTTTCGCAGATATTTCCCAGAATCCTGCTATGGTTCATTCCATCATCTTCAGTGCACAGGCGTTTCATGACATGTCGCTGGGGGTCTCATACGGACCACTGGCACGATTCCATCTAGCAAAGACTCTCCAGTATCTCCAGCAAAGTCTGCAGGACAAGGCAGAGGCCACAAAAAGTTCCACCATGACTGTTGTCGGGATTCTGTCATTGGCAGGCATTATGGCAGGGGACCTCGAATCAGCTGCTAAACATATGGACGGGCTACAAAGAATAGTCGAACTGCGCGGGGGCTGGGACTCACTCATCGATCGAGAGACAATAGAACACAAAGCTAAAACGTGAGTGTAGCATACAGTAGACATGCTGTAGTAATTTATACTCGCTAACATCGTTATCCGGTCTAGGATAGATATTTATCTCGCCGCTGGCACTGGTAGCAACCTGCGCTTCGTCGAAAATATCTCCTGGGGACCGCGTATCGCTCATGGTAGACTGACTACCATTTTTCCAGAGCTGAAAATGGTTTATCCATGGCCTGATCTTAAGCTCCTGAACATTTGGGCCGATATACGGGAATTTTCCACACTCGCCAACAAAGCCTTGACCACCGGAATCAAACTGGTAGTCACATCTTACTTACAGTTCAGCAGGTCGGCACCATACCGACTGCTTTCTTTGCAATGCGCCCACCCTCTTCACGAACTATTGAGGCTATCCATGCTTGCATTTCTGAAGCCTCTCCTGATCAAGACCCCTGGAGTTGGCAAAAAGATGTCTTACCTTGCAGAGAAGCTCAAAACCATTTTACTCGAGCAGTTGTTCCCGCCGTCGGTCGAAAAGGCCAGTCTTATTCTTTGGGCCCTGTTTATAACGTGGTTATCAATATTTGAAGAACAGGATCAGGAATGGTTGCGAGCGCTGGTGGTACAAACTATGCGCACACTTGGTCTGACAACATGGGCGGATACTAGGGCTGTTCTCAAGAGCTTTTTGTGGATTGACTTGGTGCTTGATCAAGCCGGTGAGAGGGTATTTGAGAGATGTGCATACAAAACTCCAGTCGCGTCGTGTACCGATTGAACAAGGTCAAGCCTCGGGCCACTTATAGATGTAAAGGAGTACGAGGTGTCATAGTATCATTAAGTGCTAAATAGTATCAGATATATACATCACACGCTAGGGTTTGTCGAATGAATAATGAGAAGAGGCTTAAATCTAATTACCGTGCTTGATGCCCTGTTTACAGTTTTAGACTGGGCTGCTGCTATCTCAAAGATCAGACATGCATAGATAACCCTTGGGAAAAGCCTTTAATTCCTCATCCATGGCACGAAGTTGAATTGACTCATAATCACCCCCGAAGCACACGCTGGGCTCATTCACTTCATGATATAGATGGATAATCACTTGGACCAGAACCTACGATCGCTATCGATTGGTTGAGCAAGGCGATGAAATAATCATTTAGTCAGTTCCCGCGGCCACACCCTTCTAACGGCCCCCCATCCTCCCCTGAACATCAATGGCTGGCCATCATTCCTGGCACTGATATTCCTCCGTCACTCCCTTGCTTTCCCATTGGACCGTCTTATCTCTTGCTGTACTTGGGTTACGGTTATGGTATGGCCCTTCTCCCTCCTGCACCTTAATCATCTGACCTGTACCCAGGACCCGTGGAAACCTTCATAATCGGATCGGGTTTATCCGCTACCTCGCTGGGTAATCACTTTTTCGTTATTGGCTTTTGTTCAGTTATGGACGGGGAAAAGAATATGGAGAGGGTTTCTCTATACTCTGCTGATGGCTTTTGCGAAGGTATGTGTCCCTGGCTATAACATGGTTGTGTGAATGTTAATATGGACTAGTTCGTTATTGGGATATGGGTTCCGCTTTGGGGTCACATGAAACGCAAAACATCCGAAGAAAAGGAACATTTGCATCAGATAAGGCAGACAGGCACAGATACGGATCCAAAATCAGGTGCGACCTGGCAAGCGGCCTTGCTCCTTGGATCCGCTATGGTTGCTCGCGGTGAAATCGGCCTGCTTATCAATGAGATAGGCTACAATGATTCAGGTTACGTCAGCAAGGAGGGCTTCATCACCGGGGTGTGGGCAATACTACTCAATACGATAATTGGGCCTGTCATGGTGGGTATTCTGGTCAAGTTGTATGGGCAACAGATCGGAGAGGGGGAATGAGGTGTACAACCGGCGGAAATGCGAAACTAACGGCCGGAGGCACAGACACACGTATAATAAGTATAGGTTATATTTAAGCTTTTTATCCTTGTATACGACTACCTACTTCGTAATTCTTACTACCGACTTCCTGCTACCGACTTCCTGCTTGTCCTGCTTGTCCGATTCAAACGACTTTCGAGACACTGCGTAATAGAAAGTGTTATTCATGGATTACATGAAGCATACTATCACCGCAGTGGAGTCCTCGGCCACGACTTTTGTTTAACTTCGGGCTCATGAAGCATTGAAACGCCAGGTGCGAAACACTTAGGAAGAACCCGTAGCTAAGGGAACCGAGTACTTGACTAGGAACGCAAAAAGGATGCATAGCGAGACCATGACGGGGGAGATCATCTACGATAATGTCTCTCAATTGTTGATACTAGAGCTAACACAAAATAGGTGAGAGTGTCCCATGCGACTCTCATTGCATTGCTGACGTGTTTTGGAATACCGCAGTGAGCTTGTTGAATTGCAGCCGTGGGATAGGACCTGGAACTCTTTCATTGGTATGGAAATCGAGGATTACCTCGCGCGATACAGAATTCAAGTTCTAATATCTGTTTGTCTAGGGGCTCCGATACAGACAGAAAACGCATACCCAAATGATCTTGACACTACGTCTATCGCTTTGACCACTCTGCCGGTGAACAAGAAGCTTGTTGGGTCGGTCATGACGAGATGCTTTCATTTGTTAATGCCGATGGTATATTTATGGTAAGACCCATGTCCTTAATCTAATATCAAGCCGGTTTCCGTAACCTGGCGAAGGCTTATTTCGATTTGTCACGACCACAGGTGGATCCGGTAGTCTCTGCCAACGTTCTCATCTCTTCTGCAAGTTTGGCCGGGAAAGCGAAGTTACAACTATCTTTAACTGGGTACTGCATGTGCTTGAGGGTAGGGCATATCTGGACGGATCCCGTTACTATCCTTCTCCAGACGCGTTTCTCTATTTCCTGACTAGACTTCTGGGGGCTGTCCGAGACAAGGGTACGCAAAAGAGACCTTGGAAGCCTCTTAGAGTGCAAATCTTCGACAGGATTGGGAAAGAGGGCGATGCCGTATCTCTTGCAATGAGAGTTCTTGCCAGTAAGGCGGTCGATGTTGCCAACCCCATTGATCTGGAGACTTTGCGATCAAGCCAGTGTATCGACGGGAGTTGGCCAGTTGGTTGGATTTATAAGTTTGGGTCGTCAGGTTTGCAAATTGGGAATAGAGGGTTGACTACTGCTTTTGCAATTAAAGCAATCGAACCTCCTGATGCTTCTCAAATGTATGGGGTTGCGCAGGAACCTGAAATCGCTGCGCCCCTGAAGTCTCCAGGTCCTTCGTTGCAGGCGTATGATCGAGGATATACTGTTATGTTGTTGACGCTTTACAATCAGAATGCTCTGGGGCAACCCAAGGTGAAAGAAAGAAAAAAAAAAAAAAAAAAAAAAAAAAAAAGGGAAAAGGGGAGACACATGTAAGATAAAAGGAATAAAAGAGAGAGAAGCACGAAAAGACGAGGGACAAGAAAAGTACCAATTGGGCACAAACTCGTTCTAATCTTCGGTGAATAATTTAGAAATTAACGAGGGCCTAAACTCGTAAACTCGCCCAACTTGTTTGGCATAGATGCTTGGGCACGGACTCCCTTGACACGATATCAACAAATCCCGAGAAACGGGACATGAAAGACTTAAACTAGCGGGGTGACGTGATTAATCTGCCCAGCAGATAAGACAACCATCCCACAGGTAATCGTCTTGGCCCTAGCATGGTGGCATTCTGGGCTGTAGAGCTTTCCCGCATGAAGCATCGCCCAGAAGCATCTAGTGCGATAACTTTTCTGTCTGGCATGCAGTGCCGGTGGCGACCATTGGCTAGCTCAGTCTAAGACTCGGAGATAAGACCCTTTCGAGCTAAACAAGGCTATCGGCAAATGTCAATGGACACTACTCCATGTGGGGTTTATAGGAGGTGCTGTGTTTCGTGATATGACACCACTCACGCGTGATAGTGGGAGATGTTTGGGGTCGATTATGTCTATCATTCTGGAGACGGAGGAACAATGTCTTTTTTTGAGCGAGATACAAATGCAAAGGGCTTCTTGAGTATTAGCCTATTCTTGCTTTTTATCTGGAGATATCTGTATCCTTTTTTATCTATTCGGTTCAAGATGGGGAAGAACCCGTGGGACTCGGTCTGTCTCCCCAGAAGCCCAATTCATACTAGAAGACTAACCGGTTGCGCAGTTTCGATCATTTATCTGGGATACAGATTCCCATCTTAAAACACCCGAGGAGCGATGGCTACTGCGAAAGCTGGATATTGCACTACTGACTACCGGCTGTTTAGGATTTTTTGTAAGTGACTCGTGGCCTTGCGACAAGAACAATCGACCAGAGGCTGATATATATGACGAGCATAGTTGAAATACCTCAATCAAACGAATCTTTCAAATGCATATGTCAGGTAAAACTCGACCTTTACTCTAGACGCTAATAAGGAACAAATTAAGTTGATTTTTCAGCGGGATGCAAGAGGACCTTGCTATGTACGGGAATGAATACACCTATGAGTAAGACTTACAGAGCTCTACATAGTCTATACAATACAGAACTAACCCTTACGACGCAGACAACATGCTACACGGTCGCCTATGCGATCATGCAAATCCCCTCGACACTGATCATTCAGAAAGTGCGGCCACGGTACTGGCTTGCCGCGATAGAAATTGGCTGGGGCGTCTTCACCATAGCACAAGCCGGTATGCACAACATTGGGGAGTTATATGCGTTCCGATTCCTTGTCGGTTTGTTCGAGAGTTCGTTCTTTCCTTGCATGCTCTTCGTGTTGGGGTCATGGTTAGTTGTCCCATTGGTCCTGGATAGAAACGAAGGCTAATGAGGCATAGGTACACCAAGACTGAGCTGGGTAAGGAGTTTGTTAGAGGATCTTAGACACTGGTCTAACAAATATCTAGCGAAGCGCATCGCTATTCTCCACATGACGGCTCCGTTAGGCGCCGCATTCAGTGGCTATCTGGTGAGTCTCACCTATGCTAGCTCTGATGACTCCTCTTCTAACAAGTCTGAAAACCACAGCAAGCAGCCGTTTTCAAGAATCTTAATGGTAACCACGGTCTTGAAGGATGGCGATAGCTTTACTTTGTCTGCGGGGTGCGTATTAGACACCACTATCTCGGTCTATGTCTCTTACTGATCATGGTCGCAGTGCATGACCATCCCTGTTGGTGCGATCGCACTCCTCTGTTTTCCAGATGTTCCGCATAACACGAAAGCCTGGTATCTCACCAGCCAGGAGGTCCAAATGTGTATCGATCGTGTTGCGAGATCCGGGAAGGCACCTCCAGCTAAGTTGTCATGGGCTACTTTCCTGCGAGTTGCGAAGAAATGGCGTATGTGTTCTGTCAACTGAGAATACCGAATGAAAGCCTGATATACTGGTTCTAGGTTTGTATGCCTTCACACTGGGTTACGTGTTGTATGGATCGTCCTGCGCAGCAAGCAGTTACTTTGCCATTTGGCTTAAATCCGAGAACTTCTCGGTCTCAGAGAGGAATATCATTCCTACCGGGACTAATCTGATTTCTGGTTTTGCGTTGTTTTGGTATGAGCGTCCATTCTGCTGCTCGTCTGCAATTGCATGTCCATTGACTCACTGGCCTAGTGGGGATTTCTGGCGGATTTTACCGGAAACAGATTTGCGCTGGTGATTTTACCTTTGGTAAGAACCTTCCAACAGCTCCCATCTTGACAGCCTTAGCCTCTAACCGGCCAGAAGACCTACGGCCTGATTCCAAACGGCATCCTGGCTGTGTGGCCAGCTAGTATAAAATTGAAGGAGTTTGCTTTCCTGACAGATGGTGTCCAGCTCATGACAGCCATATTGTAAGTCGCATAAATTGTTTCTTGACACAGTGTCCTGGACTTTACAGAACTGACCAAATCTCACACAGTTACACTTGGGCCAACGAAGTCTGCGCCGATGATAACGAAGAAAGAGCACTTGTAGTCAGCAGCATGAATGGATTCCAGTATGCGGTAAGCTAACCTTTACCATGCACGTTTTCCTGCGACATGGATTAACTCTCGCTTGTGCTTTTCAGGTTGCTGCATGGCTGCCAATTGTTTTTGATTCCGCAAACCGAGGCGCCATCATTCCGTAAGTCTATCTTCACTTCGATCGGCTTCTCTAGGACGCGCTAAGCATCGTTTATTGTCTAGGCAAGGGCTTTCCTGCGACATTTGCGTTTGTTATCGCTGCCCTTATTTTGATTGTAGTCATACAACTTCTGGCAGTCCGGGAACGACGACTAAACGCTTCAAAGCAAAGAGAAGATAATTCGGTCGGAGAGTATGAAGTTTGGTCTCAGCAAGAGGGATCAGATGATGAAGAGAACAATAAGGTAACAAGGTTCCGAGAGTGGAGTTACTCGATAGGCGCTAATGTGATAAAACCTAATAGGTCGCAAAGACGACCATATCGGCGCAAAAGGATGCTTGAGATATTGTTATGAGGTGAATTCAATCGCCAGAGAACAGTGTCCTCTTGATGCAAGTGAAAAATATCAGCCATGTTAGAGCTTATATATTTGTAGCCTTATGTTGTCTCCAACTGATTACCCGAATATGCCAATTCGGAGCGTACAACATCAGCTTTACTTAACCAAGAGCCGAGTCTTTCACTCCACAGTGAAACATAATACTTAGCTAGATTATCACCCGCTCATCCTAAGTTAAGTCACCAAGTCCATCCTGCTGTAGCCAATGCTGCAGTACACCGGCTCCAGGTCCTTTGAGCCTAGGTGTAAACATAACAGAACGGCCCCCCCATAGTACCCGAAAGTTGCCTGAGAGTCTTCGGCGGCGCTAGAAAGCCCCCCATATCCACGATGTCATCCAAAGTAGCATTAATAGATGCGCCATCTGGAGTCAAGAACCCAGTAGGTCCGATAACCTGGTATGTGCGCTTAGCCGGGTCCTGGTTCTGCCAAGTCCAGAAAAGCCGATCAATAGCGGCATGGTGGAGGAAGAATGCTGGATCGCCGAGGGAGGTAAAGAAGTCCTGTCCTGGATTGGTGATAAATTTAGCTGGGAAGCTCTGGACCGCGTGAAAAGACACAATAAAATATGAATGGGGAGGCACTTACTCCATCAGGATCTCCACCAACGGTGTAATGTCCCCCTGAGTGGACACCCAGATAACCGGGCGTAGCTACCATTCCCTGCATGAGGGTTTCAAAGCCCCAGATATCGGACTCCTTGTCAGCTGAAGGTTTTTCGTGTCAATCACATCTTGCTTATGTACACCGCTGGCCGTCAGGCTGCCCGCGGCCATCTATTTCATCTTGTACACGTTCAGACCGACGCACGATTTATCAGTCTACCATCTTGTCTCAATCTGTACAGCAGGTCTCGTAAGTATGCAGAGACGTCAGCCAGTGGATCGAAATGTCTTCAGCATTGCAATTATCTGTGCACTACGTGAAGAGTCTGATGCAGTCGAAGCGACATTTGATCATTTCTTTGAAGATGATGAGCTACTCTACAATAAAGTTGCAGGAGACCTCAACACTTACACATTTGGCCAAATCGGCCTACATCATGTAGTTCTGGCATATATGCCCGGCATGGGAAAAGCTAATTCTGCCAGCTTAACCGCCAGTTTTCGCGCGAGCTTCCCTCTTGTTCGCCTTGGGCTGGTTGTCGGCATTTGTGGTGGTGTGCCTTACGGTGCCGACGAGATATTTCTTGGCGACGTGATTATCAGTACGGGGGTGGTGCAAACCGACTTTGGACGACAATACACGCATCAAATTATTCGCAAAGACACACTTGAAGACAACCTTGCGCGGCCTAATGCTGAAATCCGGGCATTCTTGCATCAGCTTCGAGGATGGAGAGCCCGGCGAAAATTCCAACAGAATGTTTCGAAAAATATCTCTAAGATTTGCGGCAAAGAAGGGTTCGGCAGCTGGACCAGTCCAGGAGCAGAGAATGACAAGCTGTATAGAGCAGACTATGGCCACATCCATCGAGGCTCCGGGGTCTGCTCTACGTGTGCTCCACCGGGCGAGAGAGATCTCGTCGCCTGTGACAGCGCGCGTACCACGTCATGTGCACTGCTGAAATGCGACGAAACTCAACTCATTCAAAGAAAATATCGAACTGATAATCTTCCGGCAATCCATTTCGGTCGTATCGCTTCGAGCGACCAAGTCATAAAGTCTGCGCCCGATCGGGATCGGATTGCGAAACAGGAGGAGGTACTGGGTTTTGAGATGGAAGGGGCTGGTGTGTGGGATAACCTCCCTACTATCATCGTGAAAGGTGTCTGTGATTATGCCGACAGTCATAAAAATAAGAAATGGCAGAAGTACGCGTCCGTCACCGCAGCTTCGTGTGCGAAGGCCCTGCTACAGGAGTGGCGAGTGGCCGGTCAAAGCAGCACACATCCCGGCCCGACTCGCATGGCCGAACATCAACCTGAGACCGATGCTGCGAATAATCCGGTAAGTCACCTAGAGATCTTCTCCCGATCTATCACTGACAAGCTGGAAACAGGGTGAGGGGGTTATATTTAATAATCACGCCCAAGTTGGGAATCAGGGGGTTCACCAGACTTTTCACGGGAATGTTGCATTCCATAATGGATAAGCAAAGGTCGCTCGCTGCAGGCCAAATATTCGTTGTCACATCTTGGTCCATAAAATTATGTGTTGGCAGCCTGGTAGGGCACAATCTCATACCACAGTAAATTAAAGTGGGAAATGCGCCACGGATTCGTACTCATGCGAATACCCATTCGCTGCAGGGACAGAGGGGTTTGTTTCATGCGGAGCGTGCCTCAGCTGACGGGGCCATCCGATGTAGTCCCATCGTCGTCAACTGCAGCCGCAGTAACTATCTTGCAAAGTGCCCTGTCTTCCATAACAGCCTGGGACTACCTATGTCCCACCCAGAAACTAGTTTGAACGTGCAAGGCTCTTGTAAGTCCTGTGTGGTCGGGTGACACTGGGCCAACTAGCCGCTCTACTCGCGAGCGGCATATTGTAGATGAGGGGTAGTATCGCTTGCAGCATCTACATAGGTTGATGATTGGATAAACCCTCAGCCTCGCGTGCATTAATTCTTGGCAAGTGAGAAGCTGAGCTCGCATCTTACGAGTTCGCTCTGCTAGAACGCTGTCACTACAGCTTCCACAGGTTGAACACATGCCTTTTTGCAGTGTTGATTGTGTCGACCGAATTTTCGTACAAGCAAGATTTAAGATCTGACTCCGGCCACCATAAGTCTACATAACGCCCCAGAAAGCCCCTGCCAGGACGAGAGAGCCAGCGCCGCGTATGGCGATAACATTGGAGTTATGGATAGAGAGAAAAGAGGCTCGCACGACAACCTGACGACCTTCAATAACAAGGGCAGTGTTTCAAACCAGGGTGTCCACCAAACATTCTACTATTATTGCCATGATCCAACCCAAAGTGATGATTCGCCCACTGACTTAGATGGTAAGTTTTTGGCCACCTCGAAGCTGCAGTATAATTCCTCAGATGCTAATGTTTATTCTGAGATAAAAGTCCTCGATTCGCTCGCTTTTCCAGGGATAGATGAAAGACGTGGCAACGTGAAGAGGCCCCATACAGACACTTGCACTTGGATCCTGAAGTTGGAGGAGTACAGGGATTGGATGGACAGGTCCCATGGTCTTTTATGGGTCAAAGGGAAACCAGGTTCTGGAAAATCAACGTTAATGGCGTTTATGCACCAGGAGATCAAGGGTCGCATCCTGCCCGGGAATCCTGTGTTAGAATTTTTTTTCAGCGCACGAGGGACGGAGCTACAGCGTACACCGCTGGGAATGTTCCGATCCTTGTTGAACCAGTTATGCCGTCAAGATGCGGATACGCGTGCAAGATTACGCACTACATATGAGGCCAAATGTGCAGAGTTTGGACGGGCAAAGAACGGCTGGGAATGGCGGCAACCGGAGCTTGAGATCATTCTACAAGAACAAATTGTCGCATCTGCCAAGCACAAACCTCTTACGATTTTTGTGGATGCTTTGGATGAGGCTGGCGCAAAATCTGCATCAGAGCTCGTGGAATATTTCAACCGGGTAAATGACTCTGTCGCAATGAATGGAGCTTCAGGAAAGATCTGTATTTCTTGCCGGCACTATCCTGTCTTGATCAGTGAATCAGGGACCGAAATCTGCGTGGAAAATCACAATCACGATGACATCTCGACATTCATACATAATTCGCTGCCCTTAGGCTCGCTTTTAATCGAAAAGATCCTGGATCACCAGTCCTGGGACAACTTGAAAATGGAGCTAATTAAATCTGCAAATGGGATTTTTCAATGGGTTCGGCTGATTGTACCTCTCATCAAAATGAAATTCCATGACGGAGAATCAGTCGCGAATGTCCAGCAATTCATACGCAGAGTCCCTCATGAACTCGGAGATATCTACGAATATATTCTGCACAGTGTGATTCCACATGAGTATCGGACTAGGGCATTTGCCTTATTTCAATGGGTCTGTCTAGCAGAGAGACCGCTATCGGTAACAGAGTTGCGATATGCCATGGCCGCGAAGGATGCATGCACCACCCTCGGCCACATTCCATGCCATAAGTCCCCTGACTTCATATCTGATGACGGATTTATGAAGCGGCGAGTGAACGCGATGTCCGGAGGATTGATTGAGGTAGTCAGCAATGGGAGCCGTCAAAATGTCCAAGTTATCCATCAATCAGTGAATGATTTTCTTCTAGCTGAAGGCTTGCGCATGTTGGCTAATATTCAGAATCAACAAGGGGAGCCGCCCGCAAGGAAAACGAGAGAAACGCAAAACAATGACTTCACATTAGAATCAATTCAGGGCGTTCTTTATCGCGCTTGTCTACACTACTTGACAACAGAAAATATACCAACAATTCAAAGTGAGACAGACAGCGGACATCGGGCACTGTGTCCATTTCTTGATTATGCAACGATCAATCTTTTTATTCATGCTAAAAAAGCCCGAGCATATCGGTTTGAAGACATTGAACAAGAAATATGCTGGCTTGAAAAGATCCTTCTGAAATGGATTACAAGCTACCGGTCGCTACATAGAGGGTTAGTCGAGGCGCCAGCGCTACTGACGACGTTATTACATATTTCTTGCCAGAGCAACCTGACGTCAATTGTCAGAGCCCTGCTATCGACAAACATATCACCAAGGACAGCAGATGAGAGGGGAAATACTGCGCTCCATTATGCGGCACGATGTGGACATTCTGACATTGGTAGGATGTTGATAGGCAAAGGAGCTGACTTGAATGTGACGAACAATAATCAAAGCACTGCCCTTACCGCCGCTGTAGCACATGGCCAAAGGCTGTTTATAGAATTTTTGCTTCACGAAGGGGCGAACATTGATGGCAATGCACTGCAGACGGCAGCTAGAAAGGGATCAGCAGAGGTCGTCCAGATGCTGCTCGATGCGGGTGTTGATGTTAACGCGCAAGGTGGAAAATATGGTAACGCGCTTCAGGCAGCCTCCGATCGAGGGTCAAAAGAGGTAGTTCAAATGCTGCTCGATTCGGGTACTGATGTCAACACGCAAGGTGGATGGTATGGCAGCGCGCTCCAGGCAGCCTCCTTTCGAAAGTCAAAAGAGGTGGTCCAGATGCTGCTCGATGCTGGTGCTGATGTCAACACGCAAGGTGGATGGTATAGTAGCGCGCTCCAGGCAGCCTCCTTTCGAAAGTCAAAAGGGATAGTCCAAATTCTCCTTGATGCTGGTGCTGATGTTAACGCGCAAGGTGGACGATATGGCCATGCGCTCCAGGCAGCCTCCTATCAAGGGTCCAAAGAGGTAGTCCAAATGCTGCTCGATGCCGGTGCTGATGTCAACGCGCAAGGTGGAAAGTATGGCAGCGCGCTCCAGGCAGCCTCCGATCGAGGGTCAAAAGAGGTAGTCCAAATGCTGCTCGATGCTGGTGCTGATGTCAACACGCAAGGTGGATGGTATGGTAACGCGCTCCAGGCAGCCTCCTTTCGAAAGTCAAAAGGGATAGTCCGAATTCTCCTTGATGCTGGTGCTGATGTTAACGCGCAAGATGGAAAGTATGGCAGCGCGCTCCAGGCAGCCTCCGATCGAGAGTCAAAAGAGGTTGTCCAAATGCTGCTCGATTCGGGTGCTGATGTCAACACGCAAGGTGGAGTGTATGGTAATGCACTTCAGGCAGCTGTTCAAGAAAACGTGATCCGGGTCCCCTATCAACAGTCAAATGAGGTAGTCCAAATGCTGCTCGATGCGGGTGCTGATGTTAACGCGCAAGGTGGAGAGTATGGTAACGCGCTCCAGGCAGCCTCCTTTCGAAAGTCAAAAGGGATAGTCCAAATGCTCCTTGATGCTGGTGCTGATGTTAACGCGCAAGGTGGAAAGTATGGCAGCGCGCTTCAGGCAGCCTCCGATCGAGGGTCAAAAGAGGTTGTCCAAATGCTGCTCGACGCGGGTGCTAATGTCAACGCGAAAAGTGGACTGTATGGTAACGCGCTCCAGACAGCCTCCTATCGAGAGCTAAAAGAGGTAGTCCAAATACTGCTCGATGCGGGCGCTGATGTGAACGCACAAGGTGGACAATATAGCAATGCGCTCCAGGCAGCCTCCTGTCAAGAGTCAAAAGAGGTAGTCCAAATGCTGCTAGACGCGAAAGCAGATGTCAATGCTAAAGGCGGCAAGTACGGAAGCTCTGTCCATGCGGCCATCAGAAATGGATACCCCGAAACTGCCAAACGTCTTCTTCTCCATTTTGAATCTGACAGGCAGAGAGTCACGCACACTGCTGCTGACCGAAGCAGTAATCATAACTTTCATATGTCCGTGACTTCTTTAGCCTGTCTTCAAATAACAGACTTCTTCGGGAGAACACCTCTCCATCTTGCGGTCACATATGGTCATCTAGACCTCATTCCTTTCTTATCAGAGCCGACTGCGCCACCACTCCTCAGCGACAATTATGGTCGAAATCCGCTGGACTGGGCTTCCAATGACCCAGTATTCATTCAAGAATTGAAGAAATTTTGGCCCGCCGTGACTATTACACCAAAAGAGACTCAAATGCAAATCCTCCAGCAGTCATTACAGCAATCAGCAAAAAATCTTCTGCAAAGCACGGATAACTGGTTATACTTCGAGTTATTTCAACTCGGTCGTTGTCTCATGTTTCTCGAAAAATTCGATGAAGCCTCCTTCATCTTTTCACAACAGCCGTACCACCTTAATGCTGATAACCCTCAAAAAGCTGCTGCATACTGCCATGTCTGTCAACGCTTCTGGAGTTCAAAATCGCGCTTTATTTGTAAAACGTGCCCAGAGGTGGAGTTGTGCTCGACATGTATGGCCCGGTATCCTCACAGTGCTAAACTACGGGCCTGTCGGAGTCACAGCTTCCTTGAAGTGTTATATCCGCCCTACCCCATCAACTCTTCATCTCCCAGTACGAGTCCTGATGATGTACAAGAATGGTTGAAGTGTCTTTTGGTTCGATTTGGAGAGCTACCATCTCATGCAGGTGATGTCAAAACTTGTGCTGGATTTCTTCGCAAGATCATTATAGTAGCATCACTCTTTCTTTTTATTCCAACTGCTTACTTCCTTTTATCCCTATCATGGGCGTACAGATGAATGGATTTGCTTTTTGGAAGCGACTTTGCAGTCTTGAGGAGATTTTGTAAATACCTGCATGAACTTGGCCCGCGTGTGGTCCACATGATGCTGCTAAAGTATCACATGATTACACTACATAATTATGAAGGCGTGTTGTAAATTTGCATTCATTAATTTCACGCAATATCCCTTCTAGCAATATATCAGAGGGGTCTTGTTTGTGCAAATCCTTGCAAGCTGATCATTCTTGGCACTTGGTTGTTGCAGCATGGGATAAAACAAGTATGTTGAGACAGGTCGTATAGATTTCTTGTTTAATTCTTTCCCCATCATGGGCGGTGGGCCAGTCCCAAACCAAATACAGTGTGAGTAACCCAGGGGCGATGTTTGCTGGGATCCAAATGATATTACCACATCAGAGGTCGCTTCCCTGTATTGGGTCGGGAGAATGGCCGAGCAGGGCCTGTCGCTGTTTTGAAACAAGGCTGTCATTGACCTGGAAGCAATGCCCATCGTCAAAATTGAAGAGGCCCAGCAGTGACCCGCGTCCGTCCCCCCAAGGCTCCATCATGATTCCACACCTTGTGTATCTCAAGCAAGGTGTCATCCTCAGATGGGGGGAAGTGCTATATACGTATACTTGGCATGGAGAAGGCTTTCCTGGAGGGACCCATGGACGCGTGACATGGCCGTTCTCTTGGTACGCGTAAAATGACACGATCTCCCTGATTAGCCTGTAGTATAGAACTCTCTGTCGTCTGATTTGGCTTTCATTTGGTAGGAGGGCATATCAAATCACTATCCAGCTGCGAGTCGGTAGCCGAGGGAAGCAGATTGATCATAGTGGTGTCCTCAAACGCAAGGGAGGTGCGTAGGACTGGAGCAGATCAGTCAATGTTTGAAGATTAAAGAACAGTGGAATAGACCATTTCCTCGAGCGTAACCTGGCTTCCCCAGACTTCCATTTAGTGAGACCTCTGCAAGTTATTCTACCCAGGAGTGGGCCAGGGCAAGTGACGCGAATACTATGAAGGGCATCATTTTGTTCTTGAACGACGTGCATATTACTTAACCACGATGGTATCCAGACTCCTTTATAAGCTCCCTCTTCCAGAAACCGTGGTGCCAAGTTAGAATTATTTAGAGTTTGTAGGTAGCTATAAATAACATTAGTGAGATTATGTAGCCACGCGGCTCCAGGGGGGTCGAGCCTATATAGAGAAGATGAACAGCCTCCTCGCCACAAAGAAAACCACCACACGACCAAGGATCACGATGGACCCAACCCAGGATAAAAGAATTTCTACTTTCCGGAGAACCAACATCGGCATATCGTCCAATTCTCTTAAGAGAGGGTTAGAGTCCAACGAGAGAGTCAGCCATGGAAAACTTCAAAAGTCGGCCGCTAATGAGACGGAGTTGGCGCACAAAAAAGCAGCTGATCCATGGCAGCAATATCAAAGGATCTATAAATTAAATCTTGCCGGTCAAGGATTTGTGGTTCACCGGAAAGACAACACGTTTGCAGAACACTTTTTGAAGGAGGTGAAAGTTGATAAAAAGGAATGGCTCTCGCGACTGACCGGCGCGTCCCACAAGAATGTTGTGGCTCTACATGAGTCTCTATACCATTCTGGGGCTATATTTTTGTGACAGAAATATGTGGGTCTACCGAAGAAGTGATTATTCGACCGAGTTATATGATCATATTCAAATGAATGAAGGTCTTAATCCTTTCTAACTACACGATAAAGAAGCCGATATTTATGCAATTTCAGGGGCTTCAAGATCGTCATAAATGAGCGGAATTGCATGATTGATATCGTCATAAATCAATACGGTTGCATGATCGGTTCGGTCAAGCAAGGCGATTATATAAGCGGATTAGTCATCTCCCGCTGCCACAGAAATGAACAGGTCAGATTCGGACGCGACTTGAATGTGGCCGCGTGAGATGACTAATCCGCTTATATCATCGCCTTGCTTGACCGGACCGATCATGCAACCGTATTGATTTATGACGATATCAATCATGCAATTCCGCTCATTTTATGACGATCCTGAAGCCCTGAGACTGCATAAATATTGGCTTCTTTATCGTGTAGTTAGAAAGAATCAAGACCTTCATTCAGTTGAAAACGATCCTATTCCTTAGTTGAATAATCGCTTCTCGGTAGACCCACATATTTCTGCCACATTGAATAAACAAACGCACGTGATAAGCCTTCTCTTATTGGGTGGTAATTCATATTGGGAGTGGGGCAATATTCGTACGAATATTCGTACGAATATCGGGCCTGCGAATACGAATATTCGTGGAGATCTGTGTATTCGTGCCGACCCCTACCTCAAACTCAATCCGCCAAAAGTTAGGTTTTATGTGTCACGGGCTTGGCAGGGGGTAGGTGCGCTTCTACCCGCCAAGACCGTTTAGTAGGTCTGTGGGACGGTTACCGACTGAGCTACTAAAAAGACCAGAATACCAAGTCAACGACTTCGTACGCGCATCGCTCTATATAGTGGTTCTTGGTCAGTTCGTCACATTATGCTGTACCAGTGACGATTCTTGAGCTTCTTGTCGACGTCCTCCGTGAAAATATCAAGATTGCAGACTTTCTGGACACCCTTTTCTCTCATGTTACGTGGGAGACTAGCAGGAGGGGAGGTTGACATGACGATCTGTAACTTCCAGTGCTGGTTCTCTTGACCTGGATCTACCTTTAGCTGGAATTCCCTCGTGAAACCCGTATGTAGAATCGGGGAGCCCTGTATAAATAATCAGTCCTGAATAAAATGGAACATTAAGTGTTTGACATGGGATGAGTTAAATTCTTGCCTGGATTACAAGCCAGTCGATTTGATTCACGGCGAACATATTTTTATCGCGAAGATCTAGGCGCACCGGTTCCCCAACGTGTTTGTTCGGGTCATAGAGTTTGTCGCACATGATGCCGTAACTGACAGGAGCATATTATTATTATTATTCAATCAAGTTTATTGTCCATGCCGAGCTACTGGGGTTATGACAGACCGTGTGCAGTCGGCCCTGAGGCTAGGCCTCAGGGCCCTATCAGTTCCTAGGGCTATCCCCTCGTTTTAAATACATGCTGTTCCTTTTCCTCGCCCCATACCGCCTTCTCGCGCAGGGCTTTTGAGCGTGCTTGCTCTCCTTGGGATTTTAGCAGGAAGGGTATAGCCTAGACGTGTCCAGGCTACCCTTCCTGTTAGCCTTCTCCAGCTCGTTCAGCTTCCTCTAGGGCTTCTAGGCCCCATTAATTGTCTCTCTCTGCTCTGTGTTGATCCTTCTGGTATTGACCTCCGGGAAGGGCCACGTCTGTATTAGCTAAAAAGTCCAGTAGGGCTTTAGTAGCTTTAGGCTCCCCAAAGAGCCTGCTTTCCGGGTGGTTTTCATGTACAGAAGGCCTTGCTATTCCCGCTCTATCTAGAGCTATGTATAGCACCTCTCGTTGCCGTCGCCATTGCCGGCAGCTGACTAGTATTTGAGAGACTGTCTTCCTAGGAGCTTGGCAGTTTTGGCAGGTCGCTCTTTCCCGAGATTTTATGCGCTGTAGACATGATCCGATAGCTTCATGTCCTACCTTCATCTGGAAGTATCGGCTAGCTAGGCCCTTAGTAGCTGTTGCTGCTATAGGATCCAGTTGCCAGCCTCTTCCAGATTTATAGGTTCTCTGTGTCTATTGTGATCTCCGGTTAAGACTATTCTCTAGCCAGTGTTGTCCGTTTATTCTCAACGCCTCTGTACGGGTTCTGCGAGTAAATGCTAGTGAGATTTCTCTGCAGCCTGGTCCCGGTGTTTGCGTTGCAGCTTGTTTTGCTGCCTGATCTGCCCTTTCGTTTCATTCTATACCTGCATGTCCTGGGACCCATTGAATTAGTAGTGGAATATATGGTCAGGTTCTTCATTTATGTTCACTCGTGTTGATTGTCTACAGCCTTCCTTCAATCAGTCCAGCCACAAGTTATATGCCCCTTGAAGGGTAAGCATAGCCAAGCAGGGATCAGGCAATTCCTTGCTTCCATCAACTAAATAACGGAATGCATTTTGTGTCTTTGCTTTGTCTTATTTAGTTGGCTTAGCTGCAGCGCGAAGCCTAGGCGCCTACGTACATATGTATACTCCCTGGCTCAAATATGGGGAAATGCCCGAGTTGCAGATGTGGAAAAGCCATTTGCGATATATTCTAAATACAACCGTAATTCGCTAGTTATACAGTATCGAACGATATACTTCTATTGGGATCGGAATTATTATATGGGAGGTAGCAATTGAAATACGGACTGGTGGCACTCCAGACTATTTCGAATACGTGCACAGTGAAGTCGGAGATTTCTCTATACTTCAACCAGAAAGTGTATGAATAGGACCTAGGTAACTACTCTTATCTATTGGAGGAATTAGTCAGTTTCTAGATAAAACTTATTCTTAGAAACCTGCATAGAGAGAATTAGGCGAGGAAGACTCTTCAGCTCAACGTTTCATAATCTGTTATTATAGCTAACTAATTAGGTTAGCCTTATATAATTCCGCAACAAAGAATATTAACAAGCAGAATGACTATTCATTATATTCTCCAGTCTTGAGATTTGATTGCTCTCTCCTATCTTCACCGGAGTCCCCTTCGCTATAAATCTGGTAAAATCTAAGGTTTCAAACATGGAGACAGCCAGCTGAAACAGCTTTCGAAGCCAGCCTCGCAGATCAACAATTAAAAAAGAGTTTGGACAGAAGATGCACCATGAAAACCGTTAGAATCGTACTCTGATTACTCTTTAAATAGATAACAATAATAATAATAATAATATTGTTACTCCGTTGGGCCCATGGCCATCAAATAGAATATTACAATTATTAAGAGTATCAACTGTATCATAAGGTAGACCCTAGCTGGTTTCCCACATAGAGGGGCCGTGTGAATCGGTCTTATTTTGGTCTTGCCAGTTCCACCCGAGGTGCCGCTCCATCAGGAATTTTCCTTCTACGTTGCCGACGAAGAAAAAACCCTAAAAGTCCGATTATCGCGATACCACCCACGGCAGCGCCAACGCCAACGCCCGCTTTTTCACCCGTAGAGAGACTTGACGATGACTCGGCTTTTTGCGACGTCTCAGTTTGCGCCGTCTCGGTGTGTGACGACTCAGTTTGCGTCGGCTCGGTGTATGACGACTCAGTTTGCGCCGTCTGGGTTTGCGACGTCTCGGCTTGCGTTGACATGGTTACTACCTCCGATGGTAGGGAAAAATTATCCAATGTAGATAAAGAGATTGTACTTGTTGCGGTTTTAGACATATGGAAGTTGATTTTGAGAGTCACCTCAGATTCCGTTCCACAGCAACTCCTGCTTGTACCGCAGCACCATGTTTCAGGCTCATCAGTGTCATCGCAGGGTGTCAGGTATGAGTAGCTGCTGTTTGCTTTACCGGTCTGGTAACCATAGTTCTTATTAGACTGCTTTCATTTATATCATAAAGAAAAGGACTCTATGAAAATAATGACATACCGTACAAACCTCCAAACAGTCCGACCAGGAATTTTCCGAGCACAGCCCGCGATAGTAGTATCCTTGGGTGTCTTCACAAAGGCCATTTCCGAGACAATCACTCTTCCCTGCACAGCACGCTTTAATACCGTCGCATTTCTTCCAGTGGGGGTCGTAACTCTTTCTATCGGGTGTAAAACAGTGGTCATCGGCCGAGGAAGGCGACAAAAGCGGGATAAGTATAAGGAAGAAGGACAAGTACTTCATGATAGATGATTCCCCTTTGGATCGCGGGATCTTGGACACGAAAGTGCAACGGGAATGTGAGGAACGTCCAAACTTCCAATGAAAAAGGGGAGGGGCAAACAACAAGACAGCCGCCGGAGAAGACCGCTACCTCCGCCAAGAATACGTGATCTCTAGTCTATGGGTGGCGTGTGTTAGCTGCTGTAATTGTCGGTTATTACGGGCTCGAGGCTGAAAGAGATTCTGGGGTTATTGGCAGTGTCTTCTCACAGGACCTGTTCAAACATACCTGTGTATAGGGCTTCGGCTGAACCATTAAGATGCAACAGAGCATGAATATAAACAGACCCCAAAGGCGGAAGGAATACGTAAACTCACCGAGACTAACAAAGAATAGTCTGTGGACACTGATAATCAGGGCCCACGAAGGGACAGGCCGATGGGAAGGAACAGGAGTGGACCTCCCAAATACACGGTTCCATCGCAACACTCCCCATGTGGCATAGGGTTCTATCTCTGCGCCGTCAGGCTGAAAATCGGACGCGATCCCTGTTCACCCGAAGAGCACTATCTAAGACCGAAAGGGTAAAAGTGAGGGGAACCTTGCGAGCATAATACACCATCGCAGGCGCTGCTTGGACAAGGATCTAGATCCCTGTAGAGGTATCCCGCGTGCTAACAACAATCCCTTCTCCGTCTCCCTTAGTTGATGTGTACCCTATATCCGATACTTCAGACGAGTTGGTTATCGTCCGACCAGATCAAAACCACCGAGAAATGGGACCATCAAAACACCGCGCCCGTTTCTTTTCTCCCCACCGCTCAAGCGCAAGCCAATCCGAAACATCCTCCCAGCCAGACTCCATACTCACCTCCCCATCAACTGCCGCCTTGCAAGAGCCGAACTCGTCCTCCTCCGCCACCGAACAAGCCGCCCAGCACCTCAGAACCACAAACCGCATCCGCACAGAACTCGAAGAAGTCCGGCGTCTGCGACGACTCCACGACCCGAGCTTAAACACCGACGAGGCGGACAAGATCGACCGGACGATAGCCGACACCGCAGAGGCAATCTACGAAGTCGCCGTGCTGCTGGAGCCGACGCGCATCGAGCAGGAGGTGCGCGGGGGAAAACTGAGTCTGGGGAGCCAGCTGCGGTGGAAGTATCGAGATAGCCAGCAAGTGATTCACAAGTTGATTCTGTTACTGCAGTGTTATCAAGACTTGATCCCGGTGTTGAGTGATTTGCGGCGGGTGAATGTGTCGCAGCAGCTGCCGCCGAGGAGATTTGAGCTGGAGGCTGGGGTTCCGCCGAGTGTTTCACTGGAGACTAGAGACAATAATATCCCTCTTGATGGGCCCGCTCGGGGAGATATTGTCGCTCCTCCGGGTGGAGGGGGAAAGGGGTTCCTTGTTGAAAGACCGCATGAGAAGATCGTGGGGATGGGTGCCGAGACACCAGGCTCAGCTATGAGAAAGCCTGAGGAGAAAAATCCCGTCAATGCTGGTGCTGTGAATGGCGAGATGCACGATTTACTGGCGTGGCGGCGCTCGCGAAATCCGGTTACTGAAACCAAGCGGTCCTCCATTTACATGTCGCCTACACCGAAAGCGAAAGGGAAAACTTAATGTTCTCTACCTCTGATCTGATGCGTTCGGTGTTTCTTTTGGCATATACCCTTTACTTTCCTATTTCCTCCTTTACATCAAATCATGAATTGCACAACATCGCACCAGAAATAGTTCTCTTTTCCGTTGATCATCATGCATGAACACTTCAACCATCTCCAGATATTCAATAACTCATGGAGCGGAGTATGCCAAGTGATAAGCAAACCCATTAATCCATCGTCAAACATATACTATCAAACCCGTGCCACCGTTCTCTCTACTAACATCTGAGGTGCCGACAACCGCAGACCAAACTCATCAGACACCTTAACTACCGCCGGAAAAATAATCACATGGCCCAAAGGAATTGAATCTATATCCCACCGGAAATCAAAGGTACACGGATGAGAGAACAGCCAAACTCCCAGGTCGGACGCTGCTCGGAACACGCTAGTCAGGTGCGCCAGGCGGCCCGAATCGGAGAACTGCGAGCCGCCGTACGAGGCAAACGTGGTCGAGAATCTTTCGGCGAGGGATTCGATCACGTCCTCTGGGGGAGCCAATTCCGGTGAGTTTTGAGCTGGACGTTCTGTCCTGTGGAGATATGCTGTGAGCATGCGCCAGGCGAACACGGGGCGGTTTTCATCTAGGTAAGAAAACGCATTTTAGTCTAGTTTAAATAAGGTGCAACCGGAGAGGGCGCCGATTACCGTTATTCGTATTTACTGACAGACCAGACGCGTATGGCGTCGGGAGCAGGCACTCGGTATGTTGTCCGGGTTGGATCCCCTGCAGAAGGGCTCGCACCAGGACATGTGTCAGGACGGCTCTTCCGGCTCGTGGTTTCGAGAGGATGACGGCCAGCGGGGCGGGCAAGAAGGCGGACTCATAGTGATCAATGCTCAAGGGGGATACTCCTCCTTGTGACAAACGAAGTCTGGGAGAGTCTGTGGAATAGTAATTGTCGATGTGAAGACTGGCCTTGTCGAAGAGGGTTTGGATGCGCGAGGCCGTCGTGCCGTCATCTGCCGGCTGTGGGACATAAGACGATAGGTCCAAATATTGCGCCCCAACCGAGACCGACTGAGCAGGCGGTGCTACTTTCTTCGCGGAAGGAAGTGATGAGTAAGTCGGTTGAGTGTAGATTTGTCCCAGTCCTTTCACGGGGCCGGAGGTCGTCGTCCTTCCTCCCTTCGCCTCTGTGTGGGACTTGTTGTTTCGCCTGCGACGAAGGAACAAAATAGTGCCTAGGAGCGTAAGAAGAAATGTCCCGGCTATAGAGCCTACGATTGCCCCTGCAAGACCACCTTCGCTTATACTGCTACTTGCATGGTTCGTATCGGGGGTGCTTGCGGCGCTGCTAGAGGTGGGAATCAAAGACCCCTGCAGGCCCGACGTAGTTGAGTGGGTGAAGGATGGAGAACTCAAGGGGCTAGTTGTAGATGTTGAAACACTGCCAGACTCAGAAATCGAGGACGAAGGCCGAGTTGGCTGGGTAACACCGTCGTTGGAGGGATTGTTGCCCGCAGCGCTAGAACTGGTGTTCACAGTACTGATGTTCACAGTACTGGTATTCGCAGGATTGGTGTCGGTAGGAGTAATAGTGGGAGTAGTTACATTGAGAGTCAAAGCTGTCGCTCGGGCTGCGTCATTATTATCTTGTTGAGATTGTGCTGCTTCCTGCCCAGTCGGTTGAGTTTGTTCTGACATTGCCGAAGGAGTTTTTAAAAAGGCACGAGTCGCGACGCTCGAAGTCAGAGGACCCACACCGAGTTCATGCCCGGACCGGCCGGTGTATTTATGTGTTTACGAAAGACCAGATTCGAGCAGCGGCGCTAAAAGCCGGGGTTTATTTAATTCACTGAGTCTATCGAGCTGAGTGAGTTGGCGTCTCGGCGGACTGACTCGTAAGAATACGTGCGTTTCTGGCATCCTTGTCTAGGGGGAAACAGTGGCGCAGTCTAGGGTGACCATTAAAATACAGAGCGCGTTCCCCCGCTCAGAGCTTTCTCGAGGCAGTCAACTCGGAGCCTTGTCAGGTCAGAACCTGGTCCCCCCTCAGGAGCCGCGATCATGAGCGATAAAGAAGTTGTATCGGGCTTCCCAGAGTGCTGGACCCCGGATATTGTGGTAGGAATTGACTTTGGCATGACCTTTACGGGTACACACGCAAGGCTCTGGCGCCACACAGGGACTCTCAGAGCTGACAACGACCAGGTGTCGCGTACTCCTGTGGTCCCGAATGGTCCTCGCCGAAGACCATACAGCGTTGGCCGGGAACGCTGCTCAGCGAGCTGGCAAACAAAGTGCCGACTTCCCTGGAATACTGTTCGGAATCCGGTCTCCTTCAGAATTGGGGATTTAAGTGTGATCCCGAAGCGAAGGGATCCGATATCAAGGAGTTCTTCAAGCTACACCTGGCACCTCAGGATCACGATGAGTTTCGGGGGGGTTCTACTAGACAGGAGGCCCAGCGCTGGTTCCAGGACTTTATCCTATGCATCTACCAGCACACCGTCTCCCTCTTCAATAACACAATACCTCATTTTGGCTCGCGACAAGTCGAATTTTCCTTCAGCGTGCCGACCACGTGGAAGGATGTGCGCATGGTGCAGGAAACTCGGGAGATACTTGAGCGCGTGATCAACACAAAAACACCGCGCCATCGCGCTTATATAGGTCTCACCGAGGCGGAGGCAGCAGCAGTATATGCCGGAAATGAACATTATTTGGTGCGTGATCATGAACCAGGTGATTATTTCTCGTGTGTCGGAATTAACACATCTTTTGCTAGGTTGACGATACGATTCTTGTCTGTGATGCAGGCGGAGGGACCACGGTTGTTTCGCCCAAAAGCACGTTTTTGTCGCCGTATTCTAATTTGAGATCTAGGACGTGAATGTCCTAAAGCTTATATCAGATCGAGGTGAACCAACTAGGCTGGAACAACTGGGTCACGTTGAAGGTATTAAACATCTTGTACATATGCAGTGTTTGGAGTAGCTTGGGCTAACAATATACTAGGACAACCAATCGGCTCTGTCTTCATCGACAGAAATATCCACCATCTCATATCCCAAAGATTGAACAAGGTTCGCGACTATTTAAAGCTCTCGCCGAGCGATGTGGCATGGATGATGATTTCAGGTTTCTTCCAAAGGATGAAATGTTCCTTTGGTACCGATTCTATACTCACGCCGTGGCTGATGCTGGATGTTCCAAAATTGGAATCTGCGTTGGACTTCCCAGAAGCAGAGATTTATAATGGGAAAATGTGGATTGCATGGTAACTATTGGCCTGAATCTTGTTATTAACGCCTGTAGATTGTCCGTTGCTGACAAAATTTCAGGGACCATATTCAGGACTGCTTTGACTTAATGATAGATAAAATGTGCGCTCTCCTGGACGGGCATATTCGCCAAACGCACTCCAAGTACCCAGGAGACAAAATAGTGTGTGCCTCTAACCAGTATTAATATCCAGCCGCTAACAGTCGATCCCGGGGTAGAAGTACCTTGTTCTCTCCGGGGGGTTTGGCAGCTCCCCATATGTAAGACAGCGTTTAGAAGAGAAATTCGGCAGTTCCGCCGTCAACAAACGTCCGAATGCCGAAGACATGCAAATTCTTGTAGCGGATGAGCCGTAAGTGAGCGGAAACAGACCGTCCTATACACGTCCGGTGTACTGATGCCAGCCCCGCACCCCCGTTTGACAGACAACTTGTAGTGGTCCATGGTCTCGTTCTGGATCGCATCCAGCAGATAAAACGCGGAGTGGTCACGTTTGGGTCGAGATGCGCTCCCGTCAGTTACGGCATCACGTGCGACAAACTATATGACCCGAACGAACACGTTGGGGAGCCAGTGCGTCTGGACCCTCGGGATAACAACATGTTCGCTGTGGATCAAATCGACTGGCTTGTGGTTCAGGCAAGACTTCCATCTTTCCCATGGCAATGTTCGCCGCTCCATCTCATCCAGGACTGATGGTCATACAGGGCTCCCCCATCCCACATGCAGGTCTGACGAGAGACTTTCAGCTCAAGGTAGACCCGGGTCAAGAGAATGATCAGCGGAAGTTACAAATCGTCATGTCGACCCTCCCCCCTGACAGTCTACCACGCAGCGTGAGGGAAAATGGTATACAGAAAGTCTGCGATCTTGATATTTCCACTGAAGAAGTTGACAAGAAGCTCAAGAATCGTCACTGGTACAGCATTAAACCTCACTTTTGGCGGGTTGCGTTCGAGGTGAAGATCGTGGTTGGGCCTGCCGATCTGTCCTTCCAGCTATGGTCCAAGGATAAGAAGATTCGCAGCGGAAAACATGAACCAATTGAAGTAACTTGGATGCCTGCGCAAGATTTACTAGAGGCTTGAATGCCTATGCAACATAATCGGATATATACACGGTCGTATTAGCAAAGCTTGTTGAGCAAAGAACATATGGACCACGGAGGCACAACCGCAAATACAGCCAATGTCTCTCAAGTTTCTCTAGAAACTGTATTAATGTAAATTAAACCCAAAATTCATCATTGCTATTAAAATCTAGATATTCTAAGAAGCTTGATAAAAGCCCTCGAAAGTTAATCTAGGTCTGCAAGAAATTGCAATTTGCATGTTGTTTGATAGTATATAGTTTGTTTTAGAAATCAAACCATAGGGTATGTGATATTTATTCCAGCCTCACATATCAATAGCTAGAAGAGGTTTTAGACAGAGAATACTCTATGAAAACTGCTAGATAATACTCTAAATGTTCTAAATTTAAAGATATAATAAAACCGAAAAACATATTGAAAACGTAGTATACTTAATCGGATTATCTTCGATCTAGACTGGTTTAGATCATATTTTATTGCTGAATCGTAATCCAATCCTCTGAAAACAAGCTTTATAGTAACCCATTTCCACAAGATTCCAATATTCCGGTCTACAACCAAATCTCCGTACCAACGCCGACTTCGTCTATCTGCAACCAACTTATCCAAGAGTCCGCATTGAGGATCTGAACTCAACGATAAAATATAGAGACATAGTTTCTTGAGAGACACGACAGCTGCCACACAGAAAAGATAAAAAGAAATCATACAGTCTTGGCATGCATATCCGAAATTTGCCAATATGCAACCTGGTCAGACCCTCGCCCCCTGCTTTCAGCCCTGCCTTGCGCCATCGATTTGGTCTTCGCACTTTTCTCTCGAAGCCTTGACGCTCGCTCTTTGTTTTTCTGTCGCATATTCATGTTCAAAACCACGTTGTTCAACTAAGGACGATGAAACACCTCTCTTTCCTCTTGGCAACCCTTCAGCTCATCTCATCATCCTCGTCTAATGAATCTGCTATAGACCCAATGGACGTAGTTCCCCAAACCATAACGCGAAGAAGCGCAACGGCGTGGAGGATTACTTGTGCATGTGCTGCGCTCAATCCAATGATTGTTTAACAAATGGCCTCTGCAAGGTCGCAGGAGATCAATCCACAAACTCCTCGGCATCATATTGGCACGACACGTGCTCGTTATCCTCTTGGCCTGACGTAGGCTGTTTCAAAATATTTGCGGTATGTCGATATACTCGCCCGGACCTCATAAGGATTGAGCCTCGTTCTCAGCGTTGAAAGGGTAAAAGAAGCTAAGAAACATCATTGCATTTAGGATGGTGATCTAGGATCCGAGAACACACAAATGACCCCCTGCGATGGTACGGATTATTCAGAAAAGTGGTGCTGTGGCACAACGACCGATTGTTGCGGAACAGAAGATGAGATGTCTGTCCCGAGAGAAATTTACATCTCCGCGCCTCTGACAAGCACTCTATCCACATCTATCTCCACACAAACAAGTACACACTCCCAGGCAACATTTACATCAACCAAGACCAATCCCAGTATAGCGTCAAGTCCAACTCAATCGTTAGAATATGAATCATCGTTAGGTCTTTCCACAGGTGGGAAAGCGGGCATTGGTGTTGGCGTTGCTGTGGGTGCCATCGCAGTAATCCGATTGTTGGCTTTCTTCCGTCGAAAACACAAGAGCAAATATCCTGTTGGAGCAGATCCTCTAATGGGAATACCAGGCTCATATGATGCACGGGAACTGGACACAGCTCCTGTGTATGAGAAACCTGCCGGGGCTCAGGACACGAGGCATGAATTACCAGGAGATTCAGTACTCATAACAACCGGGCGGTAGTTTGTAATATACAACTTTATATCCAAACAGGAAGAAGCTCTATACCTACTTGTTATATGATATTTATCTATCATGTATCAGATATCACATGTCCTATAGTTTTATTGTTAAAGCAGACCATATACTATCAGGCAAGTTCCAAGGAGCATTTAGTTTTGGATCTGCCTTGGTACCCACTACTTGGCATTTATTTCTCTTCAAATACACTTCTACCCTTTATAGAAGGACCAAAGATAGAAAAGAAGAACGACCATTCCAGTGGTTCACTCCTTGAAGTGAGACATCGGTACAGAATTTCTGTCACATATTGACGGAGTGACATAATAGACCGGGGCATAAGAGTAGATTCGGGTTGTTTGTGCCATGATGCAGGTGCTTCAAGGTTGTTAGTAGACTTTCAGCCCGACACGACCGTAGGGTTACATCAAGCCCCCGTATCCCGGCCGCAAGAAGGAAACATCCATGCAGGATACCCAGTGAGGTCATTCAATGCAGTCTGTAATGCCCTGACTAATCTAGCACAGGTCTGCAAAGTGCCGTTTGACCAGGAAGGTTCCTGCAATATTTTACTTCAATTACATTGTCTACGCGCTCCACAGCCATCTAGAATTCCATCAGATGCTGGGACCAATGAATATGATGAATAGCTTCCTGTTATTCCCAAGAATTCGCAATTGCCACCTCCAAGTTGTACATGTAAATCTCAAAATTTGAATCGCCAGTGTCGCCATCGTCTCCCTTTCCACTTTCAAATGTCGATTCAAGAAGTAGCGTACGCACAGAAAATCGATTGAAAACGATGCCTCCAACAATCACACTCTTCCCACCGCACCGTTTGGCTCCCAGCCTGGATTGGCCATCTCAAAGCCCTTGAACTCAAAACCCGGTGTCACAGAGCATCCAACAAGCGTCCAGTCTCCCAACGATTGTGCATGCTGCCATTCTCCCCGCTCGATCACGATCTGTGGCCTCTGACTTTTCCACAGATCCGGGCCCAGGACCAGGTCGCGGACGGGATTTCCATCATCCCAGGATAGCGAGAGCCGCAAGGGTGCGCCAGTATAGTAATGCCAGACTTCAACAGCGTCGAGCACACGGTGCCAATGCGAAGGGCCAGAATCGCCCTCCAGGAGGTAGTAGATATAGGTGCTCCATGAGCGGTCCTCGGATGATGCGTTCCGATCGCGGAATGTCTCGATGTAGTAGCCCTTCTCTGGATGAGGGGCTAGATTGAGGGCGAGGATGACGTCTTGGGCTGTATGGGTGGACTCCATCATTTTGCTTTTGAACTGCGTGGGCTTGGCTGGTGGTAAAGTATGGATTCTTTGGAATTTGAAAGTATCGGACCAGGTATTGTTCGATATAAAAGGCCACGAGATCAAGTCAAGAATCTTTGCAGAGATTCAGGGGCACTTGAGAGCTCCTCGTGCCTCTTTTATGTTTTCATCGCTAAGTAAACTATACCTCCAACATGAAACTTCCGCTACTGAGGACTGGAATGCTCCCAACAAAGAAACGCTGATGTGGCATGAGAGGGGCGTCGCACAAAATGCTCGAGATTATCCTTAGTCTTATTACTTGGTGCCACCACTTGGCAAAATACTTATGAGCACACTGATTGGGTCTGACGAAGTCCATTCAAGTCTCGTTTGCCGTTGATGAATTTGTTAGATGACAGAGGTACTGTACCTAATCAGGAAACAAGCAGCACAACACTCTACATTCCATGAGTCCTCCAAAATGATGGCAGTTTTGGAGGTTAAGAATTTCAATCATTCACCTATCACTGTGATAGTGATATATCATATAGTTTACCACATAATTTGGCAACTATTGTATGTATCCAAATTGAACGATTTAAGCAGCTAGGGAACCAATACCTTTGAGAATTAGAGACAAATTCTAACAGAAAAGAGCTTTTGTTTCCTTGAAAGACTAGTGATTGATTACAACAGGTTGATAGTTTTTATACTATCTCCATTTGTAAATTGTGCCACACCTGAGCTGTTGATGAAGCTTGCGCATATTTCCTCAAGAATGTATATTAACTACATAAAAAACAATAATTATATCTCCCCATCTCGTATATAATCCTTCTCTCTGATGTTTCATTTTCGTCATACGAACCAATTCCATACGTAAGGTAAAACTTAATTTGATAATACCCAGATTCTTCTCACAGAACAGAGAGGCGAAGTATCCTATCTCCCCAATTCTCAGGTCAGGGCCACAAAATTGTGTTGTTGATCTAGCAAGATATAAAGTGTCGGTGCTGCATATGGCATCCAGGATTGCGCAGGTTCTATCGGATATTTTATGTGGGCAGACAAGACAGGTAAGCAGCCACCAAATGTGACCCTGCAAACCAGTGAACATATGCAACCTCATAAGCGGCATCTGTAAATGGACTGGAAACAATGAAACCCTTGCATCATCTATTCTAGGTAATAAGGCAGATTTATCTAGAAATAGCTATGCTACGCGCCCGCGCCTAGTTTCCACATTTTCAGATTTTGAAAAATGACTTCTCTCTACAAACATCCTAGAGCTTAGTAATTAATATAAATTTGAAATCGGCAATACCCGAGATACAACACAAATAATTCCGAATATGAGCGATATCAAGGAAGATCTGCCCCTGTCTATGATGATTGCCGCTTTTACAGGCATTTCATGGTACATTGGAGTTGACATCAACGTATCATTGTTCCTGATCTTCAAGCGCTGTCGCGGGTTGTACTTCTGGTCATGCGCACTCATCTCGTGGGCTGTTATTTTACAGCCTCTGTTCATCATACTGGCGGACTTTGGTATATGGACAGATGTGTTACCATCTATAATCATGATCTACCTGACGTGGATGATTATGGTAGTCCCGCAAAGTTGGGTCCTATACTCGCGACTACATCTGCTTAGGTGTACTGCAAAAACACTAAGGCTTATCAAACATGTTCTAATATTCAATTCAATTGCATTTACCATACCGACCATCATCATCGGTACTATAGCTGTGAGTATTCTACTCTAACAAAAAGACACAGTGACAGACACCTACTTATGTGACCTCTCCTACATAGCAATCAACGACGATAAACCCAAAGCTCATATCCATCAATCTTATTTGGGACCGTGCTCAGCTTGTTGTCTTCTTCCTCCAAGAAACCACTCTCAGCATACTTTATATACTCCAGACACGAAAGTGCCTGGGTCAACGCTTACCACTCCTTGAGCGTTCCTGCTCTACGCCACCTGGCATTCGCGGTGTCAGCAATAGGGCGCAAACGACCGAGCAAAACGCTGTCTTGTGGCAGCTCATATACGTCAATATACTGATAATTTCGCTTGATATAACGCTTCTCGGCATTCAATCCGCCAATTTGTTTCAATTGCAAGGAGCATTCAAACCATGCGTGTACGGCATCAAGCTGCAGGTGGAATTTGTCATCCTTAATCGCCTGAGAGATATTATCCAGAAGCCAGTCGGTGCTGGAATGTGCCTTGGGTGTGGTACGGATAGTGCTGGGTCAGGGACTAGCACAGGTTGGCACGGACAACGATATTGCGAGGCTGTGGGCACTACATGCCGCCATAGCTATATATGATCCTGTGCTCTCAACTTTTATCCCACTGACTACACCACCAACCTAGAGGGTTTGGACATGGCTCTATTTCTTTATCTGCCCATAGGACTTTGGCAGGGACATATTGGCTACCCACAGTCGTGTTGGCTTGCTCACCTTGTAAGCGTCCAACAACTCCCGGGGTACCATCATGGGGATTGCTGCGGAGATCAAAAGACGGATATACAGCATTTCCCTTTGCCACTGAAAAACCATACAAAGCAATTCATCAATTAATCCTTTCGATGTTCCCGCCGCAGCATAGTTCGTGGACTGCTTGATTTAACTGTGGAGGAGGTATACCGAATGGTAGCAGCCACGAGAGAGCAACGAGGCTTTCAGGGACAATGTCAAGACAGCACACGATGTGACTCTCGAGAATTGACTCGGCCTGAAAATTTTTATAAAGATCAAGACTTGGGTTTCTTCGTGATGTTCCCACGAAATAAATATTACTTTATTCTAGACATGATGGAGAAAGCATACGATAGCACGTAGCAACGTAATTATCGAAAGAAACAATGTCAACTTCTCTGGCCTCAGGCACTCGACAGACCGGAGAGTATCGCTGTTTTCGTAATCAGTTACATGCACTCCTCACACTTGCTATCTTTTCCCAGAGACCAATATCGTCGACCGCTGCCATGGAACTTTCTAGGTCAAATGTTCTTTTTCCACCTCCTTGGGAATTCTGACTCAGATGATGGTAATGAATGCCGCTACCATTGCCCCGGCCAAGCCAAACCACCAAATAGCACGCAGACCCACGAGGCCAATATCCCCATTGAGTCCCATATCAACCTTTGTACCAATTGCATCTACAACAATGGTCATTATTGCCGCTGAGAGGTTCTGCATCATCATCAACAGGCTTCCAGCACTCCCCTGATAAGACCTTGCAACATTACTCGTGATAAAGATCGAAGCGGTCGCAAATGCGAGGTCAAGTCCGAACGTCACCAAGGCCACTCCTGGCTTTTATAGAGCCCAATATGAGGTTCCTGGAGTTTGAGGCAGAAAGAAGACAAGTCCGAGGGCATAAGCGAACGTTGAAGCCACGTAGATGTAATGCCCGGGAAAAATATGCAAGGTACGAGCCACAACCCAAGTAGCTAAAGGCCCAACTATAGCATTCGGCAGCAGGTACAGTGCTGCGCTCATCGGACTGACTTGCTGAATTCGGAGCCAGAATTGCACAGCATAGAATTGCCAAGAACCGCTGTAGTAACCAAAGCCCAGAAAATAGGCTATCATCAGGGGTGTAAAACCTTTCGTCTTCCAAAGTCTGGTTGGAATAAGCGGCCCTTGAACCTTACTCTCAATGACAAAAAATGCGACCAGCAGTATTAGTCCCACAATCACCATGGAGTAGGTATATGGCGCCCCCTTTGTGACTGAGCCTTGGGTGAGACCGAAAAGAAGGAGGACGCAACTAGTGACTGCGACACTAGCGCCCAGGAAATCAAATTGACGAAGGCTCGGTGCCTCAATACCCACTGTATCGGCTACTAGACGAAGTGAAGGTATAGAAAGGTACGTGATACCGCAACAGACAGCAGTAATAACAGGATTCGTGCCGAATATCCATCTGAGCTCATTCGTTGCACCTCCTTGTATAGGACCTAGCCAATATCCAAAGGGGGCCGCGGCTGCCATGACAGAAAACACCCGATTCTTGCGAATTCCTGGCTTGTAGAGTCTCCCTATTAGGCTCATCGACCCGGACACGAGAACACCAATAGCCAACACCTGCATCGCACGAACGATAAATAACAACACCGCCCGTGAAGGTTAAATGGAAAAGAACCCAATTGTGTGCCAACCTGTCAGCCACGCAAAGGCACCAACCATGAGCGGTTTTGGAGGCGCAAGGTCCACGAGAGATCCCGACACGACCAGCGTAAGACCGTTTGCCATAGTATATGAGCCTACTAGCCATGGCAGCTCGCTGTTTGAGATATCCAAGGCCTTTTTAAATTAAGATTGATTCAGTCACATCTCCAAGCAGGAATGAATAGATCATCAAGCTGACCGAGCAAATGGCAACAAATGCGAGTTCAGAGGTAAAATTTCGCAGTTCGGAGGGAACAACCTGCGCTCCATCTCTACCACCAGGACCTACTTCTTCAGCTACCGAGGCCACTTGAAGGGACTAGATTGGTGCCACAGTCCAATCCGCTTTTCGGGATTCAGCCGGGCTAATTTGGCCCGCTGACAGCTCTCTGACAATGTTCGCATCACCGCTCTGCTGAATTGGAGACAGATTAGGAGACAAATCATGCCAGATATTTCCAGTTGGACCGTCATGCGAGACAGGCTTCGCACCGAGCTGGTGAGGGATTGCTTTCTTGTTTTCAAGCAAGTTCAAAAAAATTCGTGCCCCAAGCTCAGACTTATCCAAATACCAGACCTCAGGCGTTGGTGCCGAGTTTTCGGCCTGTGTTGGTCTCCACCACCGTGGTGAACACAGGAGCCAATCCGCCCTTCGTTCAAAGTCCCCCGGTCATACTTGAATTCGAGCGTGTTCTGTGTAGGCCACCTATACCTCCTGAACGAGATATTCAACTCGAATATGACAATTTGCTGCAGTTTCACCTGGTTTTTTGGTGATGGCTCGGATGATCATTCAAAGAATCACTATCATGTATTGCTCTACTTGCTTTAGCCCTCAGGTAGTGGGGTGAAATGCAGGTCTGGTTAATCATTTCATACTATATATCAATCAATCTGATGAGTACTATTTATTGGAATGCTAAGCTATGCAGGTTTCTTGCCGAATAAAGCATAATCTTGTGTCCGTTCGCCGTAATCCCACGAACGTATGTAGTATGCAAATCTAAAATCAAACACAACTAAAGCAACTCGCCACACACCTACAGCTTGCCGATCGCGCCTCCAGACGCTGTAAAATTCTCCCGCTCCATTATATCCTGGCGTCTCTTGTGGAATTGGTGATGTAGCGGGTTGTGTAATCATTGCGTCGTAGTCATGTGTACGCCCACGCAGCTCCTATCGAGTCGAGGCTTTTACACTCGATAGTAGGTAGTGAGTAGTTGTGTGGACCTATATTAGTTCAAAGGTATTGAGTTACGGGGTCTCGATCAAAACAAATCTTTGCATTAAATGATTCTAAGTGGCAGCCTTCTATTCATGATATTCATTCATTTAAAATCCATTTTCCTCCCAAAGAATACTGAATTTATTGCACAATATCTCGCATAACGTCACCGATAGCCTCAGCGCCGCCACCACCACCAAGCAACTTCTCATTTGTTGTTTGGATAATGACACGGCGATAGCTGATCAGAGCTGGAGACCCATTATCCTTTACTTCGAGGATAAGATGCAACAGCTGGCCTTTGGCAATCGCCTCCCGACTGATCAACTCCACACAACACTTCTCCGGAGGAGGGATCTTGACCTCCACCTTGCTCCTGGTCTCGTTGAGCGGCTTGATCTCTAACTCGCCCACCTCATGGTGGACAGACCATTGTGTTGCGCTGGGATCCCGGTACTGGTACCATTTGAAAGTGAGAGTATCGTTGGGGTCGGGATCATACGACGCGGAAGCATCGAGCTGGAAGGAGGTACCAGCCTCCAACTCAAAATGAAGCGGTTCTAGACCTTTGTTGCCATTAATCTCAACGACGGGGTGGTGGTTTGCTTTGCTCAGATCTGGCGAGAGAGACCACTGCATCCGAGCAGCAAAGTCTGTCTGGAAAGCGTCGCGCCAACGCCAGATGGTTGCGTGGTTTGATTTGTGCTTTCGACCATCAAGACCCACGAATTCGTCAACTGTGTCGCTGAAATGACCATTGGGGACTCCGCTGCCGTTGATATCCGTGGCAATGTAGCGTCCACCCCAGGATCCGTATCCCGGCTGTTCCGGCACGCCGAGACCGTTTTGAATGATGTATAGGAATGTCGGGGTGTCGCCTTCAGGGATAAACATGTAATCCGGGTATGTGGAGCCTAGCGGACCGATCTGGATATTCTCCTTAATCCATTCCTTGCTGATCTTGGAGGGGTCCGGGCCACCCTGGTCGAAACCGTACCAGTCGTCGCCGGAGATGCCGCACCAGGCGGCCATACCGTACTGGTTCCATCCATGGACGGAGCAGATGTAGAAAATATCAGGGAAATTGTGTCGGATCCAAGCACCCGTGTTGTCTTGGTCCGAGATTGTGTAGACGCGCAGTTTTGAGCGCAATTTGCCGGCATCGGCGGCGGAGTGGGTGTTTCGGATTTTGAGGAGGACAGAGGCAAGCACGTTTGTTCCACCCCAGCACAGAACCCACAAGGGATCTTCAGACGGCGCTTCGATGCGATCCAAGAGGAGTTGGCCGCCTTCGCTGAGGGGAATGTTTTCGCCCACTGCTGTCATTCCATATGTCTGCGAGTTATGAGTCAGAATACCATATTCCATGTGTCTGGCTGAAAGCAAGGAGTTACCTCTGCACCCTTCTTAATCAAAGACCTCAAATACTGTGCGGTCGGATATGGGTCATTGGGATTTGCGTGAGCGTTGAGATTGTCGACCACTTTCTCGTAGCCATCGACGATCTTGTGCATGTCTTGCGGGCAGACTTTGTTCTTCATCCATGTGGATGTACACGCAACCAATCCCTCCGTTTGGAATTGATTGGAGTAGAGAAGGTAGCGCACCAAAGACTCGGCATCGTCAGGTTCATTGGAAATATCACTGAGAATAAAGACACGCGGTTTGGTCGCAAAGGTCTGAAGCTGTGTAGGAGAGGCCATGGCGAACGGGGAATGTTGAACTTGGCTTTCCCAGCCACGGTGACGACGGCCATATTTGAATAATAGGCTCCCCTCAACGGCGCTGCCCCAGAAATCGCAACTCGAGCCACGCAGACCCCAAAGCAGACGAGTGGGGTGATCGTGATTGTGGGGGAGGGAAGAAAGAATTCCCGCCATAATTTGGCCGACGTTCTGCCGGTACCTAGTTTGGGACGGCGGAGGCAGTTGCAACCGCCAGAGTTTGGCAGCTTCGGGATCATGCCAGGCCTGCTCCACCGGTGCCGAATCCCACGAATTCCCCAGACTATCGCAACATGTGGTCCGAGACTCCCATGAGCCATGACGGCTCAATTGCGGGGCCCCCAGGTTTAGGAGTTGCTTCCCTTCGATGACATTGACTCTGCAAGCGAGGTATCTGTAAACGCCATGTACTAACCAATATAAATAAGCCTTGTCCCCATTGAGGGAAAAAAGCAAGATGTCACTCATCCCTGGCTTTAGTGTCAATTCTACAGCTTAATTCCTCAAAATGTTTGATTCAGTCAAGCAGTCGGTGCTCTACCAGGAGCTGAGTCTCCGTTTGGTGTTCATTGGGTGCTTCGTCTCCCTTGGAGCCATGGGCTTCGGATTTGACAATTCCTGGTGGGGAGGTGCACTGGGTCTGTCGCCATTTGGCAAGAAATATGGTGTATGGGACGAGGCCCAGAATGATTGGACTGTCCCGTCCGAGAAGCAGTCCGCGGGAACAGGGACAGGGTCTGCCGGTATCATCCTCGGCTGTCTCGCTGCCCCGTGGTTGTGTTCCAATCTGGGTCGCCGACCCACTCTGCTAGTCATGGCAGGCTTTCTGATTGTGGGTATCATCCTGGAGGCCACTGCTTTGACCTCCTTCTGGCAGCTGGTTGTGGGTCGTATCGTCGTCTATTCCGGCATTGGCCTGGCGTCTAATGTGGTGCCCATGTATCAATCGGAGTGTGCACCGGCCAAGGTTCGAGGTGTGTTGCGAATAGTATTTGAAATCGAATGGCTCCATGAAAACTAATATCATTTAGGCGCTTTCCTCGCTGCTTACTCGTTCTGGAACACCTTCGGTGCTTTTCTTGCCACGCTGGTCGTGTACTTGTGTCAGAGAATTACAAGCCAATGGGCTTACCTGTAAGAACTGGACCTTTCTCTCTAACAATGGCCCATCCTGACACGAAAATTCTAGTACCGTGATTCTCTGTCAGCTCATGGTCCCTGTCGGAATCCTCCTGTCCTATCATTTTCTCCCTGAAACACCTCGATTTCTGGTTTACCGAGGGCGTTTCGAAGAAGCCGAGGCCGCCATCAAAGACCTATATGGTCCTCACTACAATGCAGCGGAAGAAGTGCAACTTCTACGACTCCAAGTCGAAGAGCAGCGAGAGCTTCACAAGGCGACCAGCATTATGGACTGTTTCAAAGGCACCAACCTGCGACGAACGATTATCGCCGCGGGTGTTCAAATCCTGCAGCAAGCTCAAGGCGTCTCATTCATCAACAACTTCATCGTGACCTTCATGAAGCAGCTTGGATTTGCCGATCCTTTGAAATATAACGTGATTGTCATTGCCTGTGGTTTAGTAGCCAACGTGATCTCTTTCTACACCTTCGATAAGATCGGTCGGCGGTCCAACATGTTCTGGGGTGCATTCCTCATGGCCGCGATGATGCTCGGAGTCGGAGGCACGACAGCCAATGGATACGGGGTCCTTTCCCCGATGACGCAGAACGGCTGCGTCGCCATGTTGGTCCTTTGGTATTTCTTCTACGGCCTCTCCTGGGGCCCGGGCGTGTGGATCCTGGGTGGAGAAATTGGCACTGGTCAACTGCGTGAGCACACGCTGCTTTTGTCTTCACTGGGCAGTTTCGTCACCTCGGTGCCCATTAATTTCGTGAATCCGTATGTTCAGGCCGCAATTGGTGGTAGAACGGCTATCATCTATGGTAGTTTCTCGGTTGCCGCTTTAGCATTCGTCTACTTCTTGCTCCCCGAGACGAAGGATCGCTCTTTGGAGGAACTAGATGAAATGTTCCAGCAGAAGGTTCCGACGCGGCAGTTCAAGGGTTATGTCTGCACTGGATTGGGCGCCCAGATCAGAAATCTGGAGAACAAGGATGATGTTGCCGAGAAGAAGATCAAGGATATTGAGCATATCGAAGCTGCTATATAAATGTTTGTTGATCGGTTTAATGGTTCGGTCTATGTGATAGAACAATATTTATCAGGTCTCTACAGAAATCAATGCCAAATTTTGTAGTATGAAAATACTGTACCATCGAGCTTTCCGAGTTACCTGTTAAATCGTTGAGACAATCCACAGGCTTGGCATCTTGAAAGGCATCACGATGACTCGAGATCCTTCGCGGCCCCTAACATGGCGAGCCAATACAAAGAGCAGATATGCTCTATCTCCGTGTTAGCTCTGCAAGCCAAGCTGGATCTACGACATAGGGAGTAGATATATAGGCTAAAAACGCCGACATCAGCCTGTTTGAGCGGGGTAAATGCATACCTCAAATAGCCTGACCTTGCATCTAGGTAGGTAGCATATTCACATCAGTCTTCATTTTACTAAGAACTTATATTCATCAAATTCACAGAATCAATCTTCTGAGAAACTCTTCCCAATCAAAGCGAGTCGCCATGACAGTCTCAAGCGACCAATATACCTTCCAGGACGCACTTCACTCTATCAAGCACGGAGACGAAAGCCTATCAGATGCAACGGCTCGTCTGCTCTCCCAGCTCACACAATCGGAACGGCTGTGGCTTCTTGACGGCGACGAAGCTTTCTGGCCCGGACTGGGACAGATGATGTTAGATCGTTACAACCGTCACCCCTATGTCCACGGTGCTGTTCCCCGTTTATCTATCCCGGGAGTCCGTTTCACAGATGGACCACGAGGTGTAGTCCTGGAAGAGTCGACTACATTTCCAATATCGATGGCTAGAGGAGCGACATGGGATATATCCCTCGAGCGAAGAATCGGCCAGGCAATTGGACTAGAGGCAAAGGCTCAGGGCGCGAACTTCTTCGCCGGAGTCTGTGTCAACCTCCCTCGTCATCCTGCCTGGGGTAGAATTCAGGAAACATATAGCGAGGATCCCTTGTTACTGGGAGACTTCGGACTAGCTCTCACACAAGGCGTGCAAGAGCATGTTATGGCATGTGTTAAGCATTATGCGTTAAACTCGATGGAGAACGCAAGGTTCCGAGTCGATGTTAAGATCGACGAGGATGTGCTGCACGAGGTTTTCCTTGCCCATTTTCGAAAGATCATTGAGGGTGGAGTCGCGTCCGTGATGTCATCCTACAACTCAGTGAATGGCGAATGGGCTGGACAGAACCATGACCTTTTGACTGATATTCTTCGTGGGAAATGGGGATTCGACGGATTCGTGATGTCGGATTTCATGTTTGGTTTGCGAGACTCGGCGAAATCCGTCAAGAATGGCCTGGATATCGAAGCACCTTTCCGTCAGCAGAGAGCTATGCACCTTGAGAATGCTCTTGTTAAGGGCGAGCTAGATTGGCCTCACGTGGATCGATCGTGTGAAAAAATTTTGCGCAAGCAGCTCGAATTCACGCTTCGTACCGCAGAAAGCCAGCCAGATCGATCCGTAGTTTTCTGCGAGGAACACAGAGCACTTTCACGCGAGGCAGCGGCCCGCTCAATGGTCCTGTTGAAGAATGAGATTGTTGAGGGCCAACGTATCCTCCCCTTGAAAGCGGAATCTATTACGAAGATTGCCGTGGTCGGTCGTCTGGCAAATATTGCCAACACCGGTGACAAGGGATCTTCGCAAACATTCTCGCCTCACGTTATTACTCCACTCGAAGGAGTACAAAAAGCCTTTCCAAATGCGGAAGTTATCCATGCGGTTTCCTTAGAGGAAGCAAAGCATGCCGCTGCTCAGGTTGATGTCGTCATCTGTGTGGTGGGATTTGACCATGAAGATGAAGGCGAGTATTGCATTCCAGCTCTGCGAGAAAACCCCAGTCTCAGAGCAGTCTTCCCCCCAACCAATGGCCCTGAAGATGAGCGAATAAAAGAGATGTATGAAAAGGAAGGAGATGACCAGGGAACAGGAATGACGACCGGTGTCGGTGGCGACCGTAAATCTTTGCGGCTTCGCCCGTCTGAGGAAGAGCTCATAAGGGAGGTGACGAAGAGTAACCCTCGCACTGTTGTGTCGGTTATTGCCGCTGGAACGGTGATGATGGAATCCTGGAGAAAACTCCCTTCGTCAATATTGCTTAGCTGGTATAGTGGCTGTGAAGGTGGGCACGGACTTACAGATGTTTTGTTGGGCAAGATAGATGCCAGTGGCCGATTGCCGTTCGCCATCCCAACGGACGAAGCACATCTACCTTTCTTCGATCGGGACGCATCCGAGATTCGCTATGATCGCTGGTTCGGACAACATCTCCTGGACAAGCTTGAGGTCGCTCCTGCATTCCCATTTGGATTCGGACTCTCCTACACCGAGTTCAGTATCCAGAATGTCACATGTGAGAAGAAGGCAGACAGCGCGGAGGAGTTTGAAGTCCGAATTCAAGTGAAAAACGTGGGGAGCGTACAGGGAAGATTTGTTGCACAAGTATACGGTCTTCCTAGCGTCCCAGATCTCCCTACTCGCATTTTGCTTGGCTTCGCACCCAAAGATATCAATCCGGCTGAGCAGGTGAACATAACAGTGACTGCTTCTTTGCGCCCTCTCCAGAAATGGGTCGCCGGTGGATTCGTTCTCCCTAAAGGGAAGGTGGAAATCGAGGTCGGGCAGTTTTCTGGCGACAAACAGGGGAGAAAGACCGTCTTGACTTTGGATTGAAATAACGATCATAGGATCGGGATATGATTCCTCCATTCACTTCATGGTGAAAGTGCTGGGGTTTGTGGTTGCTGCATTTTGATGATTCCGCGGAGACTTTGTATCTAGTCTCGTAAGGCCGCAGTCTGCAGAAATAATTGTTGATGACGTACTGAATTCAGGGAAATTGTAGCAGGTGGTCTAGGGAAGAGCCCAAGTTAGAATAGAAAGAAGTTTTAGATCTATAAATTACAAATCAAAAAGCAAACATAAACAAACTAACAGCTGCTATACGCCTGCCGCGTGTCTACCGCGCCTCCTTCTGCTCCGTTCTATGTAGGTGTTTCCACTGAGCATGTCACTGCGGTTGATCAAAACTCTGATCTGCGTTCACTTTTCTATTGCCAGAGAATTAGGGCTCGTTGTCCACTGCCGATGAGTCACTTTCCTACCTGGATCCCAACAGTGACGATGACAGTGCAGTATTTCTACAGATCCTTGCTCAAGAACATACATCTTGCCCTTCAATTAGTCTACCTCACTTTCCTATTATCTAGTATTGCCACATCCCTTCCTCTCAGTATATTGTCAGCCATACCTTCGATCAACCAGGACGTTTTATGTCCGTGCAAATGATGCCTTTACACCTTCGACTCGAAGAGCGCTACCATGCCTTAGACAGAATTCATGAATCCCTTTGGAACTTGCATGGCGAAGTCCTCACTTATGAGAGAGCTGAGCAAATCAGTATCGACTTGCACCGTTTGGATATCAATACCGGTGCGACATCCGACTCAGTGACCCCCTACTTTCTCCCACGCACATCATTCCCTAGCTGTCGTGGCATGAGCGGCCTTGAGGACCTAGTGAGTCTGCAATGCAGAACTATGGTTATTCGTTGGTTAACTCAGATGTGAGCTTTCTCTGCTATACTATTTAAACCAAATAGGTTGTGAGTTTATGCTGATGCCCAGTCAAGAAATAACAGTTGGTTCGAGTACTCATACCAGCCGTGCGATCACTATCTTCAACGCCAATTGAGATGTGCGGTCGATGTTTCGACCTGTGAGGATATTCCCAGGAGCCAAAATAAAGAGGTCACTTCTAATAGCTAGCATTATCCGATGTGCTTCTCTGATGAGAGAAGGCAAAATTGCCCCCTCGCCCAGCACATCCCATCTTTCCCGACTCGGAGTCATGGCATGATCGATTATTTTGTTTAGAATTGCCATAAGAATTTACCGTCAATCAGTGAAGTGCTTGCAGCGGCAAAAGAAATTCTAGACTCAATGAGGCCACAAAGGGATGAGCTAGGAAGCATGAACTCTGAGAACAGTTCGCCGATCTTCAATCATATTCTGCCGGTTTGCAGTGTCTATATCCGTTCTACAAAGAAACTCACTAACGATAGGACTTAGAGACTGGTCCGACTATTCGGTAGATATGGGCATTGCCGCCTACTTTATGCGTACTTCGATGGTAGCAGGCTGAAGGTTCAGTTTACCGAGGTCCTGGATTTTACAGACCTAGTGGTCGAACCCCCGTCTGGAATGATCTATCCTGATCTTTTGGAGTCCGGGATGACCTACATTGATCTTATGAATCGGCCTAAATACTATGAGGGGATGGATAAACTATTCAAATGGACATGGCCGGTTTTGCAGGGAGTTACTAGTGAGAATGGGATCGAACATACTACCTAGCCGGTGACTATTTTGGATCGAGAGCCAAACCCGGGCCATGCTTAGAAGTGCTTTCGCTTAAACTGACAGTTCCGGATTGATAGCTAAAAGTTGCTTTAGAAACTTGAATCTTAGGTTTGTGTTGTTGCTATCAGGATAATCTTGCTATAATTTAATACTATCTCTTGGGGCAATATAGAAGCACAAAAATAGGGGACTATACTCACTGTCCTGTGGATAGTGGCTCCTGGCCCTATAGGCTTCATCTTAGACGGTAGAAAGATAGTTGAAGCTGGCGGTAAATATTGCAAGTCTGGAGATAAATGGACTGATCTGATTAATCCTGGAGATCATCTTTTAAATTTCATCATCATTCCGCAGTCTATATATTTGAGCATTCCTGTAAGAACCCCGTTATTCTAGTTGTGCACCAATTTCCGTCCCCAATATTTGTTCAAGCATATACAGGGAGTATCTGAATATAAGATGACTACACAAGACTGCACTATATTCGAATACTTAATTCGGTCAGGTTGTAGAGGGGAAAGAATCCTTGATGCCTGCTGCACATAGATACTATGGCTTGGCACATTGCAACCTCAGGCATCAAAGTCTCCACAACAGAGAGCTCTCACGTGCTTGACTTGCATGAGCCGTGGAAATAGTGGGACAGGCAGTGATATTTCCAATCTACGTTAGAGCTCTCAGGCAGTCCTGCATATTGCAACGCACCACCAGCGACATCACAGCGACATCACGGCACATTCCGTCACTTCGGCTTTATCAACTCCATCCAATCGTTTATCTATTCAGGACAACTCCCATCCTCCGAACTCCCTTAAATCGACCTCAAAGCTCGCAGAATTGATTCAGTCTTGAAATATATAATAATAACCCGCCACATTGTATTATATTAATTGTTGAACGCCCAAACTACAGCTGCCACTCCGTGGACAGTGAAAGAACCGCCACAAGATGACTTCGCTCAATAAGTCAGGCGATACCCAATTCACGGTCTTCATCCGTCTACCTTTTCCCAGGGGAGAATTTGTTGACCCTCCTCCTGTAAAGCACCATCTTGGATAACCCTTCAATTGGAAGCCCAGACTGACGCCAACAGGTCGAATGGAATGCCGCCAAGGACCAAGCTCTTTGGGATCTCCTATCGCGTCCGTCCAAGGGAGATGATATAGACTGTAGGAACTAATCCCAATATGAATTCCGAATCATTACTAATACGAATACAGGGAAGGCATTGTACGCATATTGACCCTAGTACTACAACCCCCATGCGCCAAATTAACGTGTTTGTTGTTACAGAGCGGAGAGCTTTGACGTTACTCTGCAATTCCTCCTTCAGCAGGCAGCATGGCTGTACGATCGACAGCTCGCCCAGGTTCGCGCGCAAATGCGCAAAGTCCCCAACACCCAGTCGAATTCGCCGTCTCCTGCTCCTGGTTCTGTCTCCGGAAGCACGGCTTTGGGGAACCCTCCGGCTAGTAAAGGGGCGCCCACCATCAGTACCGGTATGCAGCTTCGGCCTTCATCTCATTCATCGCTGACATCTTTTTCAGGCTCCAGACCCCCAAATCGGCTGACGCTACAACAGAAGGATAATGTTCCTCCACGTGGTAAGTTTCATCTTTCCGAGATGACGCGTCGCCGCCTGTCTCACTCATAATACTCCCCAGGCATCGCGTCACGGCGCACAAGCTCCACAACCACCGTGAACCAGATCAAAGGCCCTCGAGAATCACCGCGTAATGAAACCCCAGCTAGCGAGCCGAAAGACCCTAGACGCGAAAGCTTTAGTCGACGTCCATCGACAAGCCGACGGGATCAGACGCCCAACATTCCAGTTCACAGGTCGCCAACGCTTGAAGAAGAAGACCTCACGTCAAGCTCCTCCGAGTCCGAATCCGACGACGGCAGAATTATGGCCAGTCGGCGGGGTCCTCGATTTCGATTTGGTAAATTTTCCATGCATCGGGCTGAATTGCGGGATGAGGACGAGGACGAGGACGAGTCCCCGGCGTTTGTCCCCCTTTCTCCCGAGCGGGAGTCAGCTCCCCGCGATCCATCTGCCCAGGATCTCAACGCCACCCTTCGCGACGAGCCTACCGATCCGCGACGGCGGATGGTGAATCCAAACCAGGTTGCAAGACAGCCGATTACGATGGAGTCGTCCGCGAGTTCGATCAGTTCGGGGAATCCGGCCACTTTGCCCGCGGGCGATCGACGCCGACGTGCAAACCAGATGCGGACAGAGTTGGGGTATAGCTCGCGACGGTCCGTTACCTCTGGAAGAGAGGCTAGCGACGGCACGCCCAGCATGGGAAGTAGCTTTAGTGACCTAGATGGTGAGTGGATCCGTTAATGTGTCATCCTACCAACAGGATTGTGGCTAAGATATCGGGACCAGATGCAAGCGTCACTCAGTCTGCACTGGAGGAGGCTCTCATGAGCAACATGCAGCACGGCGGAATGGCCAGCCGAATGAGTACGATCAGCCAAGCTTTACGGAGTCGGTATTTGTGAGTAGTCAAACATATCCACATATCCACAGTAGTGCAGTTTGAAAGGGGGTGAGTTTCATGGTTGCCTGGTACAGATATATATGATTGTCAGTTTTGTCACCCACACCCTCGAACAAGCGAGGAAAGGGAAAACCTCCGACAGCGATGATCATCCCTCTCAGGGCCAACTAGCGAATCCACTAGCCATCTAGCAACTCTAGTAGTCCACGAATGCGCATCCTTATTTAAATGAAATGAACCGTTTTTCTCATCCTCCACCCAGGCGAGGGATCACGTGGGTCTCCGCTGTGCCGAAGGCGGTGAGCAGTTCACCGGTGCCCCTCGGCTTCTTCTGGGGCGGAGGCGGCCATGCCGAGTCGCTTGACAGCTCCCTCATCCTCAACAATTCAACAGACTCCTTGCTGTCTTCCCTGTAAGGCACTTTATCTTGGATATATCATCCGCTCAGCTGATTCTGTCAATGAGAATACCTTGTCTGTCTGTGTGGTGAACTGAGAAAACCCAGCAGGTACTCCTACTACTTATAGTAATACCCCGCGGGGGTTGCGAGCTTACGCTTTGACTGACCCGGCAATTCAAGACTTTCTGAGAAACGGATTCACCCCACTAGATTTTCTTTCTTCTTCCTCTTTTTTTTGTTTCTTCTGGTCATTCCCCTCTTTACTTGAGCGTTTGCCAAACGCTAGCAGTCATCTATACAGTCGATTGATAGAATCCCTACTACCGGGACCAGACCCGCATCGAAAATGGCACCGTCCGAAATGAACGCCGACGCCGAGTCGGTCTACTTCAACAACTTCCCTCCCCCCAAATCCCTACCGAAACACGAAGCTCTCGCGCGAGCGTTCATCGACTACCATGTGGAAGCCAATCGGCGCGTCGTGCTCGTCACGTCCGGCGGAACCACCGTGCCGCTAGAGAACCAGACCGTGCGATTCATCGATAACTTCTCTGCCGGAACGAGAGGCGCCACGTCGGCGGAATATTTCCTGCAGGAGGGCTACGCTGTGATCTTCCTGCACCGGCAGTTCAGTCTGCTACCGTACTCGCGACACTACAGCCACTCGACCAATTGTTTCTTAGACTTCATGGATGAAGCGCCCCCCTCAGAGTCAACGGGATCGGACCACGGGTCCGTCGTGGTGCGCAGTGAATACCAGAACGAGATGCGGGACGTGTTGCGGAAATACCGGTATGCGAAGAAGAACAATCTCCTGCTGCTGCTGCCGTTCACTACGATCGCCGAATATCTGTTCGAGCTGCGGTCGCTGTCTCAATTAATGAGACCGCTGGGTCCCAACGCGCTCTTCTACCTGGCCGCCGCGGTCAGCGACTTCTTCATTCCCCGCGATCGCATGTCCGAGCACAAGATTCAATCGTCTGAGCTGCCCCCGGAATTCAGCAAGAGCGAAGAAGCGGTCGATTCGTCGGACATCTACACGGGCGGCCTCAACGCCACGGCCCCCGGTAATAGCAAGAAACTGGTCATCGATCTGGATCCGGTGCCGAAGTTCCTGCACCGATTGGTGGATGGCTGGGCCCCCGAGGGCAGCATGATCGTGTCGTTCAAGCTTGAGACGGATCCCAATCTGTTGGTGTACAAGGCGCAGACGGCGCTCAAGCGGTACTCACATCACCTGGTGATCGGGAATATGCTCTCGACTCGCAAATGGGAGGTTGTTTTCGTCACGCCCGACGCGCCGTACGAGCGATGGATCCGCGTGCCTAAATCCCGACGCAGCAAGAGCATCTCGGGCGCAGAGGACATGGTTGGACTGGCGGAAGCCAAGCGGGCGGAAAATGAGGCGAATAGTCAATCCGGGGATAACGGCGAGGCGCGACAGGCCGATAGCGGTCCCGAGGGAGTCGAGATTGAGAACCTGATCATCCCGGAGTTGGTCAAATTACACACGAAGAGGATCAACACACATAACAGCAAGGCATGAGGGCGGTAGAGTGGGAGGGAGTATAAAACGGGATAATAAGGAACAGTCAGGGGGAGGCTCTTCAGCGAGCGTTAAGAACAGATGGTCTTTCAATATTGGCGTTTATTCCACGATCCTTGAGCCATGAAAATAAATATAAGAATAAACATGAGACCGGCAGCAGATTGAATTCTTATTGCAGGTGGAGAAAGGGTTGTCGTCATCCCGCGGCAAGACTGGTACGGTCGGTATTGACTAGTAACCGGAGGTACCTGCACTTTGGTACAGCCGTCTACTGCGGCCCATGTACCTACTGTGTGTACTGTATGTGCGTAACTCTTTATGTTCGTCAGGCATTCTTCAGGGGCTGCAGCCATTCTGGATTCTTTCTGCGGCATGTTTCTTGTTTCTGCTGTCTCTGCATCTCTGCGGACTACACAGAGTATGTGCTGTGATGTATCTGCATGGACAGGTGGACACTACACCTAACTAACCACCGCTAACTCTACCCCAAACCTCCCCCATATCCATCATGGTCGCACCGGATCTTCCCTTCTTTCCCTCGTTTGCTCCCTCTTCCCTTGTTCTTCCTGCCTGTACCAAAGGACACGGCCCAACGCCTGACCCCAACGTACCAGATAGTACCAGCGACTGGGAACTGGGGGCCGGGTTTCACTTTGACGTCTGGCGCTCTTTAGCCGCCGTGTCCATTTCTTTCCCATTCCGAAACTAACGCGTCATCGACGACGGTTCAGATCGCCATGGAGAGTGGGCCGATCGTCCCTCTGTCTGTCTACATACGTCCTCCTCGTCTGGCTTCGCCGCTTAGCCAAAAAACGTGCAACCTGCGGTGCCTGCGTCGATCGCTTTTGACCCCCGTCATCCTTTTTCCCTTTTTTCCCCTCTCCTCGCCGTCTCCTTCCTCTTCTTTCTCTTTCTCCTCTCTCCTCTCCTCCTTCAGTCTCACTCCTGCGTCTCCTCCGCCCACCACCCCTCTCCTTCGCTTCATCTCTTCCAGCATCATCCTGGTCCAGGATTCTGTCCCGGCGTTTTGATTGAACGGAACTCGAAGAACTAAGCAACTATCCTCCGAACCAATCACACGTGTGACGAGCCAGGCCCAGCTGACCGGGAGGAACGAACCGACCAACTAAGGCATTTGGGGGATAAAAAACAAAAAATGGTGACAGTCGGTTCCAACATTTGGGAGGATCGGTCATAATTTCACTTTGATTTATTTGCAATTCGTCCAATTGCTCTGCGTGGTGGCCATTTCAACAAGCCACGACTTACACCCACCTGCCACACAACCGCCCGCCTGCTCGAGCTCCCCGCAAAATCGAGGATGATTCCCACACGCCCGTTCCGCCGTCGCACCACCTTCCTCGCCGCCCTGCTCGGTCTCTTCCTCCTCTACCACTTCCTCACAATCCGAACCGAGCTACAACCTCCTCATGAGCGACGACGAGCCGACTGCCCGCCCCTACCGGGCATGGACGATGTGCTGGTGGTGCTGAAAACTGGGGTGACCGAAGCGATGGACAAAATCCCGATCCACTTCCAGACCACGCTGCGCTGCGTGCCACACTATGTGGTCTTTTCCGACTTCGAGGAGGAAATCGGGGGCATTCGCGTCTACGATGCGCTGCAGAACATGGACCCGGAGGTGAAGCGCACGGTGCCGGATTTCGACATCTACAACCGCCTGCAGCGTCAGGGCCGAGCGGGTCTCGCGACTGACGACTTCGCTGACGAGGCCAACTCGGCCATTGGGAAGCCCAACAACCCCGGGTGGAAGCTGGACAAGTGGAAGTTCCTGCCTATGGTGCAGGAGTCTCTCAAATACAAGCCCGATGCCAAGTGGTTCGTGTTCATGGAAGCGGACACGTATTTCTCCTGGGGCACCCTCATGGAGTGGCTGTCGCATTTCGACGCCTCCAAGCCATACTACATCGGCACCGAGACGCAGATCGCGGACGTTATCTTCGCTCACGGCGGCTCGGGCTTCGTTGTCTCCCGACCGGCCATGCAGCTCGTCAACGACGACTACAACACCCGGTCCGTGTTGCTGAATGAATACACGGACGGCCACTGGGCCGGCGACTGCGTGCTGGGCAAGGTCCTCGCCGACAACGGCGTCAATCTGCACTACTCGTGGCCTATCCTGCAGAACTCCAACGTCGGCGAACTCGACGAGTTCACCACCGGCTTCTACCGCGAGCCGTGGTGTTTCCCTGCCGCCGCATTCCACCACGTCGGTGCATCCGATATCCAAGACCTGGCGCAATTCGAAATGCACCGCTGGCGACTGGTAAGCTCCTCTCCTCTCCCCTCTCCTCCCTTCCCCTCTTTACTCTCCTCTGAGCCCAAGTAAACAACCGACTAACTAAATCTCTTCAAATCAATAGTCCCAAAAATCCACCCTCCTTCACAAAGACGTCTTCCAAGAACTCATCTACCCCGAACTCTCCAACGTCCGCGACAACTGGGACAACCTATCCGAAGACGAGCAGCTCGTCGTCGCCTCCTTCCACGAATGCAAATCCATTTGCACCAACGACCCAGACTGCGTACAGTTCGTCTACCGCGCCGAGAAATGCTTCACGGGGAAGACGCCCCGGCTGGGCGTGCGGAACTCCGAGGCCCGCGCGGGTTGGATCGTGCGTCGCGTCGAGCATATGGTCGACAAGGCGTCGTCGTGTTCGAAGACGCAATGGGGTGTTTAATTCTTTTATCTTCATGTGATAATCAATTTTTTTTGAGACGGGTTTTATGATTGATTTGGTTGGGTTGGGTTTGGATTGGATTTGATCGCGGGTCGATGAAAATGGAATACGCTTCTTTATCTTTATGTTTTAATATTCTTATAGACTTTGTCTTTGCTCTCTTTTATCATTCTTTTCTTGTCTATTATTCTTGATTGTTTTCTTTCATTTCTATTTTCATTCTTATCGTTGCCTGCTTGCTTACTTGCCTTCTTGCCTTCTTGCCTGTTCTCATTATCTCATGCGAAGGAAGGCGTACTTGTTAAAGGTGCTGCTTTATGCATTGGGCCCAGGAGTTCTACACGCTGACTTGATTCGATTCTGGTTTTTCAGTCTATATTTTTATCATGTTCAATTTTTTGTTCACCTTAACCATACCGTGATTGCAGACAGACTGATCATGTCTTGCGTTGCCAAGAAACAACAAACAAACAATAAAATACAATCAATCGATCAATCAATGAACCAATCAGACTTTCCTACGTCACTTCTGTCTTGACCAAGTGACAACAGACCGTGCAAATCACTCCCATCTGATCCCATAAACTCAGACAAGGCTCGGACTCCCAGGATCCCCCAAACACTGATCAACCCTCATAATCCTAAACCCCATCCGCTTGACCCCCCTGATGACATCCACCAAATACCTCACCGTACTCTCACTTACAAAGTGCACGACAGCCAAATTCCCTCCCCTGCGCACGTCCCGGTAGAAGGCCTCAAGCTGACGTTCCGGGGTGCTCGTATTCGCCCACAGCCAGTCCTCGATGTCGACGCTCCAATTGATGACTTGTGGGTTGGTGAGATGAGTCGCGAGGCGCTGGCGGGTGCGCGCGCCGATGGTGCCGTAGGGAGGACGGAAGTAGCGTGCTGGTTTTGTCTGTTTGTTAGCTGGGTGTGTTCTGGTAGGTTGAAGGAAGGGTATATGGGGAGGGGTAATGTACATTCGATGCCTATATGGTCCTTCAAAGCCTGGATATTCCGCGTGATTTCGGCATCGATCTCATCGGTCGATGAGAGGGATTCGAGTCTAGATGTCACGGAAAGTAAGAGTTAGTCGTATCACGTCCATCCCAAGTACCAGCTCTGCCCCTCCAGCACAAACAGGACAAAGACAGATGGAAAGGGAGACATACTTCCGATGGGTCTCCGAATGCAAAGCGATCTGATGTCCCCTCGCTTTCATCTCTTGATACACAGCCGAGAAATTCGTCTCCGGATCCTTTATCCCCATCCCCACCACAAAAAACGTCACCAGGATGCCCTCGTCCTCCAGTATCTGCATCACCCTCCGCGCAAGACCCGGTTTTCCATCGTCGATGCCAAACGCAAACGAGTTCGGTACGGTGCATCGCAGACTCAGCGTCCCGCTGGGCAGTTTCGTCGGGACGCGGAAGGAAGGAGGAAGATTGGTCTCGGAGACGAGGTCCACGAGGTAGAAGGTGATCGGGTCGGAGGTGTAGAAGCCGCTGAACCCGATGGAGACGACTCGGTGGTGGTCGATGTTGAAGTGGCTGAGGGGGATGTAGACTTCCTTGGTGCTCTGCGCGGTGGTGGTGAAAGCTTCGTAGCGGGCGGCTTCAACAGTATCCCATGTCTCTGGGTATGGGTGGACAGAGGGATCGCAGGCGTAGTTATGCTGGGTGAGGGAGATGCCGAAGGTCGCGGGCCCGGAAAAGACGACGTGGAGGTAGCGGTCTTGGTAGGGGGTGAGGTTGAAGCATTGCGCGTGGCTGAGCTGCGTGTGGTAGGCTTGGTCGGGATCACTGGGGTACAGAGTGATTGATCCTGGGGCGATAGTGAGAGGGAGGTCTTCGAGAGCGCCGTGCCAGTGTCCCAGGGCGTTTGTTTCGTTGTTGGAGAAGGTGTCGATGGTAAGAGGGCCGGCGTAGCTTGGTGGCTGGGAAAAAGTGTTATACTGGGAGGGAGGGAGGGAGAAGGAGAAGAACGGTAGGAATATGGCCAGAATCAACGCTGCGGAAAGGAAATGCATTCTGCTTGTCCAGTTTCTGGAATAATCACTGTAATGAGGAGGACCGGAATTGTATCAAAGGTGAGAGGGTACCTATGCTTATGGTGTTTACCACAGTTCCTACAATCGGAAGGAGCGAGGCTCCTCTACCAAGAACCGATAGTGGTAAAGCTCATTTATTGACTTCATAACGAGGCCCACACAGAGTCACAGCTAGCTAGTCATCCTTCCACACTAAATACCCCTAACGCTCCAGTAGCTAGACGGATCTAGTTCTGGGAAAGTCAACCGGCCCGGCCCGTGTTCAATGTAGGGTCACTCGTCATAGTCAGAACAGGGATCAGAGAACCTGCTCTGATCCAAACAGAAACAAAGGAATGAGGTGATTTACAGAGCTAGACAGCCCAAAGCCACTGGCACAGAAGAGTGTGATCACTCCCAACCAGCAACCGGGGCAGGGGCGGCATCCTCGGACGAGTCCATTGGAATACCACCCCAAGCTGCCCCAGTATCGGCTCCTCCATCGTTGTTCGCACCGTCATCTGCCTCGTCATCGGTATCGTCGTCGAAAGTGATCATTTCATCGGACGGCCTGTACGAGTCCAGGAAGTCTGGAACTCTCTGCTTGCTCTCAATCAAGATCTTGACAAGCTCAGGAGCGAGATCACTATCACGGTCATTGTAGAACGAGGTCGCAAGGCCTTCGTTGCCAATGCGTGCAGTACGACCTGTTCATCATTAGACCTCGTTACCTGTAAGGAAGGTGAGAAACTGACCGATACGGTGAATATACTCGGTAATGCCGCCATGGCTCACACGAGGGAGGTTGTAATTGATCACATGCATGACATTTTTGATATCAAGGCCACGGGCAGAAACACCGGTAGCCACCAGGATAGGACATTTGGCAGTTCGAAAGGCGCGTCTGCGGCAGATTAGACAAACGTCACACTCATGACGGGCATAACACTGACAAAGCATCTTCACGTTCACGCTGGGTGCGGTCAGCATGGATCGAAGTACTCGGCAAGCCCATGTTGTAAAGGTAGTCATCGAGTAAATCGGCATCCTTCTTAAAGTTCACGAAGATCAAGGTACGTGAAGGTGGCATGGAGAGAAGCAAGTCGTAGAGACATTGCTTCTTGAGGTGGTCCTCCGCGTAAACAATCTACAGGTGTCAGTTTTAGCCTGGGCATCGGTCAGCAAGAGCCTTACATTCTGATCGACGTTGATGTGAGTGCTGCCAGGGCGTCCAATGCGAATGCGGACGTGGTCGTCAGCCAGGTATTTACGAGCCAACTCACGGCAGGATTTGTTGAAGGTTGCAGAAAACATCATGTATCTGTGATCTGCATCTTCGTTGACGTCTGCACCTGTCAGTATCAATGTTATCAAACCAGAAACAAAGGGAAGCTTACCTCCACCGGACATGATCTTGACAAAATCGGACTCCCAGTCCGACAGCAGAAGCTCGTCAGCCTCGTCGATGATGGTGTACCTGAAAGAAAGGTTAGCGACCACACAATCACCAGATGAGCGGACTTACTTCACACGACGAAGGGACAGGATGTGCGGCTTGTCCATGAAATCCATCAAGCGACCCGGAGTTCCAATGAGAATATCACATCCCCTCGCCAACTCATCACGTTGGTCGCGCACGGGAGCGCCGCCATAGACCACGCAAGGGCGCAACATAGATCTATAGCACAGACGACGCGCTTCGTCAAAGATCTGGGTTGAAAGTTCTCTAGTAGGAGCAACAATTAAAACCAATGGCTCGGCACGGACGGCGTCAGTGGTGAGATCGTATCCCTCGACCAGATTGGGGCGTTTGGCTGCCAATTTCTTTGCTTTTCCCATCAGCTGCGAAAGCACGGGAATCAGGAATGCAGCAGTTTTGCCAGATCCTGGGCCTGTCAGCTGGATTCATCACTGAATGACGATCACGGGGACTACTTACCAGTCTGCGCAATGGCAATGAGGTCATGTCCAGTCAGGACAGCGGGAATAGAATATGCCTGAATCGGAGTAGGGTACTCGTAATGGCACAGATGAATGTTCTCGCGCACAATGGGGTGCAATCCGGCGTCGTTGAACTTCCACGTTGTCAGCAGCTTCCTTGGTGAGACCATGGCACTTGATAGAGGACTTACATTTCTGACAGGCTTGGGGCGTTCGTGACTCTCGGCAATCACGTCGATATTCTGCAGACTTGAAGAAATCAGCCAACGAAGATAGAGGTAGAATGAGGTCTTGTACGTACTTGCCAAGCTTCAGCCCAGCCCTGTTGATGTACTCGCTCCGGAACAGCTGTTCTTCAAGCTCAGCGCTTTTCGGGCCGACATCTCCATACTCGTCTTTCCACTCATATTTGGCAGCATTGGCTGCCCACTCGGGAATTTCGAGCTCAGGAGACTCTTCCTCGGAAGGCTTGGGAAGAGGAGACAAGCTACTACCATACTTGGTATAGTCATAGCTTTCTGGCTTGCCCCAGCCCTTCTCCTGAGCAGCACTGACTTGGACATTGGCCATGTCCTGGAGGACGGTGTCCATTTCGGTGGTAGTGAAGCTATCCATAATGCCTTAGAGACACGAAGGGATGCACGGTAATGGTGGGGGATTAAGAGAAACGCGTGATGTGAAGGGATCGAAAAATGAAAACAGGGAAGAAGCCCACGAAGAGACTATCGACCAATGGGGTTGGAAGATGATCTCCAGCGAGAAAACAAACGAAAATCAGCAGAGAACACGAACGAAAGGAAATAGATGACAAAAGGTTGGAGAAGGGATGGTAGAAGATGGGAGGAAGAGGGAGGACGAAGAAGGAAGAAGGTGGGCGGGAAAGGAAACAGAAGAGGGAGAGGGAGGGAGAGGAGAAGTGAATATAAAAAAAGCACTCAGCTCCCCGGGTGCCCGTCCACAGTGACTGTCATCACTCTCGCAGAGAACCCCCCCCTCTTGTGATTGGAGGACCACACAGAAGAAGTGTAGAAGGACAAAGAATACTAGTCCGGGACCTGAGAGGACAGCCTGATCGAAATCCCGTAGAAGCCAGCAATGTCTCAGCTCAATAGCTGCGACATGCTTAGGAGTGGGCATCTCTCCGAGCTCTGTAGGAGCCTTCCGCCTACAGGTAACCATTCACTACGGTTCTGATCCAATGAGCCGGTTCTGCGGGCAGTAAACCTGGTAGTTTTCTAGAACTCTGCAGCATAATCTGTCTTTTCTTGGTGCCTTAATGACGGTGGACTTCTTTCACCTGGCAATTCTTTCTTTCTCAAATCAGACTGCCTTGTTTACCACGAAGACCTGGGTGGACTACGCGAATGATGATACAGGGCTTTACTATATATGTTGTTTATTTATCGGGATCTTTTGGTTTTGGTTCAAACTTGCCTGTCTGCAAGACGCATTCATGAATTTCTAGAGTGGAAAGGTGAAGGTAGTCAGCCGAGAGTGCATGGGGGACTCTGCTCTATACTCTACTTTGTAGTGGATGGTAGTTCGTTGGTTGCCTTAAGCACTGCTGTTGATGCCTTAATGCCTTAGTGCCTTGTGTCCTGATAGCCTTGTTTGTTGCCTTGCTGCCTTGCGGTCTTCATGCCTCACTGCCTCGTTGCCTGATCTCTCTGCCTGACAGCCTCAGGAGGCGAGGACGTCACGCGAGGCGAGTCAACTGATGCCCTCGACGTGGAACTGCCGACGCTCTCCTTGCATTCCGGCATCCTGGCATGGACAGAATCCTCGACCGTGCATCCCCTCGCCGCTGCAGTCATCGCCCCTCTGCGAAAGGATGAACGCTCCCCAAGGAAAGTCGGGACTCCTACAGCGGTTCCACCGCGACCGCTCAACGAAAGCGGGCAGAAGGAGATATACGCCGTAGGGACCATCACGGCCATCCCCATTGCTCCGGCTTGGAGATTCGCCCCGGTCGCTCGGAAGTCCCTGAATTCTCGCTCTCGTTCTCGATGTTATCAGATCGATCTACTTCTTTCCTCCCTCCTCTACATTCATCGTCTCTCTCCATTGTCCCACCATGTCATCCTCAAGTCCTGATCTCGCCCGCAGCAGTGTTCGGCTGGACCGAGCTATCTTCAACCCTGGTGCCCTCAAGATCAACGTCAAGGGGGCCTTCATCGTCGACGAGGATCCTCGGTCTAAGAGCCCCGTCAGGACCGACGGCGTTCACTACGAAGGTCACGATATTCGTCTGCCTCATCACACCGGTCTGGTGAGCCATGTCGCTGTCGATGTACGTTTCTTTCCTCTAATTTTTTTTTTTTTTTTTTTTTTTTTTCCGTTTCCGCTGTTCCCCGCACATTTTCCACCCCGCAATCCTACCTAGCTACCATCCTCCTCTGTTTTTCTTCACCAACGCACAACGTCGCATCATTGTGACTAACGACTTTTTGCACCTTTCTAGATTGGTGGCTCGCTGGCCAAATTGGTCTACTTTACTCGGGAGCTGGACTCCCCGGACAATGGCGGCCGACTGAACTTTATCAACTTCGAGACCCACCGCATAGACCTGTGCATTGATTTCATCAAGGAGCTGAAGGAGGAACATGAAAAGGCCAATGGCCCGTCCCCGGATCAACTCTGCGTGGTCGCCACCGGAGGAGGTGCCTATAAATACTACGACAAGCTGAAGGAGGCGTTGCAAGTGAACATTATCCGCGAAGACGAGATGGAATGCTTGATAACCGGTGCGTCAGACTCCCGGTGCACGGAGAAATGCAGCTTACAAGATCGGGAACAGGTCTTGACTTCTTCATTACCGAAATCCCCAACGAAATCTTTACCTACAGCGAAATCGACCCGATGCAGTTTGCCGAGGCCCGACCGGACGTCTACCCGTATCTATTAGTCAACATCGGCTCCGGTGTCTCCATGATCAAAGTGTCCGGCCCCAAACAATATCAGCGTGTGGGAGGAACCCACCTGGGTGGTGGAACATTCTGGGGGATCATGTCCCTGTTGACCGGGGCTCGGACCTTTGACGAGATGTTAGCCATGGCCGATCAAGGCGACAATAGCGGCGTTGATATGCTGGTCGGGGACATCTACGGAATGGACTACAATAAAATCGGATTGAAGAGTACAGCAATTGCCAGCACGTTCGGAAAAGTATTCCGCTTGAAGAGTGCTGCCGAACAGGAATCATCGGGTTCCGAAGGCGACGAGGCGCATGAGGAAGGCGACCAGACAAATGGGGATGTCAAGTTCAAGAATGAAGACATGAGCCGCAGTCTGCTTTACGCGATCAGGTATGTTGACAGCCGCGCGCGATAGGAAAACATGGAATGACTAACGATCCCAGTAACAACATCGGACAAATTGCCTATCTCCAGTCGGAGAAGCAGCAAGTCAAGCACATCTATTTTGGCGGCTCTTTCATCCGCGGTCACCGACAGACCATGAATACGCTGGCTTACGCCATCCGATTCTGGTCCAAGGGCGAGAAGCAAGCCTATTTCCTGCGCCACGAAGGTTACATCGGTGCCGTCGGCGCCTTTCTACGCAGAAAGCCCATTAACTGGGGCCGTCGCAACAGCATCGACGGTGCCTCTTCCTGATTTCATGAATACCCAATCATCCTTAATAGAAGCGACCATGACTGCATGCCCAATCTCCATGCATTTGTGAATCACTCCAGGGCCAGACCGACTCCCTGGCCCTATGATACCCCTTGAAGTTCAACAACCTGGTGCACATTAGATCCAAAATATTGCTATCCTGATCTGGTTGGATATTTGTTATTACGGCCTGAAACACGAGCGTGTACCAGTTATCACCTTTTGAGCGTTTTGTACATTTTTGAGACCATATTACCTTTCATCTAATCTTTTATTTATATGTTTCATGTTTTTCTCCCGGCTCAGCTATGCGAAGGAGCCACCAATACTACATAGTTGTCTTGACTCTTCCGAATCAACATATACGGGGAAAGTGGCTATGCTGACCGACTCAGTGTCTAGGTTTCATCCATCGTAGCCATGGGCATTGGGTATTGCGCTGCGCAGTTGTTTCGGATGGCTGCTGCGTCGACGTAGCGGTCTGCCCAATCGGCCTGTCAGCACTCCACTTTTACTGCTGGTTTCTCCGGTTGCACAGCGTATAGAAAGCCATTGACCAACCTCCGGTAAACCATGGATGTTTCCAGCTGGAACTCCTGCTAAGCGGAGAGCTACTTGCCCAATCGGGGACCCCTGCATCTGCACCGTTCTACTAGCGCCTCGCCAATTGTTGCCAATTGTTTTGATCGCTACTGGTGGTTCCGGAGACTCTCGTTTGCGTGTTGTGTTGAATGATCTCAGGCGTTATTGAGTCCCCGGTCCTACAATATTCTCTCCCTGTCTCATTTCTCAGAATTCGGACCATCGTCAACATGTGTGGCCGGTAAGCAATGCCCCTTCAATTCACATCAATATCCCTCTAACATTCACGAGAACCAGCCAACCCGACGCCATCAGCCATACGCTTCGAAATATGGGACATATCTGGTGGCATGGTTGGGGGTTGACAAAGGATGTGATACAGAATATTGTGCCGTGAGGATTTTCAATCGCGATCTCAACGCGATTCGGTTTACAGATCAGGTTTGGTCGGCGCTGGAGGATATAAGGAAGAAGTCGCAGGGTATGACGCCGACGTCGGAGACCACGCTCAAGAACAAGAGGGTCGAGACGTCGCGGTCGACCAGGGCGAATGGTGCTGCGAATGGGAGGAGTGCCAGCACCAGCACGAATCGCAACACCGGTGCAGTCAACAAGGCTGCCACTTCCAATGGCAAGGGAAATGGCAACGCAGAGGCCGATTCCGAAAGCGAATATGAGATGGATACTGGCTCTGACGAGAGCTTGGAGGAGGAATCGTCGGATGAAGAGGAGGCCGCCTCGTTGCCACCCGCGAAAAAGGTCAAAACTGCACCAGAGAGTCCCACTGCGCGGCCGACTCAAGGCTCGGCGGTCTTCAAGCTGGTCTCCTACAAGTCCGGGGCTGTTCGGTGTTTCCCTCTAGATGAATGCAGGAAGGGCAAGGACCTGTTCCAGAAAGCTCGCGATTTCTTTCGTCTCTTTGACCGGAATGTGGAAGTGAAGATTCTGTCGTGTCAGATCTCGTCGCGTCCAGAGCAGCATTACTTATTTGAGGGTAGCGAGGGAGAATTTACATTGCTTGTCGAGCAGGTCAAAGGGTCACCGGCAGGGGGGAGGTGCACCGTCGAAATTGGACATGTTTTGTCTTGCTGATTTTTCTTTCTTTCTTTTCTATATCATAGCCCACATTTCCTTGCATTGCGTAACGATAGGAAGACAATAGAGCGTGTGTGTTTACACTTTACCCAGAGTTCATACTTCTGTTGATTCCCGAAATCGACTTAGCGTCTTGGCTAGTGCCATCCCCATCCATCGTCATTTACTCTCCCCAATCTCCATCTCCATCTCCATCCTTCCCTTCCTCCCCAATCAATAGCATTCGCCATGCCTCACATGAAATGAATCCGCGTCTGCTCGATGCCTCCATTGCCCGACTCGCCTCCGCCCCTCCCCCCGCCCGTCCCAGTCGAAACCCATCCCTACCGAGTCGTCGGTCAGTCTCCCGCGCAGCAGCGCGCCCTGCCCGACCCGACCCGCCTGGCCCCTGAAGACGCCTACTTCTCGCTGTCGCTGACACGCACGCGATCGGCCGACGGGACCGGCACCGGCGACTACGATGACTCGGTCGGCGTGTTGAACGGCGGCGCCGCGTCCGTGGCGGCTTTGCGACCGCCGCTGACAAAGGATTCCCGTAAAGTGCGAGGGACCAGCAGACGCCGACGGAAGGGGGCGTGGAAGAAGCTTCTCTGGGTGAAGCAGTCTTGTAGGTGGATTTTTCATTCTCGTCTCCCCTTCATTTCACTCAGGGGCTCTGAATGGGAAGTGAAACGACAGGCGCTAATTGTGGCATTGGTTCCTGGTAGATCCTGATAATTACACCGACACCGAAACCTTCCTGGATCATCTCCAACGCAACCCGCGCGTGCGGCCCTACGATTTTTGGCCCCTGGTCTCCGATTCGACGGTCATTGTGCAGCATGTTTGCTCCGTCATTATATTCGTGTGCTGTTTTGTCGGCATCGTGCAGGGGCGCGTCAGCCCCGTTTCGGTCGTCTGCTGGGGCAGCGTCGGGTCGGCGTTTGGTTGGATTCTCTGGGATTCATGGATGGTACGCGAACAGGGGGAGGGGTTTCAGGGCGCAGATGGGCCTTTGGAAGGAGATGACGGGTCGAGTTCTAGCTCGACGACTAGCTCGGGGAATCCGTCCGGGTGGGCGCACAGACAGAAGGACGGACAGGTGCATGGGTTGGGGTTGACTATGAATGAAACGGCGGATGGAGGGGACAGTACCCCGGAGCAGCAATTCCAGCAGCCGCAGCAGACTGCTAGCCAAGCGACTGCGTTTGTCAATCGGTTTGAAACTGGTAAATCGTCGCTGCTGTCGGCGCGGAACCGCCAACGGCTGTCGACGGTGAAGTCGGCGTTTTTGATCTACTGCGCCCTGTTGGGTCTCAGCCCGATACTGAAATCGTTGACCAAATCTACGGCCAGTGACTCGATCTGGACGCTGAGCTGCTGGCTGCTGATGATCAACATCTTCTCGTTCGACTACGGCAGCGGAGAGGGCGCAGGGGCTACCAATTTCCCAGCCTCGCTGTCTACGAATGCGGCAGTGATGGCGTCGACGGTGCTAGCCTCGCGCCTGCCGTCTACGACGCACGTATTCAGTCTCATGCTCTTCTCCATGGAGGTGTTCGGATTGTTCCCCATCTTTCGCCGACAGCTTCGTCACATCTCGTGGACGGGGCATGTGTTCCTCACGCTCGTCCTGGTTATTGTTGCGGGGGGTGCCGTGGGGATCACGCTGCGCGGCGGATGGATGGCGGCTGTGGTAGGATCGCTCCTGGGCAGCATGCTGACGGCGTTAGCGATGGGCGGGTGCAGCTGGTGGCTGATCAGCCTACAGAAGTATAAGAACGTGGTGATCGGACCCTGGGATCCAGCACGGCCGATCATTCGACGATGGGACTGACCGGTTGACATGGACGGGACAGGCATGCGGGAGAATCCCTGCAAGCCAAGTCGGAAGACCCTTCCTTGATGGGGGAGATAATTTTACGCCTAGCACAGCCAGCGACAATAATAGACCAGACTTTTTTCTTGTTTGAATATGTGCCAGGAATGGATGATGGCTGATTCGAGTATTTTGGACCCCGGTATGCGAGGCTGGAATGCGGAAAAGCCATGTTCATCCCTTTCATCTCAACTGGGTTTTGGACCTGTCGAAGTAGCACAGGAGACCCGTCAGCCGGAACACGGTGTTACTGATCTGTGACAGTAGCATTCTTTGTATCTCTCGTGGACCAGGACCATAATAAATAGGGGCTTTGGGGATAAATAGCGGAGTACGTCGTGTCGTCGAGTCTTTCTGGCAAGTTCCGGTAAAACCACCGACTAACCCTCTTGCACTGTACAGAGACGGATAAAATCGAGTCTTTGACTCGAGTCATTCATTCCGTTGCCTTTGCTTTTGACGTTATTCTTTCAGTCCCTACCTTAGGAAAACAACCCCCAAAAACCACCCAAAATGAGGCTCAATATGAATCCCCTACTCCTTCTCCCCCTTCTCCCCCTTCTCACCCCCATGATAACGGCCCTCCGTTTCGCCATGTACGTCGACCAGTACCATGTCGTGGGACTACCGGGCACCGAGAAGACCAGCGCCATCACTCACGCCATCATGGCCTTTGCGGAAGACAAGCTGTTCAACTCCGACTCCGAGCCGACCTATACGCCGTTCGAGAGCGTCGATACCTTCCGCGCTCGCTTCGCGCCAGGAACCAAGATCATGTTCGCTATCGGCGGCTGGGGTGACACGACTGGTTTTGCGGAGGGCGCGAAGGATGAGGCTTCGAGAAAGCGGTATGCGAAGAACGTTGCTGCCGTCGTGGAGAAGGGAGGATTTGATGGTATTGGTTAGTTTGTCCTACTCCGGAGGGATCTTGCTCGCTATCTCCCCTCTATACATACCTCTACGGAAGAATGAGGACTAACATCTCCAGACATCGACTGGGAATACCCCGGCGGCAACGGCGACGACTACAAGAAGACGCCCAACAGCCAAAAGACCGGTGAGATCGAAACGTACCCTCTCTTCCTCGCCGCTCTCCGCGAAGCCCTCGGTCCCAACAAAATCCTCTCGATCGCCGTCCCCGGCAAACGCGGAGACATGATCGCCTTCACCCCGGAGCAGGGGCCCAAGATCTTCGAATCCGTCGACATGGTCAACGTGATGTCGTACGATCTCATGAACCGACGCAACAACGTCACCACGCACCACAGCAGCGTCGTCGACTCCTTGGACACTGTCCACGCGTACCAGGAGGTTGGACTGTGTGCGTCCAAGATCAACCTGGGAGTCGCGTATTATGCGAAATGGTTCACGACTAAGGGCGAGTGTGACCCCCAGCATCCGATCGGATGTGAGGTCGAGGCCCTCGAGACGGCTGATGGTGGTGATACGGGCAAATCGGGAGTCTTGACCTTCGAGGCGAGTACGATGGCCGAGGCACCGAAGAATCTGAAGCAGAGTACCGATATGACGTGTGGGTTCAACGCGGGGACGTACTGTCCTTCGGGAACGTGCTGCAGTCAATATGGAAACTGGTATGGCCTCTTACACTTCCTGCATCCTCACTCCTTTCCCTTTCCCTTTCGACCAGCACCTTCACCACGATGAAAGCTCACGCAGATAACAGCGGAACCGGCGACGACTTCTGCCAAACCGGCTGCCTCAGCGACTACGGCGAGTGCAAGGGTCTCTCCGTGCTGGACAGCTGGCGCAAGGCGTTGGCCGAGGCCACAACGGACAAGGAAGCGGGCGGACAGTACTACCTGGACGCCGCGAACCATCTGTTCTGGACGTGGGACACGCCGGAGACGATCGCGCGCAAGTTCCGGGACATCGTGGACGCGGAGAAGGTGGGAGGTGTGATGGCGTGGAGTCTGGGTGAGGATACGTTGAAGTGGGAGCATGTGGATGCGATGAGCGAGGGGGTAAAGCAGCGGTCTTAGACAGATCCCTGTCTTTGGTGTCTTTGTTGTTTGTTTGACGTAGTTGGAGTGTTGGGTGAAAGGTGGACAGTGTAATGTGATGAAAGATGAAAGAAGGGTAGTATGGCCCCTTTACTAGCCAGGGTCTCCCTCTTGGACTCTTTGACCAGACAGGAAAACAATTGGACAGACAATAAACCCCATTGCATTGGCAGAGGTACCTTAATAATGTCTGTCTTTCACACAGAAAGAAGAACACATGGTATCACCATTGGCCCAGCGCCTCCCAGGATCGCCCTCATTTAACTGCAAGCGGGGATCTTCCTCCTGAGGGACGAACAACCAATCCGCAAGCGGCATCCCGCACGGGGGACAACTTCTGGACGGAAGCAGCACTTTGTTTTCTCTGGACCGGAGAACATAAATGTTATAATAGCCTGTAGGGCATTCATTTGAGAGAGTGCTCTTTTATTTATTGGTTTTCTCTGCAGAATGTGACACGGACAGACAGACAGTCCAAATCCAAACCAACCAAAATGAAGAAAGCAACCCTCTTGTTCCTCCCTTTATCCTTCCCCGTCGGTCTGGGAATTCCCCTTCCGACCCTCCTCAGCTCCACCTCACCCACCGAAATCAAAATCAATCATAATCACATCCTCGAAAACACCATAATCAACAACCATGACCAATATCATTATCAACATCAACAACGGCCCCTATCTCATTCAGATTCTCAGCCGTCTCCCCCTCCCCCTCCCCCCTCAGGACCCTCACCGAAAACCACAACCACAATAACCATTACGAAACCCCCACCGTCTCCACCCTCGCCTTCCAAAGAGGATGGAAAAGAAGGAGAGGAATCCCCGTGGAAATGGAACCTGTCCGACGGTACGACGCCACCAGAGTTACTACCGCAGTTAGGCTCAGGGACCACGGCCGAATCCGAGCCGTCAGAGCCAGAACCAGACTCGGGCTCTGAATCAGAACTTGGAACAGGGGCCGTTCCATCCACCAGTTCAAGTACCAGTACCACCGATTCCATTATCAATGAGAATGTCAAAATCAATGAGATCCACGAAGACGACGATACCGAATTCGGAGAAGACAGTCACACCCCGACCCAGCTCCAGAACCAGAACCACAACCAGGACCAGGACCAGGATCAAATGGGACACGGCAGATTTCTCCCTCCCCCTACCCACAATAATATCAATAATCTAAATCATCCCACGCCCTCGTCCCCATCTGAGTCCCAGACACCCGACGCAGACCCAGACCCAGAATCCGACTCCCCTACGAAAGAAGAGACAGAGACCATCCCCGTTCGAAAAACCTACTTCCGCCCTCTCCGACACGCGGACGTTAACGTCTCCACGAGGTCAAATGCCCTTCTCAACGCGCACGCAGACCGCATCGCCGTCGTGGGCGTGCTGGTGCTTGTTCCCGTGTCTGTGCTTGTGGTGTGGATGGGAGAGTTTCTGTCGAGGGTGTGGGAGGAGAGGATGAGAGGGCGGAGGAGGTCTAGATCTAGATCTTTATCTAGAGGTAGAGGAAGAGGTAGTGTTTGGTTGGGCTAGTTAGCTTCGCTTTTATTTTTGTTTTTATTTTCTGTTCTTGGGCTGTTTGGATTGAATTGGATTGTTTTAACTAGCTGTGATTGTGATACCTTTGGGTTTGGGTTTGGTGTTTGAATGTATTCTTATTTTCTGTTTATTCAAATATTTCTTGATTTACGGAGTACTTGCTTGATGTAGTTTATCCTAATTGTTTACGTAGATTTTTTCTTAATGTGGACGTGGTTGAAATTGAAATGATTGATCGATTCATTGATTGATTGAAGACCCTCCAGGGTGTCTTTCTTTTTATCTTTTCGTATCGTTCGCTTCCATTGCGCTTTCGCTCGCTCGCTGCTCGCTAAGTCCAGGAACCATAAACATATATGTATACCGGAATCATCGGATCTCATCATCCTCATCCACAGTCAAAGTTCGTAGATACTGGAATCCAATCATCAAGGCGGACTCTAAACCACCCGAGAACAAAAAGAAATTAACAAAACACCATCCCATAACCTGAAAACAAGCTCAAATAACCTTGAAACCAAAACAGACCATTAATGCGATAGGAGAGAGGACAGCCTTAGGCATGCTCCTTCTGCTCGACGGACCCCTTCTCGGCCGTGCGCAGCGCCACCTCCACCTCGGCGGCCTCGCCCTGAGGGAGATGCTTGGCCATGGACACGATGTCCCAGCAGGTCGGGGCGTCGCGGAACACGTGGTTCAGGGCCTCCAGGTTGCGGTTCATGGTCTCCGGGTAGAAGAGGTAGACGCTGATGGGGATGAATGCCGAGATGACGGCGTACACGATGTAGTACTGATATCCGATGGTGTCCAGCGCGACGGGGGTGATCATGACGACGACGAAGTTCCACAGCCAGTGGTTACCGGTGGAGATGGCGGACATGGCGACACGGAGACGCATGGGGGCGACCTCGGTGCAGTACAGGAAGTTGGCGCCCAGGAAGCCGACGGGGTAGAAGGAGTTGAAGAGGAAGATGAAGACGGCGGAGACGACCGAGGCCGTCTGGTTGCCCTTGCCGAAGGAGTTGGTGATGGCGAGCACGATCATGCAGAGGCACATGCCGACGCCGGAGAAGATGAAGACGGCACGACGGCCGAGACGGTCGATGGCGAAGAAGGCGATGAAACTGCACAGGAACTTCCAGGTCATGGCGCACGCGGCGAGGATCTTGGCCAGGTCGGTGCTCATGTCGAGGTTGTCTTCGAAGATGGTGGAGACGTAGACGGAGATGAGGTTACCTCCGCACATCTGCTGGAAGAACTGGAGCATGATGCAGAGGCAGAAGCGGTACAGGAGGCGCTCGTCGTCCTTGCCGGAGAACATCTCGGTGAGAGAGACGGACTGGGCCGAGGTCTCGAGGGAGTTCTCAACACCGGCGATTTCCAGACGCACGCTCTCATCATCGGGGGAAACGCCCTTGTAGGCGGCCAGGGAGTGGGTGGCCTGCTCGATGCGGCCGACGCGGACTAGCCAACGGGGGGATTCAGGGAGAAGGAAGACGGCGGCCATGATGATGATGTTGAAGAAGAAGGAGATGGCCAGGGGGATACGCCATTGCAGGTCACCCGAGACCTTGGTGAGACCGAAGTCGATCCAGTTGCAGAGCACATAACCGAGACAGATACAGATACCGTCGACGACGACGTGCTGGCCACGGTGTTTAGCGGAGGTGCACTCGGACTGCCAGACGGGAACGACGGCACTGAACTGGCCGATACCGAAACCGAGGATGACACGACCGACGGCGAACTGGGCGATGTCGTAGGCGGCGGTCTGCAGCAGCGATCCGATGATGGCCAGGATACCACCCAGGAAGATAGTCTTGCGGCGGCCCAGGCGTTCTCCCAGGTAGGTGCAGCTCAGGGCGCCGAAGAGGGCACCGAGCTGGAAGGAGGCGATGACGGCACCCTTGCGGGTAGAGTTGGTGGACTTCTCGGCGCCTTCCGTGTTGACGGTATCGATGGAGGGGAATTGTTCAACCCATGTCTGCAACGTGGCCAAAGGGCCAACTCCGGCCTGGTTGTAACCGAAGAGGATGAAGGCGGGTGCTACGATGAGCAACGCCTGTGCCAGACGAAGGGACTTTCCGTAGAACATGATGACAATTGGCGAGACGGGGGATGGAATCGTCTAGTCGTAGCAACCGTCAAGTCGTCTGTAAGAAGAAGAAAGAACGAAAGGAAAAAGGAGGGAAGGAGGTGTGGGAGGATTTATACGTGTGAGCTGGAAAATCTCCGAGAAACAATAGAGAAAAACCCCCCGGCGTGGAGACCCCGCATCATACACCGAAAGTCCTATGGGGCGAAAGGGGAGGGGGGAGGGAAAAGTGGAAAGAAGGATGACTATCACCGGTGCTCCGATTGAGGGAGAAGCTGGTCGGAGAGAGCGAAAGGGTAAGTATGCCGCATCGCGTTGGACCATCGTCCGGGTCTGGATGATTCATGACGGCCCACTCTTTCGGACCGGGGCCGAACAACCACCGCTGTCGTAATTGGTACACTCGCTGTGGAGTGGGTATGGATCTAAATTAGACTTGGTCGACTTGCTTGACCGGGCTTGACAGGGCTTGTTGGGCAGATCCTTGCCCGGAAGCAGGAAGAGGGAGAAAATTCTGTCAAGACAAGACTTTTAGGGCTACGGGGGAACACATGTCCGAAGCTTGGCCATCTCCGGGGTACAGTCCGGAGAACTATCCGGAGTAACTTTGTCCTGGAGTTATTCTCCCACTTCTCACTTCTCACGGTTGATCAAGATAAAGTATTCTAGTCCGCACATCCGTAAAAACTAACTACCATAAGCATATCCGTAAGCATACTTCGTAACTCTGCCCGCTAATTCGAGCGCAACTGCTCCACCACCGCCGCGGTCACATCCTTCGTGGACGCCGTCCCTCCCAGATCCGCCGTAAGAATGCCTCGCTCGCACACCGTCTCCACCACCTCCATCAGCCGCTGAGCAGCTGCCGTCTCGCCCAGCCATTCCAACATTTCCGCCGCCGTCCAGAAGGTGGCCACGGGGTTGGCCACGCCCTTCCCCGTGATGTCGAACGCCGACCCGTGAATCGGCTCGAACATGCTGGGATTCTGCCGCGTCGGGTCCAGATTCGACGTCGGTGCGATGCCAATGGACCCCGCCAGCGCTGCCGCTAAATCGGAGAGGATATCGGCGTGCTGTTTAATATTCGAGATTAGCAATCATTCGTTTTGTAGATTGAGTGTTGAGGGTGGCCCCTCTTTTTTTTCTTTGGTTTTTTTTTTTCTAGTCAGACGGACAACTTCCACAGTTTCAGAGATTGCATTGGCATTATCAATGCTTTTTGCATATCCTTTCCTGTCTCACCTGCCCCCAACCAATTACTAACGTCTGATTCCAGGATAAACATCGGATGATGCAACCTGACCCGTACCTGAAAGAGACGAAAAAAAAAAAAAAAAAAAAAAAAGAAAGAGGGCAAACAAAATAACCACTATCCCAAACAGGAAAAAGAGGCCGGCCAACAAAGAACCCTAAGGAACTCGGAAAGAAGGTCAAAACTCACCAAATTACTCGCCACAATCGTATCCAAGCTCTCCGGCTTCAAGACCATCCTCGTAGTCATAGCATCAACCAACATCTTATCAACAGTCACGTCCGGGAACTCCTTCGCCAAGCTCGCCGCGACCTCATCCCACAACACCATGCCGTTACGCTGAGCATTGCTCTTCGACACAACAGTCAAGAGCTTACGGGGCCGCGAACGCGCCGTCTCGAACCCGAACCGCAGGATGCGCTCGACGCCGACTCGGCTGAAGATGGCCGTCTCGGTGGCCACTTCCCACGGGAGACCGCGGTGCGAGCGGCCGCCTTGTCCGGCATACTCGCCCTCGCTGTTCTCGCGAACAATCACCCAGTCCAGGCTGCCGGAGGGGCAGTTGCGGAGGGGCGAGCTGGTGCCGCGGAGCACTCGGGTCGGGCGCACATTAGCGTATTGTTGGAAGGGTTGGCAGATGGCGAGACGGAGGCCCCAGAGGGAGATGTGGTCGGGGACGTCTATTCGGTGTTAATGTTAGCTTTGGGATCGGGTTTCCGACGTCCGGTATGGTGCCCAGTCTGTGTCAGGGGACTATGGATAGGATGTGATGCATAGTCCGGTGTACTGGACTTGTGCATCAGATCGGTTGGGACATTAGTTATGGACGGGATGTGATTTGTGCTGCACTGCTGCATTCCACCTGCACTCCAGCAGGGTTGTTCTACCGCCGTGGGACCGTCCGATAAGGCAGTGTAACCCCGGGAAGCCGTAGCGTGGGCGTAGCCTTGTCCTAGTGTGCTAGTGTCCTAGTGCAGCACAGACACAACCCACCACTCACTTGCCCAAAAAGGCAGAAAAAGAAAGAGGCAGACAGGGAAGCAAGCCCGGAAAGGCAGGAGGAGCAAAGAAAAAAGAAGTGAAAAACATACCAGGAGCACCAACCGCGCCGAACAGAATCGCGTCGTGCTTCTTCAACTCATCCAGTCCGCCGTCCGGGATGTACTTCCCGGTCGCCTTATACGTCTCAGAGCTCCAGTCGAAGTGCGAAAAGTCCAAGCCGAAGGATCCCAGCGTCTCACTGAGCGTCTGCAGCACCTCGACGCCGGCCGAGATGACCTCTGGGCCGATGCCGTCGGCGGGGATGGTGGCAATCTTGTAGGTTTTCATCGTGTTGCGGTTGGTTTTTGTGATCGGGTTCTGTGTCTGCAGATTCTTTGATTTGTGATATCTCGTCTAATCTACGAATTTCCCCCCTGTCTGGTCTACATGTTTAAGTAGAGAGGGGATGCCCGCCACCCCGGAGGTGTGTTTGTCCGGCGGGTGAAAAAACTTAGTGGCGGACATGGCTTGTCCGGGACGCTGTGACCGGTCGGGGGTTCGATTCACCGTCGATGATCCGTTGCCACGCTGACATACACCGTACCTGATGGTTTACGGAAACCGACAGCAATGAAGTCCGAGGGGGAAAACAAAAAGTTGGTTATGCTCATGTTACAGGTCATTAGTATCCCTCCAAGCGGCTCAGACTCAAACCCAGAGCGTCAAAAAAGATGCCGATCCCTATCATACCACCCGCCTCTCCCCGTACCCCGACCCGACTCCAACCCCATTCCCCCATCCATGCATCCGTTCCGATGTTCTCGTATCCCTTCCGTCCACGTTTTCTAGTCGCAACTCTAGCCCCCGATGGTTTTACCCCGTGAAGTGAAAACTGCTCACATCGTAACTCTCCTGGATCAACCACGGCGCATCCGCCACACTCCACAGATCCAGGTTCTCCACCTCCCCCAGAAGAAAAGGGAGCCCCTCGGAAGAATTAGGAATCCCCAGCGCTGCCTCCCCAAATATCGACTGCTCGACCGTGGGGCCCTCGATATCTAGCCCCGGTGGGGGTTGAGTTTGATTCGCCTCCCCGGTCGTTTGATTCGTCGTCCCCAGCCCTGCTTGTCCCGCATGATGTAACGCGCTCTGCTGGGATGGCAACACGTGGAGGAGCTGGTTTGGATGGCCAGGCGCGTTGACCGTGAGGTTCTGGTTCGGAAGCTGCGCGTTCTGGATATACGGCGGGTGGAGATGGCTGTAGGGCGCGTGGTCCGGAGGCTGCTCGCTCAGCGCGGCTTCCAGGGCCCGGATCGCTTCGATGCACGTCTGCGGCCAGGTGCTGCCTCGGTGGGACAGGTTCTGAAGGATGAGAAGACCGGTTTGGGCATATCTACCTCGCTTCGTTAGCTTCTTGGCTGTTGTTTGCTTCATTTCTTTTTTGCCTCGCCTTGACTGTAACTGAGCGTACTAGGTGGCTTGGCCAACCCTTGGCCAAGGGGATAGGCGAGTAAAGAGGGAAGGTATACCTACCTCGCTGCCGCAGGAATAGGAAACTCTCCCTCCCATGCGGCATAAACTAGAATCAAACAGCTCATCCAGACCCCCCAGGTAAATGACGGCCACACCAGTGGCACGTCGGCCCCCCGCAGCGCCGTCAGCAGCGAGCGCGACGACTCAATGCAGATCTGCAGTGCGGTGCGGTACTCCGGAGACGAAGACTCCGCCGCCAGCAAAGGCCGGTTTAGCGAGATGATGGATTCGTGGCGTAGGACAGTGAGGAGTAGCCGATGGAGCGGTGCCAGACGCGGCGTTGCCGATGCCGGTGTTGTTGTCGTGTCCTCGTCGCCGGGGTAAACATCATCGTAGACTTGGTTCCACCAGTGCGTTAACTCTCCGGTAACGTGAGTCGCCGTGATGGAGGTTTCTTGGCTGTGTAGGATGGATTTGTTGCGGAGTTCGATGACCAGCCCGCGCACACGGGAAAACCGCGCCAGATGTGTGATGAGATGGAGACGGGGGTCTACAGAAATTAGCTCAATAGTCCGTTAGATAGTAACGAAATTCAATGGCAAAACTGAGAGATAGTCATACCGTCAACGCTCTCCCCATGTCTCTCCATCCCCGGATAACAGACATCCACGTCGTCATCCCGAATGCCCAAGGGAATCCCCAGCGCCTGCGACAGGTATCTCTCGAGACAATAAATCGACCAAAACAGTCTACGCCGCAGCGCCTCGTCTCCGGGGCCGAAGCACAGAAACCGCGCCGGACAGCGATGCAAGCCCAAATGAAAGGCGGTGCGCGCGATGACGCCGGCAATGCGCGACGCGGCATTCAACCGCAGCACCGACGCCAGGAACAGCTCAACGCCGAACGCGGCCTGCAGGATGGCGATGGTCGGTGGATCGCAGAACAGCGCGTGTAGGCTCTCCATGGCCTGTGCGACCGTGCGAAATACCAGTGCCGCGGGCACTGGGGGTGGTGATTGCTTTCCCCGCGCGCTCATTTGTCGTCGGTCCATCAGGGCGATGGAGACGACGGACCGCACGAGGATGACGTCCGGCGTCGAGATCCCATTCAGTCCGACCAGGCTGATTTTCTCCAGGATTGTCAGTAATGATGGTCCCAGAATAAAGGGGAACATGGGGTGCCAATTGTCGAAATAGCTGCGTGTCCATTGCACGAGATGGTCGAATGGCGGCTTCACTTTCCCCGTCGTCGTGGGCCGCTGATCCAATTCATGTGGCATCCACAGCTCATTCTTCAAGGAGGCAGCATCCGCAAGGGGACTCGAGGCCAGCTGGTCATCTTCCCCAGGAACGAGTGTCGTTGTTTGCGAATGCGACTGGTTCTGATTCAGATGGGCCGAGCGTCGCGCGAAAGCGTCGTACACGATGCGGATAAAATGCACGCCGCTGGAACTGCCCAAAAACGTGGCCGAATTATCGACCGACGATTTTCTCATCACTCCAATCTCCCGTGGACTCGGCTTTCGCCGTTTGGTCGGGGGTTCCTCGAGGGAATCCATGCTGTCTGTGTTGAGCCGGGGGAGTGTAGAGATGTGGAGAGGAAGAGAAAAAGGAAAGGGCAGGAAAGTGTGGAGAGAGATCGTCATGCCAAGTTCGATGACATTCAATGGTTGCATTTCCCCATACGAGATCTACCAGATGCCACTGGAACTGCCTTACTACAGGCAGCAGGGCTGTCAGGCTTGTCTTGCAACTAATGTTCTCCACACGAACTCAATTCTTTTTAAAATCGAGAAAAGCGACTAAGTTTACATTGCCTTCCAAACAGTCAAATTGTCCACCGGCGCCACCTCCCGAATGCCTTCCCACAACGCATCCAACCTTTCCACCACCCACTCTTCCAGCGGTCCCTGATCCAAATCCGCCAGTGTGTTTCGTAACTGTTGCGGTCCATTCGCGCCCAGAAGCACCGTATCGCCCAAATCGCCCCTCAGTGCCGAATTGTATCGCACCCAGCGATACGCCAAGGCTGCCTGCGAACTGCCGCCCGCCTCGGCCAGTTGGATATACTCGCGCAGGAAATTCAGCAGCTCAGGCTTCCCGTACAACCCTTGCAGGAGCTTCCCCTCGGTGGTAGACGGATCCCATCTTCCCTTCTGCTGCTGGATGTCTTCGGGTTTCTTGACCAGGAAGCCCGACGCGATGGGCGAGTAGACCTGGATCGAGAAGCCGAGGTCGCGCAGCGCAGGGAAGAGATTGGTCTCATTGTTTCGCGCAACCAGATTATAAATACTCTGGTAGACGGTGGGCAACACGTAGCCTTTTGATTTGTTATATTCGTAGACTTCGCGGATCTGGGGGATCGAGAAATTGGAGAGGCCGAACTATCTTTCCGTTAATATATATTTCATCGGATCGTTCCCGAAGAAAACTGGCAGATCGCACCTTCTCAAATGCTCCCTTCAAGTACAACTCCTGCACTCCATCCAATGTCTCAGAAAGGGGAACCGACTCGTCCGGCCCGTGCAGCAAGTAAATCGGCACTTTGGACGTCTTCAACGCTTCCAGACTCAGTGTGCCGTTCTGGATAATCGCCGACTTGGTCGCCGAGTTTGGTAGAAATCCCGTAGGTGCTTTGGTAGTGATTTCGAATTCCGAGGCGACATTGCGTTGCCCGAGGAAAGATTCGGAGATTCCTTGGCCCTGCTTTGTGCGTTAGAGACTGGTACTATTCAGATGTGGTGGTCAGAGAGGCATACGTAGAGTCTGGCTGTGTCAATAGCGGTGATGCCGTGGGTGCGTGCGATCTGGAGCATTTCGTCCTGCTGGGGGGTGTCGGACGGCGAGAGGGTCCAGGCTGCGGTGCCCAGGGAGAGGGAGGGAGAAGACATTTTGATTTTCTACGATCGGTGATATGATATGAAGGTGGTGTGAGATAGTGATGATTGTTGGGTTAAACTGTCAAGGTAGTTGCTCGGTTTGTCTTCTGTGGTTTGTGTTATTTTGAGCAGCTGTTCACTTCTATATATATTCTCATCTAGCTATACTAGAAAAACAAAATACACCAGTCAACTGACCTGACAAATTCGGCTGATAAATCCTTGCCAGCTTCGTATCCACAGAGTTCTTTAATCTACGTCGGCTACATTACCTTGTCTTTGTTAGACTCGTCATTCTTCAATATTGACTGGTGGAATGCAAACCGTGGCGCCGACCGGCACCGTTTGGTGGCTGACGGATTAGAAATCATACGCTACAGTCAGAATTTTATGCTTAAGTGTAGAAATAATCTCTCTGAGACTTACTTTGACGTTTGTTTACATTAATAAGAAAGCTTTCTTAAAGCATCTTGCAAGAGTAAGAAAGACTAAATTTAGAGGAAGTAGCAAGGGAAGCAATACCTAACAAGAACATGTTTATTGGTCCCGTTTATCAACAAAGAATAAATAAATTCCGAGGTATGCAAAAGAAGAAAATGATGGAAAGCATGAGGGCGAAAGCTGTAGAAGATCTAGATGCTTTAGGCAGTCAAACCTTCGAAGGCAAGTCCCGAAGAGTACTGTATAAAATAGAGGATCTTATGAATAAAGCGGAAGATTCCTTGATATTGGCTATAAAGATCATGTAAAATCAATAATGAAAGGGTTTATCCTGACCCCTAGTTGATCAATTCAATCAAGTTTTTGATCACTTCGGCAGCCTACCCCTGTCATAGAAAACTTCTATAAAAGCGAACAAAATTCGACTGGAAAAGAAAATTTCAAATCAGTGAATAACGATGGAGTCATAGCCATGGAATGGAAGCTTCCATGTCACCATGACGCGTATGCAGTCTCTTCCCATCATTCCTCTTCCTCACACATCGCCTATCTTGAACATCTATCAAGTCCTGTCCAATCAGAGATACCATAGACTTGGATTCAAAATGCCTCCTTCAAACCCCGAACCTGACAAAGCGTTCCTTCCTCCTGAAATCCTAGAAGCAATCCTGCTCCGGATCGACTAACGCACCCTCCTACTATCTCAAAGAGTCTGCCGTCACTGGAAAGACGTGATACGAAACTCTAATCAACTTCAAATCAAGCTGTTTTTCAAACCGTTGAGATTGAAATGGGACGACGAGGAAGACTACGGTTTACTGCACGAGCAAAATCCGATGATTTCCCGTTTGATATGGCTAATGGTGCTTGAATACCATGGCATTCGAACATTTGAGGTTCATGAGAACCTGCTTCCCGGGTTAGATACGAAGAAACAAGACGCCTTCTTGAGAAAAGAAGCGAGTTGGCGTCGCATGTTCCTTCATCAGCCCCCGTGCGTAACAGGAGCAATCATGCTCGTGAAGACCACCGGCAACACCCCGTTCTCTCGGGCTGAGTTTGAATGCCGGGACGGCTTTCTGAGATTAGGCAATTTGGAGGTCGCTGTTCTTGAAGGTAACTCCAACCAACAACACGGGACCTAACTTTTTTCCTTCGGGGCAGCTCTTCTAGAGAGACCTACGAGTTATATATAGATATGAAGGACTATGATGAACCCCCTTGTGCTGGAGAATGTGCAGGCGGGGGGAATGTTCACTGTGTGCGAGAGTGTCACTATCGATATATAACGGATTGATGAGAAACCGAGAGGGGCATCTCGAGAATGTTCATCATGGTCTGGAGTGGGAAGGAACAGTTTTGACGCCAGGTCTTCAAATCGGTTGCTCACGCGTGTCTCTAATACGAAGGACTTCAATTGAATCTTTCTGCTGATTTCCCCCTCCTACACAGCCTAGTAAATCAAAAATAAACCCCAGCCTCCCCTCTCGCCAACTCCTCTGCCTTACCCTCCCTCTCTCTAACTTCCTCTTGAACCCCTCCATCCTCTCTACTCCCCATCCCCAACACCACAGTCTGAGCCCGAGCAGCGTCCCCAACCCATCCATCCGAATAACCAACCACCCCACCCCTCCGTTCCGCCCACCACCGCTCCAAATCCCCGCGCGCATTGAGCGGAAGACGTTCCCACTCAGCCATCTTCGCGACCCGCGTCTGCGACCGACTCGGCTGCTGCTCGCCCAAACCCTCCGGGATCTCCGTGTGCAGGCCCAGCGAGCGAAGATGCTCGTAGACCGCGAAGAGGGCTTGCTCGGTGCTGGCGAGGCGAGATTCTAAGTGCGTGATGTAGCCTTGCGGGAGGCCTCTGTTTCAGCGGTTAGTGATTTGTGGTCGGAGTACAGGGGAGTAAGGAGGATGGGAGGAAATAAGGGAAATGAATGTAAATACCGTTTGCCGCTTTCAGGATAGATGCATCGCGTGGGGTCGGTACATTGCGTGCAGACGGGTCTTTGGTGGATATGTCATTTAGCTGCGTGTCCTGGATCTTGTAATGAGCGTGGTGAATGCTGGTGGACTTACAGTATTCGATCGCACTAGTTGGTTCGTTAATTTTTAGGTCAATCCAGCAGGGAAGGGGGAAAGATGGCGGATGGCATGCATACCTTGCACTTTTTTTGGCGGCACGGATCGCAGGATATCGGGTTGGTTTATGGATATTTGGTCAGTTGGGGCTCAATTGAATTCATGTTACTGCAGTGTATTGAAGATACAGTGAAAGCAAATGAAATGGAGCGGTGAGAAGATAATATCTACCTGATGACATGTTGGGGAGTGTAGTTGACGATGGACGGATGAATCTGTCCGTCTACGGTTGGGATATGGATGGCGCGCCTGCACGTGACTTTATTGAGCAGCACCATACTGTCTTTAAAATGAAAACCAGGCCTTTTTATTCTAGTGTATTTGCTATTTGTGCTTTTAGCTTTAACGCATGGATAAGAAAGCAGGACGAGGAAATATGCGAATGGTGCGATCGTCATGTATGCTATCCATCATGTACGCTACCCGATGGATAGCATTTCTGGGCCGTAATTATTCACAGACGGTCGATAGATCTCTAGACGACTTGAATTAATTTGAAAAAGACTAATCAAAGCTCCTAGATGTGCTCATCCAATCAACTCTGTCATTCATACTTGGACCCGGCCAGAAAGATTCCATGTCAGAAATGCCCCAAGGACCCTGATAAGTGAAGATCATGTCGTCAAAGAAGGTCGGAAACGCCAACGGATCATTATCCCACAGGCCAAAAACATGACTATCTTCGACAACATGATCTGTCTCGATGATTAATGGATCCTGGGAAGCCACATGCTGCTCATGAGCACTACCAGGGTCCAAGAAGACATCATGATCACCCCACGACTAATTTCCACCAGGCCAAAATACGGCACAGCGATTTGTCGGCTATCGCCTAGGTCTAATGTCCGACTACTGTGGATGAGATCCGATAGAGCTTTGTGACACTGTCCGCACAGAGATTGGGACTGGCCTTCGGAGAGCCTTTGAAGGGCCTCGATGGTCTTACCGATGAGGATCCTATCAGATTCATTACCAGATTCGGATGCGGTCGATTTCGGATGGTCGTCGGCGAGAAGGTTCAGGAATACGACCACCGCAGCTGCGAGAGCGGTGAATCCGGTCAGTTTGACACTGTTGTCCATGCTTGCTTTGTGGGGGTCGATGTTGTGTAGAGCTAGAAAAGAGTCTAGGAGTGACCGGGCGTTATCCACGCAGGCCACTCGGCTGAATCGAGCGCCATGGGGGGTCGATGTTGTGTAGAGCTAGAAAAGAGTCTAGGAGTGACCGGGCGTTATCCACGCAGGCCACTCGGCTGAATCGAGCGCCATGGCGCTGGGAATTATAATGATGTTGTTCCTGGCGCTGTTCGGTTTCGCAATGCTGTAGAAAAAGGGGGAGATAGAGGAAAGTTTTGAGCTGGTGAATCTGCATAAGACGGTACAGCCGGGCGCTTTGCTCTTTCACCTCCCGACAGGCGGAGATCTGTCCCATACTCAGGTAGTCCGGAGGGAGCTGTGAGGTGACCTTATCGATCTGTTCATCCAATAACGCGGCCTGTTAATAAGGTCATATGCCGGGAATGGAAGATGATGGGCGACGACTGGTCCAGCGGGGGAATATACAAGTCACAGAGACGGTCTGGAACTGAATAAGGTAAACTGACTAAAAGACTTGCCCAGCGGTGTCGGCACCAAACAATTGCCATAAGACCAGGTCAAGACTTTCCGAGCGCCGATGGGTCCGGTGAATTCCCGCCAGCTGCAGAAATGTGTTCGCCTTGCGATAGACGATCCATGTGCGGCGAGGTTGAAGAGCACTGAGAAGGCCGAGTCCGAGGCCCATCGTTCCACCGGGGCGAGGTATCGGTCGTGCTCGCCAGTACTGAAGGCAAAGCATATCAGCAGGCTTCCAAGCGAAGAGGGCCTCCCAGAGTGGATCGCGCGGGTTGCAAATTTCTCGAGCGAGGCGTCGCTTTGATGACCCCAGGCAAGCCCAAATGCCTCTCGCCATACTTCCCACCAGCCGCTGCGAGAGTTGAAAATTGTCGCGATCTCAGGATTGGAAGGAAGCGTTGCACACATCTCGCGGAGAACATGAGGCGACTCCATCGGATCATCACTGCGTTCCCCGAATCATCTGGAAGGGCCGCACTGGCACTCCGTACCAGTCTATGATTGAGAAGCTTCATCACCGGGGCACATTCACTTTGCACTATATGAGAGGCATTGGCCCCTCCCTGGCTTGAAGACTCCGGGCTGTCCAGCAAGGATGCATCAATCCTCCGCTTAAAACTCTTGAAGTCCTCAAAGAATGAGACATATTCATTCAAAACAGTGCCAGTCGAACCAGGATCGTCCGTTTGCTCAGTTGCCTCTTCGAGAATAGAATCAGACTCATGCTGACGGCCCTGAGCGACGCAGGCGGATTTGCGACTGGCGCAATGCACGCACACGCTAGCATGCGGTGATGGAAACCAACAGCAGACCTTGCGCTGTCAACCTAATCGAAACAGTGAATCGATTGATCTCATTATCCTTGAGATGTACGGTAATCTCACATGGCAGGCAACTATGGGTGCCTTTCCGCATCCCTCTCTTCGTGCCGGTCGCCGTCCGCAGGTATTGTCGGCAGGCGGGCATGACCTCGAAATATGGAATACTGCATATTCGGAATGGGTACAGAGACTATGAAATGATGATCTCTGGTTGCATTGCCAGAGATTCAAGATAGAGTGATGAAATTTGAGGCGAGTTTCGGACGCTGCGGTTGGTCATCGCGACCGTATTATATAAGCTCACCATACTGTCCTTTTTTGTGACCTGTTTTCCTTCCTTTCTCGCCCTCTTGCCGTCTTTCTATCAAGTTCCTCTTCCGGAGTCCATCCAATCTCTCTGGACTATGGCAACAGTTTTTTTATCCGGTTATATGTGGCGTCGCTGCGGCCGCGCCTTACGCTCTTTGCCATATTCTGACCGGAACTCTACTTATCAATGATGTCATCGCAACAATAAGTGCATTGACCACTGCAGTAAACTCCCCAAAGGAGAAGTTTCCTTATCTTTTTTCGACTGCGGAGAGCCATAACTTTGTGGACTGTATTGATCTGTCCTCACTTTCAGGTAAACTACTGGGTGTGTGTGAATTGCTGTTGACATGAGCGAACCCGATTAGAGCGATTTAAAGGGGGAGAGCGATAGACTCTACCCAGGAAGGGCACACTTTCACAATCTAACAGAACACAATGGAAAAAGGAGGAGGAAAGTAGGATCACCGCTTATATCTTTATAGGAAATGATCAGCCAGAATATAGACAGAGACAGCCACAGCAACATCGTGAGAACAGGTTACCGGGACGATTGAGGAAATCCAAGTACAGTATACAATTAATTTATTGGTAACTAATAGAAGTGCCTGGGCCTATTGATTTCACTACAATAGTGCTATTATACCATCTTCAATCGGTAGAGTCCATGCATACCTGGACACGTCCACCAAAAGATAAGATGAAGATGGGACCGGAGCATGCAGCCCATTGAGGTAAGCTTCAGTAGACCCACCATGACCCACACCGTCATATAAGGAACCAATTGCGTTGCTTTTAAGACTTGAAAGGAGCATCTTACTATATTGAGAATGGTAAACAACACAAGATTTGCTCGATCTGGCTGCAAGTTCCGCCGTCAATGGGAAAATCGGCATCAGACAGGACAAGCAGACGGTTATGATATCCATGAGAAACTTTCATAACTGTCATTTAAGTATGGCAGAAAGGCCAAATCCGATCAGAGAACTCTTCTATCTCTTTTGGCCCAGGCATATCTCTCCTTGTGTATACCATCTCCCCATGCTCCACACCGCGATAAGGTGTTCTGGAGATGTCTGCCTCAATAACCCCAGAGATTACCCGATATGGTAATCTAGCTCCTCTGACCTAGCGCCACACCAAGATGCCCTTGGCATTAGGTATCTATTGCCTAGTGGGGAATTTTTCTCTGTCAGTTTATGTCATTTTCGCATGCCATTGACAGTCTGGAATAAGACATAAATAGCTCGTCGTTGGTCGGGCCACCATGGAGGTTCCTGTGATTGATTTCGGTGCCGCGTCAAGCTTACTCCAGGCTATTCCCTCGTTAAATCGGTGGGGAGTACTTTGCTTCTCTTGCTGAGCTCGGTTTTATCTTTCAAGATGACGCAAGACCTCCATCGCACGCCAACCATCGGCTCTGGTCGAGGGCAGACCGACCCGTTATCGCTACCCTACGGCACGGTAGCAGACGGCGCCAATCTCGACGAGTTCGTCACCGAGACAAAGTCCGGAAATATCGTCAAGCCAGTAAAGTCTAACGTCACCGGCGAGGAAGACTACAACTTGGTCACCTTCACAATCGATGATCCCGACAACCCCAAGAACTGGTCCAAAGCCTACAAATGGTGGTGCACTATTGTCGTCGCTTTCACCTGTTTCGTCGTGGCCTTTGCCAGTAGTGTCATCACGGCGGACCTCGAGGGCGTGGGTGAAGAGTTCCATGTGTCTCGCGAGGTGACTATGCTGCCAATTACTGTTTTCGTGGTGGGATTTGGTGTTGGTTCGTATATTCTGCATGAATGAGAAGGGATGAGTTAGGGTTGGGATATGACGGCTAATCTATGGTCATCATCCAGGTCCCATGCTTTTCGCTCCTCTATCGGAGGTCGTCGGTCGCAGACCTATTTATGCAGTCACCCTACTCCTGGCTGTTATCTTCGTCATCCCTTGCGCAGTCGCTCCGAATATTGGCACGTTGATTGTCTGTCGTACTATAGACGGAATCGCTTTCAGCGCTCCCATGACCCTCGTTGGCGGCACACTGGCCGATCTTTGGAAGAACGAAGAACGAGGTGTGCCTATGGCAACTTTCAGCGCGGCACCTTTCCTGGGCCCGGCCATTGGTCCTCTGGTGGGTGGGTTCCTCGGAGACGCCAAAGGTTGGAGATGGCTGTATTGGATCCAGCTTATCCTTTCCGGCGCGGCGTGGTTCTTGATCACCTTCACTGTGAAGGAAACTTACGCTCCGTCGATCTTGAAGAAGAGGGCGCAGAAACTTCGCAAGGCTGAAAATAATGATAAATATGTCACTGAACAGGAGCTGGATCCGCGTCCTCTGCTGGAGAGACTGCGTATTTTCATCGCTCGGCCGTTCCAGCTTCTCTTTTTGGAGCCGATCGTGATGTTCATTTCCTTGTATATGGTTCGTTCTGTCTCGCTTCGCGCGGTGCTGTTCGTTCGAGCTAATCCATTCTTAGTCGGTTCTCTATGGCCTTCTATATATGTTTTTCGTTGCGTAAGTCATCCCGCGAGTCGAGACAGGGACCGAGCTAATTGCTTTGTCGAATAGGTATCCGATCGTATACCAAGCCGGTAAAGGCTGGAGCGCAAGTAAGACGGGATTGATGTTCATTCCATTGGCCATCGGAGTTGTTCTCAGCGCAGCGTGCTCACCCTTCGTCAACAAACACTATTTGAAACTGTGCGACCAATACAACGGGAAGCCTCCGGCCGAGAAACGCCTGATCCCCATGATGTTTTCCTGCTGGTGCATCCCCCTAGGATTGTTTATCTTCGCATGGACATCCTATCCTCGCGTGCACTGGCTAGGTCCAGCCATGGGTGGATTTCCGATTGGATATGGATTCATCTTCTTGTATAACTCCGCTAACAATTATCTCGGTGAGTTGACCCAACCCGACCCTCGCCCCAACGCCAAAGTGCGAATAACTCGCATACTCCGTACTGCGTATGACATAAGAAACGCCCTCAAGGCCAGCAAGCTAATTGAAGAATTCAACAGTGGACACCTACCAACATCAAGCAGCGTCTGCTTTGGCCGCTAAGACCTTCATCCGGTCGATTTGGGGCGCGGCCACCGTGCTGTTTACGGAGCAGATGTACGATCGGCTCGGGTATCAGTGGGCCAGTACGCTGCTTGCTTTCATCGCACTGGCCTGCTGCGCTATTCCGTATGTGTTCTACTTCAAGGGCGAGGCGATCCGTCGTTATTCCAAGTTCGCCTTTAGCGAGGACGAGGAGAATACCAAGGCTTGACCGGTGGAGTCGAGTATTTTTTGGAGACTGAAGCCCATACCGGAGGGGTATAACTAGGGGCAGTTAAAGCTTAATATGTCGCACAAAGGAATTGGATAGATAGATAATACACAGTACTTAATTCTCATCGGGGAGAGATGCAACATCAAACACACTACGGTGTATGAAGGGGACGAGAATTCAGGGGGTCTTCACTTTGTACGGAGTAGCCTTCAAAACTAGGGCAACAGCCCCCCTCTGTCAGTCTCCCCACCGCGACCAACAAGTTCGCAGCATTCCCGATGAGATCAATGAGATCCAAGTCTAGCTTCCTCCGGGAGTGGACGAGGGGGACCAAAAAAAGGGGCAAGTGGGGCAGCAGAATGTTTCACCCAAATCTCCCCTTCATTCCATGTCAGCAATTGGCCCTGTTCCGCGTTGGTCTGACGGTTTCATCGCCTTCCTTCCGTCTTCGAGGCATTCCAATTGGTTGCGGTCGTGGTGATAATTAAACATCGCTGGATATCTCCATCTGCTGCCGACCTGGTGCCTGGTGCCTGGTGGCCTTTAGCCTCAGTCTGGCTGCTCTCTGTGCTGGGGTCAACCCAAATTAGTATAATCGAGATTATTATTATCCTCACTACGACGGTGGCGTGCACAGATGCCTGGTATCCCCCCCCGTTATTTTGTGGCTTAGGCTTGCCATAATTAACTGAACTACTTGTTCTGGCACTGGCCGTTTGAGACTCGATTCACTTTAATTTTTAATTTTTTCCCTCTCTTCCCCTTCTTTCCCTGAACTCTGCCTTCTAGTCCATACTCGAGCCCCATTGTCTTGTCTAGCGTCCTATCCATCTATTTTGCCCCTTTCCCTCCCCGTTCTTCAAGAACAAACAACTCCATCCACCTCAATAACCACTTCCACTTCTGCCATTGCGATTGCTATTACTCCGGACCATCACTATCTACACCCTGTCTCTCTATTTCTCCGCTCAACAGTACACACTCGCGACAAAATGCCCGCCCTTGAAACCACCCTTCTCTTGGCCCGCGACTGTAGTGGGGATGACTGCGAAAAGCCCACCAGTACGTTCCTGAAGAGCGGCGTCCCTGGCATCATCATCGGGGTGTATGTTTCCTTTTCTCTTCCATGAAATCCACTCCAACTTTTTAGTCTTGCGATTTCCTCGACGGATTTCATTTAACTTCTATATAGACTGGTCCTGGCCGCGGCCGGCGTCTGCTGCTACTTCCTCTGGCGCAATAAGAAGCGCGATGCTCTAGAAGCCAAATCTGCCAGAGAGTGGAATTGATCGGTGAATGGACATCCATTCATTCGCTTTCTTCTTCCCTCGTTCGCGATCTATTGGCTTTTTTTTTTTCGACATACTTCTTCATATTCTTTTTTGCTTGGCATTTTGTACAAAATTAGGGACGTGCGGGTGTTTGCGACCGTGTGTTTTTTCTTGTTACTTTCCCACACGAGCTGGTGTTTCTGGAGTTACATACAACCATCTACATACATTTACGGAAGCGGAATTTGCTTGTCGGATCTTGCAAATATCGGATTACTCGACATTGTTTTGATTTTTTTTTATCGCTTTAGCTTGAATTCAAGGTGCTGGGAATGGTCATCTATTGTTCAGAAGTTGTTGAGCATCGATTCATCGACTGTATCTATGTCCATGGACTTCTTTTGATTGCATTGCCTCGCATTGCATTGCGTCGCATAGCAGATCTACACCATTCAATATCCAGTCTTATCTTTTCACATCGTTACTTTCATCACTTTCTTCTCTGTCTTCAGATGTTCAATTTGAGAGCGTTGCAAGGCTTGCATGAGTCGGTTTGTGTGTAATTGAATCAATACTTATGGGGCAGATTGGGCCTTTCTGCTCCATCTCGCACAATGTTGTTTCTTTTCCTCGAGAGTGGTGGACAGAGCATCCAGCTCATCTCATCTACTGAGGAACGGTCACCTGGGCGCGCCGAACATGTGCCCAATTCTCATCATGAATCTGAAAAGGTTGCTCTACCCATCTTGACGGGACTTGGAGACATAGACATCACATCTGTTAAGATGGTCATAAACCAATTGAACAAACCAAGCAAATATTCACCTGAGTGAGGTTAGCTATTAGGAAAAGACCTGCATCTGCCCGTAAAGCAGGTTCCAGGTCCGGCTTCTCTTCCTCGACTACCATACATCGAAGGTCCTGCCAACCTTATGTTGACGGCATCAGCCGGAGCAAGGCTTCTATTCTAACGTTTCCACATGGCATGTGGTCCATGCATCCTACACGGACCATCTCACTCAGAGTGGTGACGGCGAGGCTTCGTCTTTGGGATCGTGGGACATTGGTAACAAAGGTAATGCTCGGGTCGTCGGGCTTGATGGATAATTCGATAGTGGTCTCTGATTTGCCCTTGAGAAGACGTACTTATGTGTATCCTTTGTGACCATGGACCGTGAAACAGTGAACTTGCTTGATTCCTTCTAAGATAGTTGATAGTATACCCTCATCGATATTAGTTTGCAGGGTATATCGAAATTGAGGCTCTATTAGTATGGATGCTGCCCTATTGGATTTATTATGAGTATCAGGTGAGATCTACTCTTGGCAATTTTCTTGACTCATTCAGTCTCATCGTTCTCCCTAGAAGAATATGTACATAGATTAATGAAAATGTCCTAGCTGAAGAACCTGTTTATCATAGAGGGTTCGTAGGTTAAGCCTCATCCGAATTTGTCAGTCTCTTAATTATGATTCTTTCTTTACTTGCTTGGAAGCTCTAAATTCAAATCAGAATGGTTTCCTGACATGTTGAGATTTAGGTTTTATAACAAGGGGTCTAGCTACGCAGCTAGACACTGAGTAGTTTATGGAAACGATATGCCTTCCACCAACCTCGAAAAATCTCCCAATTTACCCTCAATAACTAATAGATGATTTCTAATGTTTTACAGATTACTCGAATGCGATCGAAAGATGCCTGTTCATCCTGGCTGTGGACCTGAATGGTGACGGAATATGAATTCCGCTGGCACCCGCTGAATAATGAAATTCTATGACATCGTTCAAGTAGTGACGACCTATATAGACCGTCCAGCAGCCAACTCAATTGTTCAAGCTACCAAATTCCATTATCTTATTTAATCTTAGATCTTGACACTGCCTTACGAGATAACTGTCAACCCATCACACTGAGCCACTTCACCCGAGAGGAAAAGTCACAATGTCCCACCTAACATACTACAACTACCCCGGCGTGGGCACCAGAAACCAGGAGACTTTCCGATACAGCCAAGCGGTGCGAGTAGGTGATCGCATTGAATGTGCCGGACAAGGTTTGTAGCTATACATCTACATCTACTCTCCATTTACCCACAACCCTCTCCTAATACACCCCTGCAATCCCACCACCCCTTTGGATAGCAAAATAACCCCTATACAGGAGGCTGGGATCCCTCAACAGGCGTCTTCTACAAAGAAATCAACGCGCAAATCGACCAAGCCTTTGCGAACGTCGAGTTGAACCTGAAGCACGCCGGCGGAAAGGGCTGGAGCCAGGTCTTCCGGGTGAACTCGTACCACGTACCAATCAACAACGAAGCGCTGGACGCCATGGTCAGGAACTTTAAGCGCTATATGCCGGACCATCAGCCTATTTGGACGTGTGTCGGGGTGACGAGACTCGGGGAGGATGATATGCGGGTGGAGATTGAGGTGACGGCGCATGTTCCTGAGGAGAAATGAGGGGCCTTCTCTGAGGGATTAGGGGGAGGGGATTGAGGTGGACGAGGTTGATGTGTTTCTTCAAGGTGATGTTATAGTTACTTCACTACTTCACTATTGCATCATGAAATGTCGAAGGCGTCGTCATGTCATAAGGGATGGAGTTGGAACACCATATGTATCGTTGATGGATGAATGTGCAGGGTGAGTTTATTGAAATGGGTAGCTGCAGTCCCTTGCGTTGAGCATTATTTCCAGGGCTTGAGCATAGGTAAATCCCTAACAATAATGAGCCTGGGAAAGGAGTCATTCGCGATGAGTAAAGGGGTAATTTTCCAATGAAGCCAGTGCAGTTCAGGAAAGGCCTTCCCGACTGGGCGAGAGTGGCCCAATTGGGTAATCCCCCAACCGGACCGGCAGGGATGCGCGCGACTCGACGGTCACGTGATGGTTCGGCAGCCGAGGCGGTAGGAATGTGGCCGAGATGATTGGTTTAATCTGCCAGTTTCCGCCAAATGGGGGGATGCTTACCAAGAGACTCCGTTCTCCGACAATCAATGGGCGAATAAAGTTAAGGCCAGTTTGTCGTTCACTTCCCCAGTCCATCCATCTGGGAATTTCCAGAAGTCTCTCCTTTCCTTTCCCTTTATTTGCCACGGTGGATGCATCCTGTCTCTCGTTACTCCCCTCCCCCCTCTCCTTCTCCCTCCCTCCATGTTCCTGCAGATTCCTCGCATTCCGACCGCCATCGCCATCCCCATTCTGCAGAAGTGGAACTCGACCGTCTAGCATGCAGCACGGACAAGAGTGAACGCGAACATCGATATCTAACTCCCCGAACGGACCACCGCCGCAACCTCTCCACTTCCTCCTCCCTGGATCTTCCCTCCGACTCGAACTCCGCCGACGACGACCCCTTCCTCCCACGCGGCCGCAGTGCACAGATGAAGCGCAAGGTACGGACGGTCTCCAAGCGTCACTCCAAGCCGACTTTGACCATTGAAACCAACGGCAACGGGCATGGGAATGACGGCATGAATTCCAACGTCGAAATGCGCAAGAGGGACACCTCCCTTGAGTCCTCCACCACGGCTCGCGCGTCGCGCCTCATGCAGCGGTCCAGCTTCTCCCTCGACCACGACTACCCTATCACCCCGCAAACCCCGGCCCTGACCACGACCAGTTTCGCCAATCTGCCGCGCAGCGACCGCCGGAATTTCCTCCTGCTCTGCGTGCTATACTTCCTGCAGGGCGTGCCCATGGGCCTGGCTACCGGGTCCGTCCCGTTCCTCCTGAAACCGTACCTCTCGTATGGCCAGATCGGTGTCTTTTCGCTCGCGTCGTATCCCTACTCGCTGAAACTGCTGTGGAGCCCCATCGTCGACGCGGTCTGGAGTCGCCGGTTTGGTCGACGCAAGAGTTGGATCACCCCGGTTCAGGTCATCGCCGGTCTGGCCATGATCTATCTGGGCGGACGCATCGGACCGATGATGGAAAAGGCGGGGGCCAACGGGGGCGCAGGTGTCTGGAATTTCACATATTGGTGGTTCATGCTGGTCTTTTTCTGCGCCACACAGGATATTGCCGTGGATGGATGGGCCATCACGCTGATGTCGCCACCTAACATCTCGTACGCTTCCACTGCGCAGACGGTCGGACTGACGGCCGGCCACTTCTTGTCGTACACCGTGTTCCTGGCGTTCAACTCGAAGGAATTTGCCAACCGCTGGTTCCGGACGATTCCGGCGGATGAGGGCCTCATGTCCTTAGGCTCGTACCTGACCTTCTGGGGATGGGCGTATCTGGTCGTCACTCTCTGCCTGGCCATGATGAAGAAGGAAGACAAGACGCAGGACCGGGACAGCATCATGGATGTTTACCGCAGCATGTGGAATGTGTTGAAATTGAAGAACATCCAGACTATCATCCTGGTCCACCTGATTGCCAAGATCGGCTTCCAGGCTAACGATGGCGTGACCAGTTTGAAATTGCTGGACAAGGGGTTCGGCCAAGACAACATGGCGCTAGTGGTGCTCATCGACTTTCCCTTCGAGATCTGTCTGGGGTACTACGCCGGCAAGTGGTCCACCGATTACACGCCCATGCGGCTCTGGTGCTGGGCGTTCATGGGCCGCTTGGCAGCCGCTGTTCTGGCTCAGGCCACTGTGATGGTCTTCCCATCTGCGACGGAAATGCCTTTCTGGTACCTGCTGGCCGTGATTGGCGAGCATGTGGTCTCGACCTTCATGAACACAGTCATGTTTGTGGCCGTGTCTGCCTTCCATGCACGCATCGCCGACCCTGCCATTGGAGGCACCTACATGACCATGTTGGCTACGTAAGTTTTTTTTCTCACTTATACCTTTAATCGAAAACAACCCCAGCTAACTTAATTCCAGGGTATCCAATCTCGGCGGCACATTCCCTCGATACTTTATCCTCAAGCTGGTGGACATGTTCACGGAAGCCAACTGCGTGCCTCCGTCTGTGCCACCCCCTGCGGAGGAATTGAAAGGTGACCTCGTCACGTCGGCCTTCTCCTGCGCTCTGGAGCCAGATAAGGCGCTCTGCGTCAACGGTGGTGGTACCTGTCACACCATCCGTGATGGCTACTATACCACGAACATCCTCTGCGTGCTGATCGGCACGGTTACATTTATTCTATTCATCAAGCCGGCGGTATTGAAACTGCAGAACCTTCCTCTGCGAGCGTGGCGGTTGGCTCCTGGTCGCCAATAAAAGGCCAGCGGGTGACTAGTCAGGTTATACAAAAGGCGAGATTCCTGGCGGGTATCTTTTTATCTTAGACTTAGATCTGAATATGAGCTAGACAGCTACTTTCTGTACGTGCTTCCTACATACGAGTGCAGATAGGCCGAGCAATGTATTAATAAAGAAGAATACCTTGACTACCCTCAAAACATCCCAGAAAAAGGTTACACTGTAGCTGTTCATCTGATTCGACCCAGCCAATCAAGTCTCCGCCCGGGGGACGTCGATTCGTCGGGTTTTAAACGGGCGGATCCTCGTTCTGTACCCTCTGCTCGGCTCTGGTTCTGGCCTTGGCCTTCGCGCCCAGTTTCAGGTACAGCTGAAAAGTGGGAAAAGCAAACTGCATCAGTAGTACTCCGAGGGTCCTTTTAAGGGAAGGTTCCGGCCTGATTTTCACTATCTCTCTTCACGTTCTTTGCATAGTATTTCATTCTCTTATACCACCTAATTCCTGCTCTAATCCTTCCTCTACAACGAGCATATAATCAACGCAAACCCAAAATGCATCTCCCCACCACCCTCCTCCTAACAGCCCTCTCCAGCACGCTCGCTCTATCCGCCGAATTCAACATCCTGAAGCCCCGAAATGTAAGTCCCTCCCTTCCTCTTTCAACCTTAACCTCCGACCGTACTTCGAGAAAACTAAACAAAAAAAAGTGGGACCTCCACCTCCTCACCCCCGGCTGTTCCCCAAACGCCTCCAACTTCGACATCTCAGTGTACCACCGCTCCGGGGTCGCCGCGCGCTCATGCATCTCGTTATCCGAGGACTCGAATCCGAACACGACGGCGGTGCAGACGATTTCGTGGAAAAGTCCCGTGACGAAACCGTATGCGCTGTGCACGTTCCGGGGTGGGGATTGTGATCCGGATGGGTTTGTTGAGGCCGTTAGGGGGGATTGGGATGTTTGCTATCCGTATAAGGAGTGGAAGGGGTGGAAGGTTGTGGCGTTTGGGGAGGATTGCTATTGATTAATTTGTGGGGGTTGGTTTGATGCTTTGGGGGGTTCTACATTTTATGTCTATGGGTGTAATGGGAACATGTATGTAGTTTGGGAGGTAGAGGTAGGTTGAGATATGATTCTGATGGGTCTTTCTTTTGTATTCATAGCTATGTGCATGAGGTCTTGTACAGAAATTGGATTCTTAATAAGATTGGATTCTCTTTGATAGTGTCAAATGCGTAGATAATTCGATGCTAATTCGTAGCATAGCTCCCCTTTGAATAGTGTAGTTGACAAGGAAATGTTCCCCATGGGTCAGGATCTTTCTGCCCATCTACCTTGTTCCCTGTCAAGTGCAAAGACCACAAGGCGGCAGACTTGATCGTTCCATCGGAACACGGTCGATATTCATTTATGCATCAGCAACATGGTTCTTAGGTTCGACAGATATGTGGCACATTTTGCCGTCAGTTGAAAAAAGACATTGGGCGCTTCGCTTCGGTCTTCTTCCGCAAGGGAAGCAATCCAGTAGGTATCATGCTGTATGTATGTATGCTGGTGCGAGATTATTGCAGGTCCGATCTCCGATATGCCTCCGAGATCACCCAGCCATTTATCACTAGCTTTCATTCTTCCATGCATGGAATCAGCGGTCGCGATATTTGGTAGTCGATCCCGGGTAAATGGTCCCTCCCGTACCATCCTGTGTAGGCTCTGCGTGATTTGGGCAGTTTAGGTCGAACATCATGCCTGTCATCGGCTGACTATCGAAATGAACTGGAAGGTGACCATCCAGCGGCAAGGAAAAGAGCAGAGTCCCACAGAGGGCGCAGCGCGGCTCTGCAGTATCAGACATCTCGACGTTTCACTAGATGTTTCACTAGATGTTGAAGGCGTAGGATAGCAGAGGAGAGAGAGGATGAAGGAAGAGCTATAAATGTGATCTCCTGTCCTCGCTATGTAGTCACGACCGGGAGTAGATCAACACTTTCATCGTCACTTTCCCCTCCAATTGCTCTTCAAACTCGCGGATCTGCCGCATCTGTTCGACAGTCAATTCGCCTGCCACAAATGTCTCATCCTCACTGTTGTCCTTCGGATCGTAACCAATCCAATCTTCCCCTCTCCGTTCCCATAGACCTATGTCCATCCTGAGGCTGTATGTTACCCTCGGTCACGCAGCAATGGTAAGAGTGGTTGTATCGAGGCTTCGACGGTTGCCCGACAAAGTTTCCATATCGGTGGCAAAAGCTTTGAGGCAAAGTAGCTCTTCTATATCGTTCAGGAAGCCGCTTGCAGTGAGCGATTAGGTTTCACTCGTCTAGGACGATGTTATTCTTGCTGCGACTTCCTGTCCTAAACCGTTCGTATTCCAAACCTTCGTCCTCCAGCAACTTGACTTCGCCACAATTCAGAATTTCGACGGAGCAGCTTTAAATAGTCTTGTTCAGCAGCGAGGGAGTTACATGTTCAGCACTGAGCCCTGAGGTAAGAGCTGAAATGCTTTTACCCTCAAAAGCTGCATGATAATTGTGTATCCTTTGGTATTCCCAGAGGTTAAGCCCGTTTGCTGCTCGACACGATTTTCCACGCGTAATGACATGATAGTGTGGTCTGCTTGTAGAAGTAGATCTGCGCAGGATTGCTCGATTGTGGGGTTCAATTCGACCTGATGGATCCTTTGCAGCGGGTAGACTTCTGTTTCCATCGCGAAAACCAACGTTCGCGGCATTGAACACGTTTACTATCGCGTTGGAGGTGGTATCGAGAGCTTTCCTCAGCTGGGTTGGTCTATCCCGACACAACTTGTTGTCGATAATTGTGGATCGAGGGGAATTACTTCACTGGGCCGGAGGATTAACCGGCTGAACTGGATCGTCTTGGATGACGATGGGCTTTGGATTGTGCATGCCCTCGACCTCGGTCTCTGGTTGTATCGACTTCCCTGTGCACTCGGCCGATTCTGTTCCGTATTTCAACGTTCTTCTAATTAGTTCGTAAGCCGATTTTGGCGGATGCAAGGCGCAAGCATATATGGCAAAGGGCCGCATCAGGGCCAACCCCCTTGGCAAAAAGACTAACAGGGCCATGAGGTGGACTACTCTCCAGGCGATCTTGCTTGGAGTGAACGGTGCTTGAGTTACCATGGTTTCCTCGATAGTACCGCTATGCTGCAACCGAGTCTCACTCTAACCAAACATCGCTTGAATGGCCTCACCCGCGATTATTTCGACTTCCCTCTGCTCTGTCCCGGCGACGAGCGCTTCCAAGCTCACAAAACCCTCAGCGTCCCCTGCCTTCGCACAGGCTACTCTCACTTTCCAACGGGCTGCTTCCGTTTTCATAATGGCTATATCCACCGCGCTCTGTACTCTGTCCTTGTATTAATCCCGGCATTCCGCAATAATCTATAGAATAGCCTTCATGGCCAATTTCCATTCGAGCCACCCCTCAATCGAGCACCGTTTGTTCAGAATCCAGACATACTCCGTATATTTTTGGGAGTTCCGATACACTCGGCCAGTACACTAAAATAACGTACTGATATTCCGCAGGGCTTCTACCACAATCACTCGGCAGCATTCATAATAAAGGTTCAGTCCATCTTAGAAGGTAATTATCATCACCACGGTATCATTATCTGCGGACATAAAGGAACAAGCAAAAGCCACGTGTTGGACATCATTTGATCGTAACCGTTGGCACAAACCATAAGTCCATAAGCATCTCGATAAACCACACGATCAGTGGATCGAATTTGAATTCTGAATTATGGAACCCTTGACGCAAGGGCCATGCCGCGTTCATCCCTCACCATGATACCAATGGAAGACCCAGTTTTCCTCTGGTATCTGCCACCAATTCATAGGACGATTTAGTCGCCCACTCGGATATATAACCAGGGTCCTAATATGTCCGCAGCACGAAAATACCCTCGAAAAGATAGAGGTAACCACGGTAAATCAGCTCATCGAAAGCAGCGAGTATTCGGAAATGAGGTTTAACTCTCTCCCGGCATATCTATCGATAATGAAAGCTTTTTTTGTGACGCTTGAGCAACTGCTTGACTGGTCTTTTTGCTATCTTCAGATAATCCTCAATTCGCTGCCGCAGCTCTATAGTGGAGCCTTTATAGGCTTCACACGCGTTATTGATATCTTTTCTGCTAATATCACCGGCGGTAAAGTTGATGTAGATAGCTTTGCGTTTGTCCTTTGCGGCACTTTAAAGAAACAAAAAGTCTTTGAGAGATTATGTCTCTTTCTCGAAAAAGGCCTGAACTCTTTCTGGAATACCGACCAAAAACATTCCCGATGCGCCCAAGGGCCGGGTCTGTCGTCGATCGGCGAGCCCATACGCCGCACCATGGCTATCGTACTCATGATAACAGGCAGGGCATAAAAGCCTCCCCGCGCTGACAGGTGCCCTCTCCGTGCCCATGCTGGATAAAGCTTCGGATGCAGCAGCTGGGGCACGTCCTTGTAGTCGTGATTGTCGTTAATATCAACGGCCTTGTAAAGATAACTAGAATCAATATCGGTGGCAAAATATTTGAGATAAACCAGCTCTGTTTCATGGCGTTTAAGAAGCCGCTTCCCGTCGGGGCACGCTATAAAGCAGCAGGAGTTTCAAGTTTCCTGCGTGGTCGAAGTCGTCCGGATGGCGCTTTCCGCGTACCACCCCCTCTCTAGGGCCCCGGTCAGGTCTTCCAGTTCCCCACGCCATGGCACCACGTGGTCCGTATTAAATAAGAAGATCAAGGAGAGAATTGAGAAAGGAAGGAGGGAGATGGTGGTGAGGACACCGCTGCTGGCGTATTTAGCATAATATGGATAGCTGACTAGCTTCCATGCGTGATCTTTCCTGAAGAAGGCATACCAAGCATAATAGGCTGGATCCATTCTGGTGATTTGCTGCACGATGCCGTGATACATAGCCCTAAGCCAGCCATAATTGTTCATTTCTGCTAATGATTGATCTGTAATATAACATACAGACGGAATCAATCTCCGTAGGGGCTCTTGGCCAGTTGAAGTATTCGTTGTTGCGTCTTTATCTCGCATATGGTCCCCAATGATATAGCCTGAAAAGGATTCGTGTTTATGCAGTGGATAGATTTCTGCTGATCAGGGGGTATTCATAACCCAGAATGTTGCGTCGGAATAGAACCTAAAGAGAGATTCATCGGAGTTCTTTGCGAGCAAGTCCTCGTGCACGGTTCCAGGTCTAAACATAAGTTAGAGTCATTAACTCTATACCTTGAGGGGTACATAGAGAGAGCGTACGTGACTTTCAAGATCTCAATATTGTCGCCATACTCTTTTCTTGTAACAATATTGACCTCCTCAATCTGCGGAAATACCGACCTCTCGTAGCTGAGGTGGATAAGGCGCTTTATTATACGCTGGGCCGCCGCTTTGTAGTTAGACGAAAGATTCTGAGGGACTCTTGTTTTACAAGCCGTTTTTATCTTTATTTTTGAAGTTTCCATCTCGAGGTGGTAGACTGACGTCAAGGCCAACGATGAGTGGGCCGGGCCTTATGCCTTGCAGGAGACGGCGCCAAGTGACTTGGCGTTCACGGCCATTAATGACGTAGCCTTCCGCCCCAGCGTATTTCTTTAAAAGCGCACGTCCACTTCGATTTTTGACTTCCACAACGCAAGTCACTGAATATCTTCCAAACAATCAAATATGGAGTGGGATGATACCTACAAGCCCACACCCTCGGCGGCTGTCGTACGCCTCATGGTCCTCGAGACCGACATACCCCACCCAGATACATACTCAGTGCGCGGTTCGTTTGGTGGCATTGTATACGACCACTTTAGCAAAGCCGGACGTGCTCATCACCCGCCTCTAGGTGTCGAGACAGATCAAGTCTTTGTCGTTACCGAACAGGGCGGGCGAATGCCCGGGGTGCAAGAGTTCGAACGTTTTGACGGGCTGCTCATCACTGGTAGCGTGTACGACGCGCACGCGAACAACGAATGGATCCTCCAACTTCTGGACCTCCTCAAGGCGCTCTGGATTAAGCGTCCCGATTTCCACTTCGTTGGTGTCTGTTTCGGCCACCAGCTTCTCTCCCGACTTCTCGGTGGCACTGTCGGGCCCGCGCCCACGCAAGACTGGGAGCTTGGTCACTGTCGCATCACGCTCACGCCCGACGGCCAGCACCTCTTCCATACGAAGGAGGACCATATCCACCTCCATCAAATGCATCAAGACCAAGTCACATCACTGCCCACAGCCGCGACTGCCGGTCCAGACATGCTGCACCCGGACACCAACATTGCGTGCTGGGGCCGCAGCGAACATACACCTATTCAAGGTTTCTACATTCCCAACCGGCTCTTCACTACCCAAGCGCATTTGGCGTTTGACGAGGACATGGTGAAGCGACAGATCCAGATCAGAGTGGATATGGGCGGGATCAAGGACCTCGAACATGCGGATCGGGCGTCCGAGACGGCGCATCTGGAGCACGACGGTGTCGAGGTTGCTAAGGCTGTTTTGCGGTCGTTCGTGTATGATGACGATTAATTGACGATTTGATGAACTTAATGCTGTCCAATCATACGAAATTGATAATTTCCTGAAGATTCATCCAAAAGGAATCCCTTTGATATCCGGCTCTCTTGATGCAATTCTCTCGCGGAGCAGGTCGCTGCGTATAAGATACCCATATAAGGGCCTTCTGAGCTCTTTTGGCCCTAAGTAGTGGCATGAACGAGAGCAGGTTCAGGCGCCGCATGACGCTCATGTCCATCGATCCTGCCTCGGCCTGTTCCGCAGCATTAGCCCGCCACCCCTGGAAGAGTTGTGTAGTTACCCTTTCACTCTAAGTCTTGTATGAATTTCGTCAGGGGGTTCCTCCATTGATAATATTTTCGCAGGTTTGAGGGTTTCGAGAAGCAGAAACAGTAGGGTAGACTTCCGGCAAGCATATGATCGGTTTCCGCCTTTTCTCTAACGCACTGGACCCAAATAGGTAGGCCCAATTTGTTCAGCGGGCCATCACATAGATCTGCTCAGCAGGCCAACTGTACTGTTCTCCGTAGCCACATTGGATTAGGCAACTGATTCTCGAATTGTGGGTAATGTAGTCTCATCCAAAATTTGGCTTTTGCTGATATACCAGCTTTGGGTCTGAGCTCCAATTCTCACAGGTCTTTCCCATCATAGCTAGCCCATAGTGTCACCGTCACTCATGTAGCCCTCGCTGGGGCTCGTAGAAATGGTCCGGCCTGGCCGTGATCGGTCCGTCCGGTATCTCCATGCTTGCCCCCATAACCCATCGGCTGCCATTGTCACGACAAGTCACTCAGCGGGGCTCATCGCGGGATCTGGGTGCAAAGCCTTCGCGTTACAGCGGTGTTCTCTCGGATGCCCGCCGTCAGAGGTACTTCCATTGGTCCTTTTGTTGATCCTTAGCCTGTCCTAATTACGATCCGGTCGTACTGTCCACTAATCCAGCGATCCATGTTCTGCAAGTGCATCCCTCGACATTGTTCCGGAATCACATGTAGATGAGCCCCGTCATCTAATTAGACGCT